ACCTGTACGTAAAACTGAGTTCAGATAACCGAGGCGATTACGGGCGGCATTATGTTCTCAATGTCGTGTACCACCAGAGATCGGTGCTGGAAGTGATCTTCCCCCTTCGTGGCCTTCTTTCTCCATTTTTCTTTCGTTTTTTCTTTCCTTTTCCCTTCATCTTCTTTCCCCTTTCCTGGAATCTTATCTGCCTCGGAGATGGCTTCGCCGATTTGATACGGAACCCTCGTACGATATCAGGTTTAAAAATCGCTTTCATATAAATCATTCCCCGTTTCCTTTCCGAAGGATTTGCCCTCATCTTTCTTCTCACTCTCTCTCTTTCTTGCTAGAGTCATTCATCATTTCATTGCAAGACTTTATCATCGACTCGCGGAATTCGCCGCGGGATAATCCTTATTAAGATTTAATATATCGCGCGGTGGATTCACCTTCCGCCTTCGCGTCCTTCTGAATTTCCTGCGTTTCCTTTTTTCCTTCCCGTCGGTGGATCCTCTTTTAGATACCTCCTTTTCTTACCTTGGCAATTTCTTTCCACGATCTTCGATATCACCGAAGGAGATGAAATCCAAGATGGCGGCGCTCGACGTTCTACAGAGACTTCAACGCTTTCCGAGTGAACTTGTAAGAAGAACTGTGAAACTCAGAATTTTCGGTAACTTTATTTATATGAATAGATTTAATGACAACTTTATTTATATGAACAGATTTAATGAGGACAGTAATTAGTAGCTTTATATACATGATCAGGTATATTAAGAATGTCTCGAAATGTTCGAATACATCGCGAAGAGGTGAGATCCAAGATGGCGGCATATCATTGCATTAACGTTGAGATTATTAAATCGAAATTGGCGGAAATTGCAAGAATAAAAATCACTGAATAAACAGAAATGACTGTCGAGGATTTTCGCGATCGCTGGTTGCAGATTTAAAAATGGCTCTCTAATGGAAATAACATGAAGAACTGTGAAAGATGTAAAAATAAACGCGACTCAGCCATCCACTTTCTGGGAGGAAAGAGTTAACGATTCCACTCTTGTATTCGCGATGCTTTAACTTTCGTGTTTCGATGAGCTTGAGGCAGACCGATAAACTCGCTCTGAATTTAGATACGAGTTTATAAAAAAATCCGCCCAAAAAATTGGGCGGGTCAGAATAAAAACGCGCAGCAATGGATGAGCATGTTTTGCATATGGCGCGGTCGAAGAACATTTTTCTGCCTTCTGCGTTTCCGTGTGTAAACAGGGGGGCCTCGTTTCTCCGATTTCTTTTTCAACGTAACTCATCCTTCCGAGAAATGGCGTCTTGCAACATTAAAGCCCACAACCAATCAGGGCCTGGCGTGATTGCAACCTCTCATTTTTATGTCCCTTCGTTAACATTTCTTCGAGTCGTTGCGAGACCCAAGCCCTAAGTACCCAATTTGTTACGCTGTTAATTGGCATTGACAACTCACGTAACAGCTTAGAAAGACATTTTTTTTTTAGATTTTCACATTTTTCGTTACTATTTCACTCGAAAGTGAATAATTCCATAAATTAGGATTGATATACACACGAAAACGACTTTATTAGCAACTCGTGATTATTTTGTTCGGCGGATATAAAACGTGTTAATCGCGCTAATATTTATAATGAAGACGTTACACATTATATAACAATTTATAAAAATATTAATGACTGTTATACACACGAAAACGACTTTATTCACAACTCGTGATTATTTATTTCGGCGGATATGAATCATGTTAATCGCGCTAATATTTATGATCAAAACTCTTTAAACAACAATTTTTATAAATACTAATAACTGATGGACACACGAAAACGGCTTTATTAGCAACTCTAAAACTAATTTGGTATCAAAAAACACGAGAAATTTTTTTAATATTTCCGTTCCGCTATTTCATTATGGGAGCAAAACGTGTGGTTTTGATTTTAAATATTTTTAAAACGTTTATAATGTATTCGGCCGATAATATTTAAAAAACACTTGTATTAAAATGAAACGAAATGTTTTATACATCTGGTAGGAAAATATTATGAAAACCCATGTTGGTAATATTACATAAATATTATAGAGATAATATTCTAAAGTAAACGTTTTGCAAATATTTCAAATGTCGGGTAAATGTTTACAAAATGTAGGATATTCGTTAAATATATGGAAAATATAGGACAGGTATTTTGTGCGACTAGGGAAGGTGGCATTAATTTGCATAGAATTCCAAAATTTCGTGGACGACTATCAGCAAGCGTGCGACAAATGATTGTAAAAAAAAATAGGAAAAAAACACTAATGCATATTCAGTGGAACTGTATTAACTTTCGCAATACGAGGAGGCGACGACGGACGGTAAACACGGACAATAAACAATTGTTTTTCCCGAACAATGGTGTGAAATGGAGGGATATTGCACAGGATGAGGACACGGCATTGCAGCTCGGCTCGCACGAGTCCCGGCATTGAAATCTCCCGACATACGGAACCTCTAATAAGTATTAAACGTTTTCTCTTCGGTTGTTAAAAATATCTCAGGCTACCAACGATATGAAAGGCGCTGAGAAATTTAATCGAGGCCGATAAAAATTCAAATTCATCCACGCCCTTTTCGGTGGTAACGTCATTTTGAATACCCAAGTGGGAACATAAGCTGGCGCGTTACCGACATTTATATTCACATAGAAGTTTTTTACAGTCCACGTAGATAATTATACCAACTGAACCCTAGTAGCATAGAATAATTTCTAAATATTTCTTTGTAATCTTAGCTAAATATCTCAAGCGGCAGATTTTTCAAGATTTCTTGTAGACTTCATTCGAAGCTATCTGAGATGTTTCTTGAAAATCTCAATGACATATTTAGTTTAGATGAAAAATTAAATTTCCTGTGTTTCAGGATCGACTTTAGGGCCTGTGTGTGAACACTTACAGGCTTGTACTTACTGTTGGTTAATACTTTCACCAACGATTTGACTTGTCTGTATACATATTATATATATATAGGCTGACTCTTTCATATCACCTTAATAGTTAGACATACAAAATTGAAGGACAAATGTAACATTAATGTTAGAAAGGTAAATATAAAGGCAATCCTTAAAAATGCGAGTTTCGATTAACAATTACTGCCCCTTCTCTTCATACAAGTAGCGACCCTGAAACATTAACAATCTCTGACAATTGACTAAGCGACCTTAAAATCTGGGTCAATTCAAGAGTCGGAATTATTCAAATGACGATCCAGGCTCCCATTTTAGAATATTATTTTCAAACCATCCAAAGAGTAGATTACTCGGACAAGGCTGAGCAGAAATTCCTCTATCTTCTAATTGGTGAAACCGTCAAAGAGATTTTTTTCCGACTGATATCTGAAATGGTCGAAAGAACACAAAGTTTTTCGTAGGAGACGAAACAACCGTCGATAAATAATTTTTACGTCAATAATCTTTTGGAGTCATTGCGTTAATCAAAGTGTCATACTTTTCATTACATTAATAAATCTTATGAGATATTCCCCGTACTCTCAAACCTTGAATTGAAGGTGGCTCTTAAAAAGGAAGTCTAAATAAAATCCTATACTTTTAATAAATTTTTATCGAAGTACATTCCTTAGTAGAAAAAAAAAAAAACGTGCGATCAGACCTTCATTTTTACTGCAAGTAGTCGATAAATATTTTTTACATTAACAATCTCTTGTCATAGCGTTAATAAATGTCATTTTTTATTTTATTAATAACTCTTATGCGTCTCCTCGTAATCTTACACCTTGAATTAAAGATGGCTCTGAAAAAGGAAGACTAAATAATATTCTGACATTTAATAAATTTTGAACAAAGTACATTCCTTGAAAAAAAAAAAAAAAACGTGCAATCAGACCTTCATTTTTTACTGCAAGTAGTCGATAAATATTTTTTACATTAACAATCTCTTGTCATAGCGTTAATAAATGTCATATTTTTCATTTTATTAATAACTCTTATGAGGTTCCTCGTGCTCTTACACCTTGAAATGGAAGCGGCCTTCGAAAAGAAAGCATAGATGACACTATGAAGAATTACTCGAAGGCCGATCTGGTATGTAGGTTCGGCTAATGAATATGCGAATTCCTCGGTGCAATTATGCGAATGACTGAGCAATGTTAGGATCATCTGCATTCCTTTCATTGTTAAGGATCGCCGGCTCACCGTATGAGTGCATCGCGCAACAAATAATGCACATTAACGTAACATCATTTAGCCCTCGTAATTTCCCGGCCAAGTCATCGGTTTTACGAAATAATTAAGGCGAAGTGAAACACGTCGAGGAACTTGATTGACGTCGGTAAAAAGGGTTCTTGTAAATGCCTACGTTGCCGACTTTGGTTTTTATATCGACAGCTGTGTCGAATTGTATTGAGTATTGTACTAAATGGCACACTCGACCTGTCGTATTCGTACAATAATTATAAAGAAATCTAAGTAAAACTCCAGAAATCCTCTGGATTCATGCTTTCTGGGGCCCTAATTGACTGCAGAGGGAGCCCCTGCGCCATCTGTGATTTCCAGGTCAATTAAATGTTCACTCCGAGGCCTCGTATTCCCATCGTTTTGGCATAGAAGCGCATACAACACTTTTTTTGCCTTTATCCTGTTTAAATGCGATTATCCATATATCTGTATTACCAGGGAGATCTCAGGGATAAATTCTTTAGGTCCTGAGATCCATAAATACAGGATTTCTTTTAATTTAAAATAAAATTTAAGCTGCTGAGCATCGAGGCGATGGTTGAATCTGCGACATGACGACACCTCGTGGCGCCTTGCTGAACTAAACGGCCAGATCTGCCCAGTTCACTTGGAGAGTCATCGGCACCTCAAGAACACATATTTTCCTTACTGCAAGCAACACCGCAAAGAAATATGCTGAATCAATATCACCCACCTGGATCTGAAACTGAAACGACTCACATATACCAAATCACCGGACTGAAAAAGGATATTACAAAAATTCAGCCATACGGATTAGTCTATTTTATTAATATCCATATTGTTTCCAGCCCTTGCCTTCCAACGGATGAAGGTACTTCTCAAGTAACTTCGTACGAGCTTTAACTCGTAGTTACAAGGCAAGAGTCCAGAGGGCAGTGGTAACAAACAGAACGTCGATTCATTACCACCACGGATAAAAAAGAAAACCTGGAATGCCGGAGTAAACCTACGAGCCCAAGAAAGCTTCCAAGCTGGAGATAACCCCGTGATGTAAATTCTGTATATCCTCGAGGACCCCGAAGCGGTGTCTTAACCTAAGAAAAAATAGTGGTATACATTACCACTATAGTTGCAAAATAGATGCCAGTCCCTACGAGTGGTACGACATCCATCTACAGAAAGAAAGAACCCCTTTACAAATCTCTATCCTTTAATCCCACGGTTGGATTCTGTTTTTCCGCATTTGTACATCATATCTCTCGTAAGGACTTGCTCCTAATTCCCAACTACATTTTCCTCGGTATAGTCAATGGGACAAGATTTCAGAGCGCTGGCATCAGAGAGTTTACGATGGTAACCGAAATCGCTTTGGTGGCTTTGCGTGTCCCACAGCAGTGCGTGCAGAACCTCCATTAAAGACCCAGGATCTTTGGCTACTTTGGATATATTCATTTAAATAATATTAATAGTAATATAGTAATATTGTACAATTTGAGTTTAGAGTACAGGGGAGAGAGAATTGCCTGTGGCTGAGGCTCCCTCCTTCACATCATGTGCTGTCCATTCGGTGGAGCGAACTGTGGCTGTTGCCCAACTGGAGGACCCGATGGGCCAGAGAGACCAAAAGGTCCTGGCGCAGGACCTCCTTGTGGTGGGAATCTTCTGCGGAAGAACATCAAGCTTTCAGTGTCAGACTTTATTCACTCTCCGATACCAGAGATGAGGGGGGAGATCTTTAAGGTGAAGTGAAACACGTCGAGGAACTTGATCGACGTCGATAAAGAAGATCTTTCTAAATGCATCCGTTGCCGACGTTGGTTTTTATATCGACAGCTGTATCGAATTATATTGGATATTGTGCCAAATGGCATACTCCACCTGTCGTTTTCCTACAATAAATATCAAGAAATCTAAGTAAAACTCCGGAAACCCTCTGGATTCATGCTTTCTGGGGCCCTAATTGACTGCAGAGGGACCCCCTGCGCCATCTGTGATTTCCAGGTCAATTAAATCTTCACTCCGAGGCCTCGTATTCCCATCGTTTTGGCATAGAAGCGCATACAACACTTTTTTTGCCTTCATCCCGTTTAAATGCGAGTTTATCGATTACCAGAGTGTTCTAAATTGTCTTAAAATTCTCCTGACCCTTTCGATTCCCATATCAGAGCCTTCGATAATTATATATTGATCGAAATATGAGAGCTCGACGCCATTCTGGTTCTGGTCTGGGCCGAGTTAAAAAATCTTCTCCAAAACTCCAAATTTCCAATGTGTCAGGACAATTCTTAGATGATCAGGAGTGATGTGTCGAAGTTTCGGACAGTTTTGTCTAATACCCTTAAGAAAAAGGTGTTGTATTCGAATCGACTGATTTGAAGGGGGTTTCACTTCACCTTAATAGAAATTCTTATCCGATAAACCTCAAAGATAATAAAATGATCTGCTTAGGTGAGTTATATAAAGTTTTATGCCATTAAAGGAATCATATTAATATTATCTAGCAATCAAGGAACATGTTTGACGAATGATCTTACCCTTGTGGTTGGTAAGGTAGACTGGTTTGTTCGGGTCCAGGTGCTCCCGGTGGATGTCCTGGGTGGACCTGGCGAGGTCCTTGTGGCATATGAAAATGTGGGGGTAAGGTCATGCTTCCGGGTCCTATATACTCATTGCCCGGAAGATTGGAATTGTAAGGCCCCGGAGGTGCACCGCCACCGCCAAACGAGGTCTGCGGAGGTGGAGGCATCCCATTGAACATCTTAAATAAAAAAATATTATTTCAACAGATATATACCATTTCCTTACGCTTTAAGTTTTGTAAGAGGAGCACAAAGTTTAGCCAAGAAAATGACCGAACGAATTACTCAACATGTACCGCGAGAATAAAACATGGATGACATCGAATGGGTAAGTATAACGCGTCAAACTTTGTCCATAGATATCTTTTTCTATGAATCTTATGCTTATTAAGGTGAAGTGAAACCCCCTTCAAATCAGTCGATTCTAATACAACACTTTTTTTTAAGGGTATTAGACCAAACTGTCCGAAACTTTCATATTTCTATCAATATACTATTATCGAAGGCTCTGATATGAGAATCGAAAGGGTCAGGACAATTTTACGACAATTTAGAACACTCTGGTAATCGATAAACTCGCATTTGAACGGGACAAAGGCAAAAAAAAGTATTGTATGCGCTTCTATGCCAAAACGATGGTAATACGAGGTCTCGGAGTGAACATTTAATTGACCGGGAAATCACAAATGGCGCAGGGGGGCCCTCTGCAGTCAATTAGGGCCCCAGAAAGCATGAATCCAGAGGATTTCTGGAGTTTTACTTAGATTTCTTTATAATTATTGTACCAAAACGACAGGTGGAGTATGCCATTTGGTACAATACCCAATATAATTCGACCCAGCTGTCGATATAAAAACGAACGCCGGCAACGTAGGCATTTATAAAAGCCTCCTTGTCGACGTCGATCAAGTTCCTCGACGTGTTTCACTTCACCTTAATTCATCTGACTTTACTACAACGCTTCCGTTAGCTCGTACGCATGTAACGAAATGTCTGACAAGATTTGAAGCACTTAATGGACACTTATCAGAAAATGATAAAAGACATCCTGCTTAATTCGGGGCCACAGATTTCAGAATTTAAAGTACTCGACTCGTCCCATCACTATTGATAATTACGTGAGGTGGTGGTGGTCCTTGAGTGGGGAACGGATAGGGACCGATATGTGGCGGTGGTGGCATCTTCGGCAAGGTATAGTTGGGTGGTGTTGGAGGTGGTGGTTCACGCATTAATGTGTGGTACAGATTGAGCGCGTCCACCAGGTCTGAACTCAGCTGCGTGAGTTGTGCGTGCCTCCGGTCAACCTTCTCCAATGCTGTATCTATTAGTGGCCCCATCGCTGTGACTTGTTCTGCAAACAATGATATTTGCATGCACTCAAATATCAAAGGATTAGCTTGAAAATATTTCAGTCCTTAAGGCGTTTCAATTTGATAACATTAACATAAATACCGATAAACTTCTCATTGAACAATGACACTTTGATAAAAGCAGTTATTACGTAGTTACTGGCCATTACTTTTGGTCGATAACATAAGTGGCATCGAAGACCGAGGTGATGTAAGTTGCTAAGTTGCCTTTTCATTAATAACTAATACACGATCATTCTTGTCAATGCTATGAACTCTGAAGAATCTTAGGCTTGGAAAGTTTCACATGCTGTATGTATATAGTTGATAATTTTATTTCACATTACCTTCAAGATCCAACATTTCTTGAGGATCTTGCGCATCACTCTGGGGATCAGCCTCGTGTAACAAATGCAAAAGCCGGTCCATTTTATGTTCATCGATTTCAACCTCAACTACCTCCGGTTCCCTCTTCACAGTCTTTACTTCAACCTCCTCTGAGAATTGCACTGATTTTTTACTACCGTGCTCCAATTCTGTACACAAAAATATGAAACTATTGAGTCAATAATTTAAAAGAAATTTATGAATGACGTAGACCTTACAGTCAATAGGTCCTTACTCGTAAATTGCTCTGGCTCAACTGACAAATCAGCGGTGACAAAGTTTGATGGAAAGAGACCTTCGCCTCTGTGATTGCTTCCTTTCCACCAATTAGGATCGCTGTCATCCAAAATGTGAACTGAAAAGATAAATGAATTTTCTCTCTATCAACTATCATTGATAATGGAGACAAATAAATCAGCGGGGTAGATAATTTTAAGCCTATTACTTTGTTTTATCTACGTAAACTACCTAAGTCTAATATATTAATTGCAGGAGAACTTACTTATTTCACCAGCCAGGAAGGTAAGTTCATTGTCCTCGGCAGCCTCAAAATCATACAGCGCTCTCACCTTTCTGCCTTCGGAAGAATTGCTCGATGTACCCATACTTGATGGTACGCTGGGATAAAGACTGGTACTCTTCTTCGATGATGGAGAGGTGTGCGAGTACTGCTTGTTCTCCTTCAAGGACAATTCGATGGCTATCGGCAGATATTTTTATTAACTTAGAACTGAAGAAAGAGCTAGAAACTCGTGAGATGGACCATTACGTTAGATGGAAACAAACACGGTCAGAAAGTGAAACGATACAAAGGCACACATAAAATATATAAAACAATGTGACAATAGTAAAATCACCATTACAACAATTACATAAGTTCCATTTCCAGCCTACGCATGTTTCATTGTCAGTTTGTTGTAGTTGCATAAATAGAGAGCAATTCTAAAATCCCAACAACATTCATTTTAATCTTTAAATCTCTGCATTCAGGTAAACATCGGAAAATAATGAAAAGATTAAATAAACAAAGCAAAGAGTTACCTTTTGCAATGTCCTCTTCTTCTTGGGAATTCGACACGACATTTGGATCCCTGCTTAGGACTGCGGAATGCTTCGGCTGAAGGGAAATAACAAAATATTAGATTTAAAGCCAAAGATACAAACTACAAATGAACATTCAGTAATTTCTTACATTTGTTCAAGCTTGCAATGAGGTCAATTAGAATTAGAAGCCAATTGGCTTTAAAGTTTTCAAGGTAAAAATTGTGCACAATATTCACACTACTTTCCATACTGCGTTAAAAATTCCCATAAAACAAGCATTTTATATTATTCTTCTAGGCTTGGTATTATCTATTAAGTACGCTTTAATATCCTGTCTGTTAAACGAATGCAATCGGAGAAGAAAACCATTCCTCGATTCGTGCCAACAAGAGAAAATTAATTTGTTCCTCCGTTGACTGATAAACTATCACAAAGAATATGACATAAACAACATTTAGAGAAGACATACAAGATTGTCTCAATTGCAATTTAATTTTTAAATTGCCATTAACATTCGGCGGGAAGTGTTAAGATAAAAATCTACACCATGGTTTAGGCTTTTAGTTTGGAACAATTACTGCCACTATTGTTTTAATCGTCGAAAGAAGTGGATAATTGCTATTTTTCAGAGTCAAATAGCATAATAATAACGCTCCTACATTTTTTACCATTTCTATCTTGCTAGCGAAGGGTATACATTTACTTTTTAATGCTAAAATCCAAGAGCTTACCGTTTCGGAAACTGAAGAGAAGTCAACACCTTCGCTCTTCAGCTTCGTATACAGGCTCGGAATGAGATTCAGCTGAGGATCTGTCTTAAAGTCACCCTCAGCCCACTTTTTCAACAGCGCTTTCAACTTCTCGGATATCTTTGGCTGGGATCGATTGATCAGCTTGCGGAGTTCTCCTTCAAAGTCACGGGAAGCTATCTCCAGGTGAAAAGTCTTGCCACAGTTGCTCGAGCAGGCATCCAGTAACTGTAGAGACATTTCCAATCGATTCAAACAAATACTATTTACTAAGATGTCGGTGAATTAAAAAGTATTATTATTACAGGATATATAACCTACATATTGTACGTAATATGTACACTGGTGGAGATGAATGCCTTCTCATGATGCACTGACGGCACCAAACATGCAGAGAAGGCATTAATGCCCGCCACAGTACATTTTTAATAATTAGGAACAATAGAAGAACATTCTGCCGCGATTAAACATTCATATAAACACTCATCCTAAACCACTTAATTATATTTCATAAATGTATGAAATATTTAAAACTGTCATATGCATTTCCAATCGATACTCACTGTTATAGCTTGCATCACAATATAAGGATCCTGAGCATTCAGTCTCTTGACAATGGAGCGTAGACAATCCTTGGCATTTTGACTGGAATTCCCAACTTTGTCGCAGATGTCCATAATTTTGCCCCATTCTTCCGATGTGTTCTTCTCGTCCGTTGCCTTTTCTGAAACAGATAACGGTAAAGGAGATAATTACACTTTTTTTTTTCCCCTCTAAGTAAAGAACATAACAGAGAGACGTCAATGGAATAAATAGACTGTAACTAGAGAGTAGAATTTCGCTTAGTATTAAATAATGAATTCCCCGTGAAATAAATGAGAATTTCAGGATAGATTAAAGGACCTCTAAATAACATAGAGGGACATGAAAAATATATTTCAATAGAATTTTATAAAATGGTTAAAGTAACTACATGACTGCAAATTAACATGAAAAGAAATCAGTCGACATGCTTATACAATCATGGGTAGTAAACTAAGAATTTTTATCGTTATTTCATAGGACAGTTCATGAAGTACAGTAAACCAAATGGGAACAATGACTGGAGTGATGTTCTCAAAGTTAAAACATAGAGGCGATTTGGCTGCTCTTAATGATTTATCGGCAGTATGAGATTAAAGGTCATAGAAGACAATGTGAGCGACAGAGTTTCCTAACTGTTAACTTATCCAGCTAAACTTATCACAGCCCCCAGCTGTGCAAACTGCATCGCTACAGCTTTGATCGGCGCACCGAAATCTCTGAAATTAAAATCCATAATTAAACCGACTATTCCATATTTAATGCAAAATGAGCAAACTCTAAGAGCAAAGGAAAACATTAAAACGTTAAACACTAAAAGATCTGCTGACTGAATGGAACGTTTTTGAGATCAATGAACTTATCAACAAAGTAAACAATCAATTTTATCTGAAGATCTCGTAAAACGTCAATTCTTACCTTTCCTCTGTCTTCTTATGCCTTTTATACTCATTGAACATAAGAGAAAGAAATTAAACCGCTATAACTAATCAAATTGTAGCATGAGAGATATTGAGTACATTCAAAATAAAGATAATACACTTTTTTTTTATGGAAACCTAATTGAATTCAATTACCTCTTATTGGAAAGTTCAAAGTTAATAGAAAGTAATCGCATTGAGAATAGTTTGAAAGCAGTGTCATCTCCTGCCTTTTCAATTGCTGCCAGTTTATCAAGAGCATTAGCAATAAGTAATCGTAGACAGCGATGAGTCACTTCAATACGTTCCATACAATAATATATAACTCTAGTCTTCCCTTGCTTTGAAATTTGCCGTAAGACAACCAACCGCAGTCGAGACCCAGTATGCAATTTATGTAAGACGTGAAAACTTATCAGTGCCCCCGTCGAGAAAGAAAAGTATCACATTACTGCTTCTACAAGAAGTCAAATGAATGAATTAGAGACAAACTTGAAAACAGATTAAAGCACGAGAGTGCATTAAAACTTACCAGTGGAAATTAGATTCGTACAGAAACTATAATAAGGTCTCAAAACAAATACTGCCGTCACGAGAAGAACATCGAAGAGTAGGAAATAAACTTACTTCAAATAATCCATCTTTTAATCTCCAGGTGCAAACGAGTGTCAGGATGCGTTAGAATCTTAAGGATTTAGGTAAAAGGGACCTTAAAAGAGAGAGTAGAATCTAAAATATAAATCTGGAAGCTGTGAAAATAGCAATTTGACAAGTCTGCCATTCCCTCCGTTCAGCCTGACAGTCGGCTCGTGATGAGTCATAATGAGTCTCAATCGAGAGAGAAACGTTCCACTTGCGATTTCATTAAAGCTAGGATTATTTTTCGAGGAAACCGCACCGCGCTGTCGAAATAGGCGTTAAGTATGAGAGACGGAGCCTCACCGACGTCACCGTCGAAAGGCGAGCTGTTGGAGAAGAGCCCCATTGCTTTATCGGAGCGAGCCGGACCGAGACGCAGGAGACGAGACGACGAACAGGAGAAAACGTTCCAGGCTTCCGTGGCTCGGCATTCGCCGCAGTTCCGACAGATACTTCAACTTCGTAAACACCGACTGATGACTAATAACATTTTAATCTACTTCGCGAGCCGCCATCTTGCTCGAGAGATCCCGAGCTCACGAGATTATCGAGGGCGCCGATCGAGATCGGCCGAGGTCGACCGCTCGGCGCGACGGGCACGAACTAAGATCTCAAGCAGATGGGAAACCTAACCTCGCTCGCGCGCTAGTGACATGCACTCGTCAAGGCGGCCATATTGTAACAATCATGGCGGCTATATTTCTTGCTTCGCGTGAATATTTAAAAACCTAAAGTGAAATTTGAAATAGTGGAGTCCTCGTTTTCTGACATGGCTATGTAAATATTGATTTATTTAACGCAAAATATGTTTGTTTAGTGGGTGCCTTTTTATTCTTCTATTTGTAGTTTTTACAGCATGAGTTTCTATATTTCTCGAGGCAACAGTTATGACAAGGTTGGCAACCTTCTTGCCAGAGGAAATTAAGGTTATGGTCGCTTGGTGATCATTGTTGTTGGAAAATTTATTTTCCAATTTCTTTAAGGAAGTGATCAGGATATTGTCTGATTTGAGGAACCATGTAAATTGCTACGGTCCTTTGCAATTGGTAACGTATTTAAGTACTTCCTACTCTCTGTGGGTAGATTTATGTGCAATAAATAGCTGCGTTGTGGAAAGGAACAATGACATTTTGTTTTCAGGATCATGACAGGAACCAGGTGTTCGGTGGTTGGTTGTAAAAACTGCTTCGAGAATACCAAAAGAGAGGGGAAAAATGTAATTTATCATACGTTTCCGAAACATCCACTCGTTCAACAAATATGGGTCGAGAGATGTGGAAGGAAAAGTGATTTTAATCCAAGGACAGGACGTATTTGTTCCGTACATTTTTCAAAAGATGATTACCAGGAAAATAAAGATGACGAGTTCTCTAGTCCACAGCCGAGCAAAAAATTAAAGCCAGCAGGTAAATGATATGGTTTGACCTTTCTATATGTATAACATCGACACGACGAAACAAAGACTGTTCGATAGTATTTTAAAGTGGTTTCTAAATTATAATTAAGAATAAAACATGCTTACATTATTTGTGCAATTTTCACTGCAATTTTCTTTATAATCATGATAGAATATATTTAAATACTATCTTTATTTGTAGCTGTTCCGTCACAACATCTTCCTCCATTTCGATTAGAACAGTCAGAAAGTGAAGAGACGGGACAAGGAGATAATAAACTACCCACAGATAATAAATTTGGAATCAAGCAAAAGATCGCTTTCGATGTATATACGCAAACAGAAATTAATTTTATCGTTAATTATAATGGGTTATTATCTATGAACGGTCAGCTTAAAGCTGACAATGAAGCTTTAAAAGAAGAGGTTGAAGCTTTACAAGTTAGGGTATCACAATTGGAAAGTCTCGTTGAACTGAAAGATAATGAAAACAGCCGATTACAGAATGGAATTAATTCTGTCCTCACGAAGTCGCAAATAGAAATGGTTGTAAATAAAAAGAAAAAGGTCGAATGGACCAATGACGATATTACCAATGCTTTGACGATCAGATATCTTAGTAAGCGTTGTTACCTCTACTTACGAGATACTATTAATTACCCTTTGCCCGCCATAAGTACCCTTCAACGATGGGCCTCGAAGATCGATATGCGAAGAGGCATTCTAGGAAACGTTTTGCAAATGATGCGAATTGCAGGAGATGCCATGACAGACTTTGAAAAAATTGTGGTCATTCATTTTGATGAGATGAAAGTTAAACACCTTTACGAATATGACAAACAGCAGGACGAAATAGTGGGACCGTATTCTAACATGCAGCTTGTTATGGTTGGTGGAATGTTTTCCCCATGGGAACAACCGATCTACGTTGATTTTGACAAACAAGTTACAAAAGAACTATTATTTGAAATGATCTCATTGTTGCATGACATTTCGTATAACGTGGTTGCCTGTGTTTCGGACTGTGCCAGAGGAAACATGGAGTTGTGGAAAGAACTGACAATTTCGCCAGAGAAGACTTACTTCCGCCATCCAGAGACGGATGACAAAATTTATGCATTCGCTGATGCTCCACATCTTTTGAAATCGATAAGAAACTGGTTCGTGGATTCTGGCTTCGTACTGGATGATGGAACCCAAATCTCGAGCCAACCTGTTAAAGAATTTATTCAATCTATGGATAAAGAAACTAGTGCAAGCTATAAGCTAACGATGCAACATTTGAATTGCACCGGAGCTAAACGGCAAAACCTTACGGTAGCCACTCAGTTGTTATCGCACAATACTGCAGCAGCTCTGCAACAATTTCTACCAGGTGCCGATCAAAACCTTGCGAGAAATGCTGGAGTTTTCATCGAAAGAGTTGCATCGTGGTACAGTGTCATGAATTCACACACAGCCGATACTACTGTATTGGAGGAAAAACCTTATGGCTTTGACTTGGAGAGACAAGACGAAGCACTGGATTCAATGTATGAAATAGTACGAGACATGCGAGTGCCTGGAAAGAAAAATTTGCTGATGTTCCAGAGAGGCATGCTGGTGTCTATTGCATCATTGAAGTCACTTTTTGCTGATGCGATACACAAGTATTCTGCGGAGTATATATTGACACAGCGTCTTAGTCTAGAGTCGTTGGAAGGTTTTCTATCCCAAGTGAAGACAGGTGGAGGACCAAATGATCATCCTACACCGTTGGACAGTATTTACAGAATTAAGCTCTTAATTCTCAGGAACAATCCCGGAATTTTACAATCAAACGTTGGCCCGAAAGAAATTGTACAGGACGAGTCCATCGAGATAGTGACCGAAACAGATATTCAAGAAAATTATGATGTGCAACAGATCGAAGTGGAAGGTGCTGATAGTGATCTACTGTTGTTAGCATCGAGCTCTTCCACTCTCAACCCTGTTGGTACTTCTTATACTACCTCCGATAGTGATTCCGATGACATCAGATATATTGCTGGTTGGCTGGCAAGAAAGTTTAAAAATAAGTATCCCGACCTAGAGGATCAAACGTGTAAAACGAGAAACGAAAACGACTATGTATTGCCAACGTGGTTGCAACATTTGTCACAAGGAGGTCTTAGAGAGCCATCGGAAGATTGGTTCTACAAGGTAACGTTGATGGATGTGATGTTCTGCCAGTACCACAAAGACGGAACCGTGAAGAAAGGACCTAATGTGACTAAAGAATTGACAAACATAATTAGTCAGGAATATGGAAGCGTCATACCAATGGATTTAATATCAGCTTTCGTTCGACAAAGAACACTCATCCGATTAAAGTACAACAACGTAAAGCTGAAGGAAGACACGAATGTAGGGGGAACGAAGAGGAAAGAAAAGAAGACTGATGATAAGAAAAAGAAAGATAATGGTACAAATGGGGCAAAAAGGAAGACTGGGATGAGGCAAGGTAGAGGAGGTAAAAAAACAAAGAAAACTAATGATTAGGAATGTGTTAAGAAGTTATTTATTAATACTTGATGATACTAATGCAAGGAAGTATTTCCAACAATGTAATTATACTTTTGTAATAAAATCTACAGCTTTAGGTATCTCGTATCTTTTATTAGAAATAATTTCGTGCACTTTAATTGTGCGATCCCCCACCAGAAATGTGTTGCGCCGCCACTGAGGGGTAGCAGGTGAGAAGTACGTTAGCCACCCGCACCAACCACCAGGGAGCAGCACAGGACCGATCGCGCGACTCTGCCCGTAAGCAATCTCCCAACTCATCTCGGTTTCTAGTATAAGGGTATTCCATCTTCCAATTTATCTCTACTGTTAATTTATGGAATTGCGGCTACCGGATGGCGGGGATGATAACAACTGGCAACGGTTACCATTTATGATAGTGTAACGTGCATTAAACAAAAACATATTTCTTCCCACTCGTGTATAAGTACCGGTAGGTGTACACCTTTACATAGTGTATTTACGTGTGTATTTTTAGTCATTAAGTTTATTAAAAACTATTTTGAAAACTTTAAGTTCGCTTGAAGGCATCGACGGGCTGGTGGAAGAGGTTCAGTGAAATAGCGTGGATTGAAAGAATTAAATAATCATGTCTATGCTTGCCGAGCCTAAACGTAAACAAAGGTGGACACTGAATCCAAGAGGGAAAGCATGGAGCGACGGTAAACATCTAATTAAGACTTGATATCGATACTTATCAGTCGGTTATAATTCATAGCTGTTCCTAGTATAATTATATTGTATTTTTGTAGATTCAAACAAATTTGGACAAAAGATGTTGGAGAAAATGGGATGGAGCAGTGGTAAAGGACTTGGTGCTAAAGAACAAGGTGTTACGGAACACGTCAGAGTTAATTTCAAGAATGACCAGCTTGGTAATGTATATACATTTTCAGTGTATCAGTTAGTACAATTACATGAGTTTATAACAACCGATGTTAAGCGTTGGATATATACCGTTGTATACTGATTTTAAAAAAAATTAGTATAGTAACGGTAAGTCAACAATTGGATATAAGTACATTGTTAGGGATGAAAGACACCTGTTCGATGAATATTACAAATGTTTTGGAGTTATAACTTCGATTTTCCTAACTGGCGGCGAAACCATGTGTAAATGTATTCAGTAAAACTATATTGAAATTAATATGATTTATTCCTTTTTAGGCGTTGGTTTTAAAAGTAAGGATACTACTGAATGGACTCAACAGCAAGTAGAATTTGATGATTTGTTGAAACAACTCCAGAACAATGATGCAGAGACTACAAAATCAGCAGAATCTGAGAAAGTTGCAAATGATGCATCGTTAGAAGTGAAATCCCAGTTAAGTCGCGTGAGAGTCCAGTAAGTATTCAATTTAATGTAACCACTAAATAAGAAACTAGATAGAATTTTAAAGAAAATTAATATTTCCAGTTATCGTAAATTCACTGCCGGTAAAGATGTTAATAAATATAGTAGCAAGGATCTTGCTAGTATTCTCGGGAAGAAGGATTCGGTTGAACAACCAGAATCCCAGGAGCACTTAGATGATATCGGTACGGAAGACTGTACCGCAGGTGTCGTTACAGTGAAAGGAGGAAGTATGGAAGATTACTTCAAGAAAAAGCTGCCGAATTTCTATCAGCAAAAAGGAAACGGTAAAGATGAAAAGAAATCGGACGGTGAGAAACAAGGAACTGCTAAAAAAGTGAAAGATACTGGTAGCATGTCGAAAGTAGTGGAATTTTCCACACAGGAAAGTAATTGTGCTTTCGATAACCCTTGTTTAGATCTGAATAGTCCTCAGAGAAACACTTCAAAGAAACAAAAAAATCCCTTTGTTTTTGAAAACGAAGGCTTCAATATGAAATGTAACGAACCCGAGACACCAGTTAAGATTAAATCTGAATTGAGTGACAAAGGTAACGAAGGTTTCATCAATCCTGCATTAAATTTAGAAAGTCCAGCAGATGATTGTCACAATGGCACAGAATTTGAAGTCTCTCGAGCAGAATTTGGCATTTGTAATAGTGGGTTAGATTTAACCGATGAGTTAACTGGAAAGAAACATGTTACTTTTAATGACGAAGTAGAGTACAGTGACGGTACAACCAGAGAAAGGAAAGGCAAGAAACTGAAATTGGATAAGTTTGAAGTACTGAATGAAAAAATGAAAAAGAAGAAGAAGAAAGAGAAGAAAACTGTGGAACCTGAAATTAAGGGCTTCTCAAATGAGGCATTAGATGTGGAAATTATATCTCAGGAAGTTGCTGACAATGAACAGAATGAACGCAAAAGTATCAAGGCACGAAGGAGGAAAACTCGCAGACTGTCGAGTCTAGAGACGATCATCGAGGCACCAGAAGAAGATACAAAAGAATCCAATAGTGTAGTTCCAAACGAAGAGCTATCGGTTGAGCCTGATTCCTCAAACAACACTGAATCTGAAGTAAAGAGAAAGTTTAAGAAGAAAAAGCGTACAAATCTTAAACAAGAGACGCCAATTATAGATATAAATTCTTCTGATGATGAAGCTGTAGAAATAATAAAAGAAGTTTCAAAGAAAGCAAAGAAAAAAGAAAATCCACCTGATGATTCGAACTCTAAAAGAAAAAAGAGAAAAAGGAAAGACGAAGTAGACAATGTATATGACGAGGAGTGTCAAGTAGTGGCGACTGATAAAGAAAATGCCGAACATGATTCTAGTCAAAATGAAGTGAGCACGCCGAAAAAGAAAAAGAAGAAAGAGGAAAAGAAACCTAAAGAGTTAGTTGAAGTTGACACAACTCCGTATACTCCTCAAGAAGCTCAACAAAATTCAACCAAGCAAGAGGATACGGTGCAAAAAAAGAAAAAAAAGAAGAAAATAACAACTTCAGAAACGTGGGACACTCCATCCAATGAAACCAACGAAAATGTTTCGGCAGAATCAACCGGTGATACAATAGTACAAACTCCTACCGAGAGTAGATTGAAAATATCCAAGAAAATTCTGAAAGTTTTGTTCATTCAAAGTCCAGTTCTTCATTTTAACGGGTCAAATATCAATGAAATCAAAGGCTATGGTAGCCAAATGGAGAAAGCAAATTAAAACATAATATATCAATTTATATAATCGTCAGCTAATATTTATTGTCCGTACAATAATTTGAATTGGTGTTTACTGAGTTTATTGCAGTAATGAATCAAAAATCATTTGATTAGTTGTACATATATATAATGATTAACGCGTGCATAGGATTAACAATGAATGAAGTCCAGAATGTGTGTAATAAATGTACAAAGTATTTCATAAATATTACTTTGGAATTTATTGATAATATAATCATTCCATGGGACAAGTAGGATCATAGGAGAAACAATCAATATGAATCAAAGATAAGTAACAACGTGTTTCTTTAATACAGTTCTTTGCTCACATTAATATTAACTTTCTTGTAAAAGATGGGACTGCTATGAATTAGGATGTATATTCAATAGTTTATTAAAATTACCTGATTCTGATGCAGATGCATGTTTTAGTATGATCTCAACTTCTTTGTAAGACTTGCGTGTAGATATCGATGTTCTAGTATTCAGTACATGGGAACATTTTCGAGTACGTGCAGGTGAGAGACAATACCTTTGCTACTATGCTATATTATCAAACACTTTAGTAATAGTTTTCATCGTTTGTAGCTTTTCATAGAATTTATGAACTATTTCTAAATTCTCCTCGCTTAGATTAATGTAAGTTTGAGGTATGTACTCCTCCTCTGCTTCGACAATATTGTAACTTTTCTCAAGTATATTTACAAATTTTTTAATTAATTCAGGTTGGCATATAAACTGAAAAAGAAAATATTAAAACCAGTATAATCGTATGGCGATCCAAACCATAATTTAATACTACCTGAAAGAGTTTCTCTCCGTCCCTTTCAATTTGTTGCACGTCATCGATTCCAGCATTTATTGCAATTTCTTCTGCTGCACCTAAATCGCCTTTTACTTCTGTCAGAATTACACCTCTACATATAAAATGACGCAGTGCCGAAGAATCTCCAACGGAAAACCTGCGAGTTGCAGTTTGCAAAAATCAGCCCCTTGAAACTGGTGTCAATGTTTTTAAATTGACGGGGTACAAAAAGCAATACACAGCTTTTCAATCAAGGTTACAAGTAATTTGTACTTGCCCTAATTTGTTAGCTATGGTTCTTAATTCCACTTTGCTGTGTGCAAATTGGTCCGTTTCAAATGATACAACAAAACGGGAACTGGCAGGTCCTTGAACGTCAATTACATACGTCTTTGACACTTCTTTTTTCACCGGGTCTCTAAGAATTGAGTCTATTCGTGTAATCGGCATATTTGACTTTTTTGCCCGTTCGACAACATTAGCAAGCTTAGTATTTTCCACCGGCTTATTACTCTTGCCCTCTGAAGGAAACATTAAAAACCTTTACAAATAAGTTGTTCAAATCAAAATAAGATCCGTCATATCGTAAAGCTATTACATGTAGTAACATTAATTCTAAAGCGATGGTTTAAAATAAATATCGGTACTTCAATACTTATGAATACAGGTAAAAATGAATTAATAGAAGGAATTGTTGACGTGCCTAAAATTGCAATCTTCATTTGCTTTGCTAATTTAGTGAAGAGGAAGTGCCTTTCCATATCTTTTTCAGCTTTAATGTGTCTAATGTTCGACCACTTGCTGTGTCCTGCGGAACGTTTACTTTCCACCAAAACAGTTATCAGTCCTCTCATTACAATTACCGGGTTTAAAGTTCTATTCATTTTGCAATGCAGGTAAAATATACGAAAATAATCCTGGGTTTAACCTACAAGTTGCATTATTATCGCATTAGATTGGCCGGCTTGCCGCACCGCGGCGTTGCCATCGTCAGTTGCATAGATTTCAAACTTAAACCCAGAAGTCTATTAGGCTTGGAGAAAAGATTAGTTTGAAAATAAATCATCAAATTCACGAGTAGTGGCACTTCTATCGCATTAAAATTCATTCCCGCGAACTTTGAATTACGGCCAGTGTTGGATAGATGTAATACGTAATGTAATATATGCCATATTGGAAACGTAATTTACTGGTTTTCTACGATTTTTTACACTAAACTCCATGGTTTACATAACATACGTCAAAAGCCTCGAAAAATGCGAAATTACCCAACCCTGATTACGGCTCTCTTATCCTATTTCTCTCTATCACTATCAATAAAGAACGAGCTTCCGTACACGCGGACCAATCAGATGCTGCCAAATACTCGATTCCCGCGGCACGTTCGAATTTGTAACTCGGAGCAGTCGGTCCAAAAGAATCGACGATGCTGATTGGCTGAGCTATCCCAACAGCCAATCAGCGACGACTTCGCGGATGCGTCGACCAATCAGAGCGCCGCATTTCGCTGGGTCAACCTACGCTGAAGACCATACACGCTCTTTCGGTGACGTCTACCCACATGAATACATAATATAATATATCTATATATATACCTAGTCTTATCAAAGTATGTATATAGAAGTCCTCCTCGAAAGGCTCCTACGTTCGACGTAGCGAAGCTTCGGAAAATAAATAGAACGTCGTCGATTCTGGAAGATCCCAAGTGGAGGTTAGACGAGGAGCGCATTTCCGTATCGGGAAATCCGCTCGCCAACGCGAATTAACGCGTCTTGTCTCGTGTCTTGGGGGACGCATTTCGAGGGGTGCACTCGTCTGCTTCGATTTGTTCCTGAACTGGCAGCTCAACGTAATAAGGAAGTCAACCCGCGAAATGGAGGGAGCGGTCGTGAGGTTAATCGTGAAGGCACCTAATCAGCAGATCGAAGACCAAGTGGTCAAGTGCGATGCTGCCTGGACCGTGGCCAGACTTAAGGATTACCTTTCCGAGGTCTACCCGAGCAGACCAGTAAGCCAATCGTTACTTCCTATAGGCTGGACCTTGACCTTCCAGAATTATTCCAGCATGGATTATGACGCAATTTTCTTACACTTGGAGTAGAGATTTATCGTAAACCTGATTAGTACCTTCTGACTCGGAGGGGAAATGCACTCCAAAATAGTTTACATGCACTCTGGATGATGTCATGGTATATTAGATTGCCTATTAGGTTCTCTGTAATGTTATTACAATTTTCACTGATTAAAATTTGATGCTTTGTTTTCAAATAATGAGAGATTTATCGTAAACTCGATTAGTACCTTCCGACTCCAAGGGGAAATGCACTCTAAGATAGTTTAATTTATCTAAGAAGCAGGATAATCACGTAATTAGATTCAAGCCAGTGATAATGTGCAATGGTATAGAATATTTTTCTTTCATATTGGACGATGACATAGTAGGTGCCAAAGCAATAAGAATTACAAATCATGCGGGTCGATTATATCATTATAGCATGTGCTCGATGTATACGAATGATGAAAGCGTTTGATAGTTTAATGTGATAGTCAAATAGTGCGTTGTTATTGAAATGGAATGATTTGATTCAAATTGAATAACTAGATTATAGTAAATTCGTATGATTTTTAAACGATTTTAGTTAACATTTTCTTAAGCTATAATTTATTATCCTACAACTTTATCGTTATCAATGATGTCAATTAAACTGTTAGATAATACTAAACCTTTTGGGTGCCAATCGACTTCATTGTCCTTTATCTAGCTGAACTTTTGTATTCCTCGATACTGAAAACATTAATATCATGATAAACGATGAGTTTATATGGTAATTATTATGTGTTTCTCTACAGAAAATTTCCGATCAAAAATTGATCTACTCTGGCCAATTATTAAACGATACAACGTGCTTGAAAGATGTTCTTCGTCAGTATGACACAACGGAGGAGCAGTCATTCACCATGCATTTAATCTGTGCATCCCACAACTCTTGTACGGAAAGGTTGAGAAACGAAGACAGTTCACCAAGCTTAAAAATGAGTGCCTCCGAGACTGTTGCTAACGACACAAGGCAGGAGAGATTTCAAAGTCATGCTGTAAACTCCAGTGGAACAGAATCGTCTCCTTCAATGTCACCGCAATTTTATGGGCAACTTAATGGTCAACAAATAGCTTGGATGCAAGAAGCCTATACACGTTACCTAACGCAGTACATGCAGTAGTTAGTATTTTATTGTCATTCTGAAGTAATTGTCACTCGTCAGTTATTTTCGTTGATCGTTAGATTACGTCTCTTAACTGAGAAATAAATCTATATCAAGTCATAGTGTCAAAGATTGGCGTTAAGCTGAAGTGAAACACGTCAAGAAATTTAATCGACGTTAGTATAATTATAGTGAAATAGAAGTAAAACTCCAATTTTATATCACTTGTCTATCTGGGTTATTAATACAAAGTAACAATCACTGATTAATCAGTTTCAGATGTATGGATCAAATGACTGGTAGGATTACTGACGTTTAATTTATTTCTACAGTATGACTGCGCAAGGAATTCAGCTGCAGGGCAGCGTACCTTACATCCAACCAACCAATGCCAATCCTACCGAAGCAGGTCGTGTCACTCCGTTGAATAACAACAACGTTGACAATGAACAACAGCCTCGATTAGCAGCTCAAGATGCAGTTGAAGCTAATCCGATAAACAACAATCTTGGAGGAGACGATCTAGTTATAGGGCTACACCGCGATTGGCTCGACTTCTTCTACGTGCTCTCCAGAATCGTTATTCTCTTCAGCATAGTCTTCTTCTACTCGTCTCCTCTAAGATTTCTAATAGTCACCTTTCTTGGCTTCGCCATTTACTTGTAAGTTTTTACGATGCCACCTATTTAATAAGAATATCCTTCGATCGAGTCATAACTTTACGTAACGTTACATTGGTGATCGTAACTAAATGCTTCCCTCCGAAGAGAGATATCTTTTACGTTTTTATCTATACATTTGATATATAAATTATCATAACTCATACCAAGTAACGTGTGGAAATTTGTTCTGAGACTATCAAGGTCTTCATTCGGAGACATCGGATCTCTTAGTGTTCTGAAAGAGTCATTTTATATATATGTAAAAGTATCATATAACTTCTCCAAACTAGATGCACCGAATCGTTGGGAAGTTCAGCATGTGATTATGGAGGATTTCTTGTAGCGGCTAGCTAATCAAGGATGTTTTGCAGGTACCAGGGTGGTTTCTTCCGGGTACAGCCGATCTTGCTGGACAATAACGGCCGAGTGGAGAACAACAATCAAGTGTTACAGAACGAGGCACAGGTGATGCCTCAACAGCAGCAGGCCGCACCTGCAGGCATGCAGGCGGAGGCGAGGACAAACGGGAACAACGACAACGAGGAGGAGAGGCCAGGTCCCCTGGCCTTCACGTGGACCTTCTTCAGGTCGTTCTTCACCTCGCTGTTCCCGGACCAACCGAACGTCATTTAATCCTGCCAGAAATCCGCCGCACCTGTGCAAGCACCTCTTCGTTCCCCTCTAATATTTCCGTTGTTCATCCGACGATTCGGCGGTTCGAGAGGCAACTCTGGTGATCCAGGCCAAGAGTGCAAATCCCGGGCGAGTTTCGACGACAGTCCACAAGCTGAAGGACTGTTCAAGCCGAGTTTTGGAGGATTTTCAAGAATAACCGTCGAGAACGGAAAACGGTGAACCAGGGAGTCACCCGAGAGCCGTCCTGGCGAGTCCTTAAATTGTTAGACTATCTGAAAAACCGATAACATAGGGGAGAGATCCCGGACGTTCGAATGTTTGAAAAAATCCTGGGCTATTTGGAAAGCTCATGTCGACGGTTCAAATTGGGCCTAGCTCTTGGAAGGGGATCGCTCGAGCTGTTCCGCAGACTCGAAATGGCTGACCATTCAAAGACTTCTCAAGTTTAAGGTGATGTCAAAAGGGCGCCAAAGAGGTTTGGTTTATAAAACATTTCTCTCCATTCGGTTTACCGAATAGTTGGAAACTTTACAGCGTGAATAGGGAGACTATAAGGAAAGTCCTGAAACTCGTGAAATTTCAATTCTTTTCAAATTTGTTTATAGGTATTATAAAAATAGTTTACAAAAAATGTAACTTCGCGAGTTTCAGGACCTACCTTAGGGTCTCCATATTCACGATTTAAAATATGAAACGATTTGAGACACCCAGTTCGTAGGAAAGTTTTATGAACAATTGAGCTTTCGGATGCCTTGAAAAGGAAGCAGGGACTCTAAGAACTCTCCTGGCTTGAGGAATAGGATGCCATTTTGAGCTCGGATTAAGTGAACCCAGTATTTATTGTAAATTTTTGGTACTCGAATGAAGATAATCAAAAATCGGGGTGACAAGGTCGACGCGAAACATGGTGGGGTAGAAGGCTCGAGCAATCGGGGGATTTTCGGATATCGAAGACGCAGGCGAAAGATCAAAGATAATCCGAGCCTGATGCCCGGTTTCACCAACCTCGGTTAAATCCTTGATTACCTAACCGTATGGTTAAAGTTAACGTCTAAATTAATCAGGGATTAAAAGCTTAAATGTTCCACCCATGGAGTAGTATAAGGAGATCTAACGACATTTATTGAAATCGTCCCCACTGTAGGGGTTCAAGGTGTTCAGTTTTTCTTTTTTTTTTTTTTTTGTTTATCCAAGGCCGAAAGCGCCACCTCGATGAAATTTTGCAATTAAAAGTTATCGTCTGTTAGTCTTTATCACGTTAAAATCATTACAGTCTGTATATCATATTGATTATTAGTATCTTATCTAATTATCATATAGATTATCGTTTTGCTTAGCGTATCTTAATTGCAAGATTAAAAGCATTTTAGGTAAATTACGGCGATAGGACATCTTGTGGTCGTGTAGTTCCCTCGTTTTCCGCAAGTGGTGCTCGCATCGTTGATCAGAAAACATCTGAAATCATGGGTCCCGATTCTAAGGCTACTTTCTGTGGAACCGAAAGGCGTTATATCTTCTTTTACTACTTCATAGTTCCACCACATTTATTTAGGGAGTGATTAACTAATCGTATACACCATTCTAAGTAAATTGAATTGTCAGTAATTGGCTGATTATCCGGTCGACTAGAAAGCAAGATAGATGTGTCCTTGTCGCGAGAAGAAATCCTCCTAGCTTCCTGCAAGAAGTTATTTAACATGTGCTAGCCTCAAGGAATAAAGTTCCTTGGGTTAAGAATTAACATGAAATATTTCCAAGCGTACTTCGATCACTAAGAAATTGTAAATAAGATTAAGAAATGGTTTTCATCCGTTTCCCCACAAGATGTTAATACATAATCAAGATAATGCATGTTTTCCTCGCGTTTGTTCAGCTTTTAGATTGAAGTTTGATTAACTTAAGCTAAACGATCTAATTTCACTGGTTGATCTAAACGGCGGTTAATAGGAATTAACCTGCCGTTAAAATGTGGTGGAACGTGAGAAATTGTAAATAAGATTAAGAGATCGGTTTTATCCGTTTCGTCAGGCGATGTTAATACATGATATCAAGATAATCCATGTTTTCCTAATATTTGTGCAGCTTTTATATTGATGTTCGATTAACTGAAGCTAAATGTGGTGGGACGTCCAACTCGTAACCGTGGATTAGATTTTTAACCGAGGTTAGTGGAACCGAGCATGAGAGAGCTTCGGAAGCTTTCAGATAAAAGTTAACGTAGGAACGAAGAAGTGGTTGTGTTTAAGGAGGGGACGTATTTCTTCGCCCGGTGTCGATGAACCAAAGGAGAGAATATAGGAGGAGGTGGAAAATAAGGAGAGAAATCGAGGAATCCTCCGGTAATCCCAAAGCCGACGAGGAGGTCGCGGGTCTCCTTGGTTGAGAGCCTTTCGAGGAGGCAGTCTTACGATATATTTCCAGTGTACGATATTTTTTTATTTCCGCATCTCCGTGACGAGGCAACGATGGGGTAAATATATACCGTGTATATACATATATGGATATAAAGGATGTCGGACATTATGGAGTTCAATGTTTCATAGACGGATAAAAAGTAGGGATTAATGAGGAGAGGTCGCTCTTCCGCTGGAATATGGAAGGAGATAAATGCGAATAACAGAGAAATTTAACGAAAGAAGGGAAAAGAATGATGGCTAGTGCAGGAGATGGAGTGCCAAGAGGCTCGAAACGTAACGCTAATTTATAAAATGTGGTTCCACCGTTGCAATAAGCTTTATAAAGGTCCGCGGAACTAAACGTTTATTGTTGAGAGGATTAAAAGATAACTTGGGAAATTAGAGATTAACTTGCGGAATTAGAAATAAACTTTGAGAGGCGCATCGATTGTTCGCGCGATCCGTTGCCGGTTGGTCACGGTGTGTAAAGAGCATAGTCATCAGGCTGTCCTAGTTAATACCTCTTGTAATTTTCCTAAGCGCATTGTTCTGTATATAAATAACGAATAAAAGACGTCAATACGAAGTTCCTGGTTGCCTGAGACGTGCTCGGTTGGAATCAATTGCATTTTGCTACCCAGGAGTGAAATAGGAGATATTTCATAGACGTCGGTAAAAATGATTCTTCTAAATACCTACGTTGCCGACGTTGGTATTTATCTTGACAGCCGTGTCTAATTATATTGATTGATCTATTAGAGGGGCGTTTCACTTCTCCTTGACGTAGAGCTTTATAACTGGCGAGCGTTCCAGCTTATTGTGTATTCCAGCCGCTGACAATTCCTTAATTGTATACTCTTGTAAAATGTGCAGCAATGATTTAACCGAGGTTTCGTTGTGTTGTGTAATTTCTTCGAATTTGAATTACCCGCTGCTGCTAAGTAGGCATTTCCTCTAGAGCTGAGCTCTGATTGGTCGTTGTAAGTTGCCGGCGAGTTTCGATTGTTGCCGCCATTTTTAAGCGTCCCTGGCAACCGGCTGTCAGTGGAGATAGGGATAACCTCAAAACGAATTGAAAATCAGGTATCTCATTGTATGTTCCTGCAGAATGTGTCCCAGTGATTTAAGGGCGCGATCGAACAATTTCTTCAGAAATTTGTACAGATAGCATATCTCAATATGAACGGAGATAAATGGCGGAGTATTGAGAAATTAGGTAATGATACTTTTAGGGTTAGAGCAAGCGGCGGAGTGCCTTTTCAGAGTGAGACAAGTTTCATGCAATTGGCGTTTGATTATGAGGATGAGACTTTGTTAGCTGTAGATTTGAAAGGTAACCTGTATTGTGTCGAGATAAATCATGATCCTCCTCGCTACAAAATACTGGGACTGGTGGGGCCAGCGACGTTCATAGAGTTCTCGCCAAAGGACAAGAGCGAAGTACTTATCGGACTCAGTAATTCTGACATCAAGGTCACAAAATTAAAACATGTGGAGGAACGTTGCTGCATCCTTTCGGGCCACCAAGTCCCTCCATCGAATGCTTCCTTTTATGAATCGTATTGTCTGACGTCGTCGAACCATGACGCAATAATATGGCATCTTCCTTCCTGCTGCAAGGCGCATCAACTTCGCTTGAATTCAAAGACATCGGCAGTTCTAAAGACAGGATTCTCAAATCTTGGACATGTGGTAGCACTATATCGCAACGATGTCATTCAAGCATGGAACTTTCCTCGACTGGATGTAGATTCAAAGATTCACATTAGGCCGATGGGTCTGCGCAATATCAAAGATTTTGCCTTCACTAGAGATGGAAGAGCATTGGCTTTGGGAGGATTTCAGAGCAAAGTACTAATACTTAGCACCCATGATTGGACTCTCATAAAACGATTCGAGCTACCAAACAATTTTGTGGGAATAAAACGACTGGTTCCAGTTTCGACACCCCTTGATGGTGGTGCAAACAAAATAATCGCAGTTCTGTCTTCAAATTGTGCCTTACATATGTTGAATCTCGCAATGTGTTCTCTCGATCCTAATCCAAGAACACCAGTCGAAGGCGTCTTAAAGTTCAAAGTCTCTCAGAGTGGCCGATATCTGGGTTATGTTAATAACAATGGCTGCCTAATAATCATGAGCCTCGAAGGAATATTATTAGAGGAATCTGCAGCCGTTGAAAAGATTAAAGTCTCTAGCAAACCTAGACTGGACACCCATAGCGCAAAGGACCACCTTCGCTGTGTGCATCGCGAGATGAAGGAGGAGCTGAAGCTTACAAGATTGCTTCCGATTCTGCAAGAATTTGGAGAGTATCCGAGTAAACATCGAGCACTGATATGGACCACTATTTTGGCTCTACCAGAAAATAGAAGTGCCTTTGCAAAATTGGCAAACGAACCTTCATTGCAAAGCTCTTCTTCGGAACTCTTGAAGGACTATCCTTTGGCAGATCGGACTAAAGCCAGCCTACTGACTACGACTGTCGAGTGCTTGGTCAATTGGTGCCCTCGTCTTTCACAGACTGTATATTTGCCTAAGCTTGTTTTTCCATTCCTCGTAGTCTTTCAGGTATTTACCCACAGTTCATATTTATAACTAGTTTCCTTGGCTTCGCATAGCAGTCAAGAAAACTCTTACGAAAAGAGAAATCTGAAAAAAATTCCAGGCTATAGAAAATTAACCATACCTTAATTATGTCAAATATAGGTTTACGATAAATTCTTTTAATTGAGAAATAAATATTTATAAAATTGAAATGCCGAACTTCGGCGTTAAACGTTCAGTGCCGATTGCACATACTTTTTAATGGATTTTATTTTTTACGTAAATTGTTTTACAGAAAAATCCATTATTGGCTTTTGAAGCTGTTCTGACTATTCTGATGAACTACTGTCAGAAGTGGTTTGAGTATCATCCACTTCCGCCGTTGAACATCCTTGGGATTTTGGAAAATGTACTCCTCGAAGCGGACCCCAAATTGTTGAATGTCTTCTGTGAACGTAAAGTGACTTCTACGGAATATGCATGGCCACTTTTACAGTCCATGTTCAGTGAAGTTCTCAATGGAGATGATTGGCTTGTTCTGTGGGATCATCTGCTTTCGTACCAGAAACCTTCACTATTTTTAATGTGCGCCGTAGCCTACAATATTTGCGCAAGGGAAACAATTATTCATCATTTGCACTCTGCAGAGGACCTGAAAAAATTCTACTCTAGTTATGGTCATGTCAGGGTTAAGAATCTTTTACAAGTGGCCAAGCGATTGGATCGAGATACATCATTCAGAATTCATCCTGATCGATACCTTGAGTAAGGATGAAAAAAGCCTAAAATACTTTCTCTAGCCAAGATGTACATTTTTAATGCATGTTTAATCGTTAGATAATTTAAGGATAAACATTTCTTTTAAGGTAATCATTGCGGTTTAAGTATTTCCATGCCATGAAGTTCCGTAACAAATTGTACTCCTGGTATACGCAGTGACAGTACTTTTCTAATTTTATTAATTATTTTTTATTGTTACAGAGTATAATTGTTTTCAATCGTCCTATGGCCATTGCTTTAAATTAAAATGAATCTTGACTGTCTTTATTTTAAGGAAGAAGTTCTGTTCGTTACCATCTAAGGGTCCGTATCCACCATTTTTGATACAACAGTATCCAAAACTTATGGCGGAGGAATATCATTTGGAAAGTCTCGAGAAACTCAAGGAAGAAGAGAAGCATCTACGAGAAGAAAAACGTGCTGCTGCGAAGCTTGCAGAAGAGAAAAGGTTACGAGCAGAGGCTGACAAATTTCTAAAAGAAGTCCATCAAACCAGATTGGACGGTAATTAACTTAATTTTATATTTATCACGATTATTTTTTATCTAGGTAAAATATATACAATCATATAATAATGACTGCAATAATGTCATCGATCAATCATTCGGAAGATATAAATACTTTCTTTATACCATTTCTTGCTTAAATTATTTATACTATTAACTTTAACTTATATTGTTACTTATTCTTGCTTAAATAACCTCCTTATACTCTTATTTGATACTATATTATTACTTGCTTAATTGTAAAAGTTATATCATCGAAGATTTTTGTTCAGCTGTTCGCAGGAGTTACTCACAAATGATAAGAGATAAGGAACGTTCATTGGAAGAGATTAGAACTGGAATAAGAAAATACTCCGAAGGAGAATTTGAAGGAGAAGACGAGGAGAGCCCAACATCTTCTGGAGTCGAAAGTGGTACGGAAGAAATTAGAGGTGAAAGTCGATCTACAAATAGAGAAAGATCTGCTACAAATTATGAAAAACTGAGAAACGAAGTCAATCAGCTAGAAAGCGAAGTACAACATTTACTTCATGGTACAGGACCTCGCCCATCCAGGATATTTCAAACTTGAAGATCCTTTAGCTCGAAACAATATAATTATTATATAAACATTGCAATGTTTAAGTCAGATTAATGTAACAAGACTGATGAACAAGAATTAAGTAACTGTTAGTACAAAAATAATAAATTGGTCAAGGATAATCAAAGATTGACCTATCTTTGTTAAGATAAAGTGAAACACGTTAAGAAATTTTGATAAGTGAAAAAATTGTGATGAGAAAAATTAATCAGAATTGTATGCATCGTAACTAGTGCTTTGTCTGGTTAAATAAGTAGTCATTTATTTACCATGGAAGCAAAACTTTATTAACGCTACAAATACAAAAATAAAACTTTCGTATTTCTTTCATTTTATTTTGCTTATCAGGTACTCACGCATGTACAAGTGTGTATCGTTTACGAAATGTTATATACAAAAATTAAGGTTTTTCAGAATTTTGTGTAATGGTCTTGAAATTCTTAAAACCTTGATCCAGTTAATATTTAATCATATTGAATAAGAGCATGAACCGGAGCATTAAATCTTGAACGACCATTCAATGAAAGCAATTCTATTAGTACAAAACACTCCACGATGTCTGCTTCTAAAGATTTCACTAATTTTACTGCTGTCGCTAAAGTGCCTGCAATAGGAACGAGATTACATTCTTCAAATGCACATTTTAAATTACAAAAAGAATTTAAACTTTTAAGATACGCTTAAAACCCCAATTTTAATGAGGATAATGATGTTTGTTAATACAAAGGATTGACTTTAAAATAATAACCAATTCCCTCCTAGTTGCAGAATGTAGTTAAATAAAACATTCCATAGATAGCATGTCCTAAAAATTAGTTTGCGATTTACACACCTCCTGTAGCAAGTAAATCGTCCACAAGAAGAACTCGTTTTCCTTTGAGTTTTGGTTCTTTTTGAATTTCAAGTACACCCTGGACATATGACAAAACAAGTGGTAAATTTATAATCTACTAAGCCTGGAATAAATAGATTAAATATCTTCATTGTACTAATTTTCATTCGCTTACAAAGAAGAAAGCGATAAGCAAGAAGGTTTATCAACGTTTCTCTAACCTCTCCGTACTCCGACATAAATGATTGCTGATAAACATTGCCTGGCAGCTTTCCTTTCTTCCTTATGGGGATGAATGGTTTGCCTATTTCTAAGCAAATCAACGGTCCGATTAAGAAGCCTCTAGAGTCAAGCCCTACCACAAAATCTATGTTTAGCGATGCAACGTGTTCGATCAATAAATCTTTCATCGCTCGCGTTGCTTCTACATCTTGGAAGACGCTAAATATATCTCTGGAAACAATACATTTCATATCAATTATTTAAACATTACACCGTATCAATTAAAATCAAGCATTTGCATGATTTCAATTGATACGGGTAATTGTAACGTGTAAATAAACGTTAATCGGCATAACTTTACATTGTACATAAAAAATAATTTTCAATTGCAAATCAACATTGACAAGTATAGACTTAAATTTTACCGGAATAATACTCCATCTTTAGGAAAATTCGGGTAAGACTTGATAGCGTCTTTGACGATTTTCAGTTTCTCATTTTTATCCATTTTTAATAGTAATCGGTGGTTGGTGCGGCCGGCTAACGTAATTACGCTAATACGTAATTCGGCGAATAAACACACGTGAGATGAAAGTGCGAGAAGTGAGCGCGCTCGTCAAAAATACGTAATAAACGCCCAGGGTTGGGTGATTTCACGATTTTCGACGTTTTTCACGTATATTACGTAAATCAAGTAGTTTACGTAGAACGTAGAAAACCTGGAGCATATCAAATATGGCGGACAAGACAGCGTAGGCAATGCGTCAGGATGATGCGAGCGTGATTCTGATTGGTTGTCCATCCTCGACGCGTTGACGTGGCGCACTCTTTGTGACATCCAACGCGCTCAGTGGGACTCTGGTTTCCTCTGACGTAGCGTCAAGCGAGGACAAGTAGAAGGTAATTATATCAAATTATGTCAATTAATATCAGTGATTGACTCCCACTAAGGAAGTTTGTTAGAGATTCAAGACTTGTCCGTACGACGTGCGTCGGTTGCTCAGTTAAACGCAAGTTCGAAATGGCTTCTTCGTCACCTGTTTCCATGGACGAATTCCAAAACTTGGTAAGACAGATCGATATTTTTCAGGATAATAGACATGGGTATAAACATTTTATTGTTGGCCTTTCAGTCAGTCTCGCTGTCTCGAGAAGATAAAATTCTCAGCGGTTTCCAGGTGTATCCTTTTCAAGATATCTTCTACAAGACTCTTCTCCCGGCTGTTGTGTACTTATAGGTTAGGGTTTACTGTCAGTGTCAACATAGTGAAACATGGTTTGTTTATTACTTATCCCATTTGTAGTCAATGCATAATGGGTTCTATCCGTGCGGGTAGAATCTCACATCGTGTGGATATAAGTCATGGTTTAATGTAAATTTAGAACGTGGCCCGTTTTTTTCTATTGTTTATGAAAAAATTTTATTCAAACATTGCGTAAGTTGGAATTCTCTGTCGCTTGATCTTAACAGCTTTGAGTATAATTCTTTAGACATTTCACAGACGTATCATAGTGAAAATGATGCTATATGTCGCTGCTTCGGAGAATATTGTTTGGGTATAAATTAATTGTACATATTTTATAATCGGTGAGATCAAAAACACGTGGTTTGAAATTTCAATGCTAAACGTCGAAGTTCTCATCGCTTTTTTTAATGTATGTTATAATTTATTATCATCAAGTTAAATTGTTGTTGAGCTGGACTTAAAAAGTGACACGATCGGATGCAGATATTAAATTTAATATTGTGAAACACTCCTGAACTATTTCTTCGACAGTAATTGGATAAATCTGAGGGATGCCGACAGTGGTAAAATTATGTGGCAGGGTACCAAAGACTTGTATGTATATTAAAAAGTCATAAACATTTTATGGGTTGAATATTAATTCGTAATGAAATTTTTAAATATGGTTTAAGGTCCTTTCCGGTCGTGGAACACGAAGCTCGAGTTCCAAAAGAGATTCTTAATTGCAGAGCAGTGTCCCGGGAGATAAATTTTAGTTCGAAAGAACCTATAGAAAAGTTTCGACTAGAGCAGAAGGTCCTTTACAAGGGACGCTGCCTGGAAGAGTGGCACTTTGAATTTGGCCTTGTTATTCCGAACAGTACAAATACATGGCAGAGTCTGATACAAGCAGCACCTGAAAGCCAAATGATGCCAGCTCATGTTATAAAGTAAGTCTTATTGTTTTAAGTATGTTATTTTTATACAAATTTTGTTAATACTTTATTTGATCTTGCAGCGGTAACGTAGTAGTAGAGACAAAGTTCTTCGACGGTGATGTTCTGATATCAACAAGTCGAGTTCGTCTTTTCTATATTTAAAAATAAGAGTGGACTGTTACTGGTCATCAACGGGATCAAGATCTCCAAGTATACTTTTAAGAAGGAGTGATGTGAATACTTGCAGTAAAGAGTTTATTTAATTTATTTTCGGGTTAATATTGTACCATTCGGTATGCTTACGTACTACGTCTACGTTAGATTTGTACAAACGTTCATTGTTTCATGCACATTTTATATTTCACACAAACATCACGAATCACCTACTGGAAAAATAGTATTGGTTTAGTAGGACTGCAAATACTTTTGTTTTCAAACGAAGGAATATTATCAGGAGAAATTATGATAGACTGAGCCGCTACCACGTCTCTTGATATTAGAATGAGCAATTGGTGACCTGAACTAATCTGGTGGTCGCTGTCCGAAGTCTTAGGTATGAAAACACTTAAGAGAACCCATTCATTCACTTTTTATCGAAGAATTAATTACACAATAGTATATTACATTACATAGTACATTCTTTGCAGCATTTTATTTGTGTCGATGTGAACTATTTCAGTGCTTTGGAAACAAATCGGACACAAGCTTTTTGAAAATGCATTTATGTGAACGCACACGTTTTGAATGAATAGAGCATCGAACACACATTACCTGATTTTAATATAGTCTACTATTAGTGATAAGATTTCTTATTATTCCCGGTTATTGACATTTTCTATCGACAAGTTATCGATGGGCTGTCGATGTATAAGGTGCCCTAAGGTGTAAGTGTTTTACACCGATATCAAAAAAGTGCATCTTTCTTTATAAGGACCAATGTCATCGATTTGTACATCTATATGTTGTGATACACGACACCTAGCAATAAATGTTATCAAACGTATAGTTTGTTGATATTGCAGCATCTGATTAATATTTAAAGCGAATTAACGCACCGATGGTTCTACATAAATGCCAATTTCATTTAGCATTTGATGCTTCATTAAAAACTATTTAGTGTTCTTCGGTAAAAATGCTTCGTCAATAAAGTTGCATTATAATTCTTATTATCGAGAGGACTTTTTTCCAAATTTCTACTTTAAAGAATAGAAACTTTTCCATTTTATTTAGGCTCTAAGAGAAGTTTCAACGAACCTAATTGAGATATTTTAATTAAATTTCACGAGCAACACGTTCTTCTTTAGGGCCTCCATAATCATGGCTGAAGTTTCAAATGATTCGGTGCATGGAAAAAGGTTTTATAAATATTTCATATTTAATGTTGAACAGTATATGACAAGGAAATGAATTAAAGGTAAAGTGGAACACGAGATTCTTCGTCGTGGAGTTCCAGCTCAAGGTCAGAAGACCGTAAGCGCTTTTCCGCGGCGCGAAATCTGAGAAATCGTTCCTCGGGATTTCTCAGCTCTTTCGTTCGCAAAAGCCTGGTCTGTCGTCGTACAAAGGCAAGAACACCTCTCTCCAATGTTCTCTCAGTTCTATTATTGATTCGCGGTGTTGAAGCGATACATTTTTGAGGCTTCCCTCGGCTGGTAGGGAGAGTGAGTCCTCGGGTGCTACCATCCCCTACTCAGTCGCACCTATGGCATACAGGTGTAAGTGAAAAAAAAGTCTAAGAGCGAAAGAGACCGATAAAGAGAGGAAAGAAACGAAGCTCGACCAGCCAGTAGAGCAAGGTGCTCCAGTGTCGAAGACTCCCCAACACTCATTGGGCAGAATTAGCATCATCGGTGCCCTCTTCGAAGCCTTCGACAGGCCTAAAATCAGAAGAAAATTAAAACTCGACCCTGGCCCGACTAAATTACCCTCGTATAAGTTCTCGTAACAGGCTTTAAAATCGTTTGCCACGATCCAGGAAGGCGAGGTCGAGATGGACCTCAAGGAAGAAGAGGAGAGTGCCAACGATGCGGAGAGGCAATTGTTCTTGGTGGGTCCTCCGAATGATCCTCTGGTCTCCGGAGGGCAGATCGTTGGTTCTGGTCCCTCGGACGAGATCAATCCTGGTGGTGATCTTCAGACGAACGCCCTCGCCGGTCTGATGTGCTCGCAATCTTCCTCGGTCTGCTTCCCTGTGAAATTCAGTAAGTGAAGAACGGCGCTTTGATCTAATTAACAGGTGTATCTCTCTCCCTCTAGCCTGCAGCCCGCAAGTTGGGGCAGTCAGCTCAATTAAATTATTGCTAAATGCATTAAGCGTTCTGGCCGAGCCCTTTCTTAAATGGAGTTAGGCGGACTAATCAGTTTAGGAGTTATGAGAACCCGTTTCACCTGTCGCATGGTGTAACGCGATTAGGCTGATTCGGTGAGGGTGGATGAAGTCAGAGGAGAGTAAACTCGTGGCTCCTGTTTCGGATAATGAGAGGCCCTCTTCGAGTCTTGTGATTATGGTATCGGCTATCGAGTTTGGGATTTTCATGGCTTCGGTGCTAAAAATAAATTCCTGTTATTTCAACTGTACATTTTTCTTTGCACGAATGTCACTCGCTATTAAACATTACACTAACACTAAGCTTAGATATCTTTTGTATATACCCATTTCTACAGTCTGGGATTTTTACGGCTTCTGTGCGGAAAGTAAATTCCTGTCATTCAAACCGCACATTTTTGCAAACTGCAAAATGCCTTTAAGACAGTTTATCACTTTTTTTTTTTTATTAAGCCTGTTATCCAATATCCAAAATAAGTACACGTAACTAATCCTGAGCCTATACATTTATAAACATTCTACTCACCTTGTAGCATACGACTTCTCTCCGAGTCCTGGAAACGAAGACCGACAGCCTTCCGGAGTAGGTAAAAGGAAGCAGAGGAGGTATCGAACAACCTTCACAAATTTCCAGTTGGAGGAGTTAGAGAGAGCCTTCCAGAAAACCCACTACCCGGACGTCTTCTTCAGGGAAGAACTGGCACTGCGAATCCAGTTGACCGAAGCTCGAGTACAGGTACTGCATTAGTTCAAACATGATCTCGACACCTTCAAGACCTCTTTCTCTGCTGAAGATACCTTTAACAAAACGATTACTACAGGTTCTATTCAAATTCATTATCAGAGATATTTTAAACAGGTATGGTTTCAAAACCGAAGAGCCAAATTGAGGAAACAGGAAAAACAGTGTAAAGTATCGACACACATGAGTCCTCACCTGCAACAGTCAGAATGTTCAGAGAGCCAGCAACAACAACAACAGCAGTCCGATCACTTGTTGCTGGAGCCACCATTAGGAAGTCCTCCTCCGATATACTTAGGGATGGAGTGGGCAGGATTTTCTCCTTACACCAATGCAGCAACTGCCTCTCCGCTGATAGTCAATGGCATGAGCAAGCCTCCGGAAGCTGACGACAACTCTCTTCTGGACCCTGACCTCTTGCAACTGAAAACTCCTCGTTCCTAATGTCAACGATACAAGTTGTAGCTTTAAAGTCTTCGGTGAATCACGATAGGTTCACTTTTCACACCACCGGTGACTTCGATAGAGGTTAAGTAGCTTAGATTTTTTCTCTTCGCATCCTTCCCAGGGTGAGACCCAGATGAGACGTTAGTACTTCGGTTAAGATCGTTCCACGTTTCACGTTCCACGTTCGGATAAGATCCGTCCAACGAGTGGCACTGTTCAGGCAGCCAGGGCTCCGACCCAGGGAGGTCGATAGAGGTGGTCGTTTGGAATCGAAAGTTTTTACTGACATTATGAGAACTTCTTTAGGTAACAAGTTTATTTTAAATTGGAATTTGGCTTAGTTAATATTAATAGAACCGTAGGATGGTTTCAGTACATTATCCTTGGTCTGAGGCAGACACGTGTGACTTATTCCAGAAGAAATTTCACCTTGTTTCCATTAATTTCATCGCCAAAACCATGGCGTGTGACGAATTCACGTTTTATGCTTGTAAACAGAACGTCCGTTAAGAGAAATATTTGTGCAATTGCAAAGGCTAACGTTACACCAAAATAAAAATTAGCATTCGCTGATCTAGAATAAATCCACTGATGCCAAACTGTTGGTGCAAAGACTGTACAGAAGAGTATGAAGCAGCCAATGACGAAGCCTTGCTGCATGTCTGAAACAAATCGTATGCTGAAATAAAACTGCAAGCAAAAATGTTTAAAATATCTTCAATATGAAGTTTAACTTACAACGAAATAAATGTTTCCACAGTGGCAGTAGAGACATGTAAAATCCCACGTCACCTATGCACGGATATGACTTAAATATAGACGTAATTGCCAAAAATGAGAAAGCCAAAAGCAAAGGGTCTCTTCTTAATCTCAGTGCCAAAGGTACTACGTACAGCGTACCAACGTTTATTTGGAACGAAGCGACAAAGAGCCACCTAAAGTGCTCGAACATTTCCGTAAAGAAGTACCAATACAAACCAATATTTGGCCTAAGGTCTGGCACTGTTAAAATGAAACCAAAGGTACTTCTAAGAAAAGACCAGCTCCCCGTTATATAATACGAAATGGACAGTAATGCAATCGATATGATACAATATATCAATATCGTTTTTACAATAACCCACAATACATCGTGTCCATTTTTTCCCCTAGAGGAATAGATAATCGTTGGAATCATGAGATTTACCGGATAAAGACCTTGCAACGTAAGTAGTGCATTAGCCAAGGAACTACCAACTGTCCATTGTCTTATCATAAAATATAAGGCAGCGGAATAAAGAAAATTTGTAAATACAGTGGTGGTGAACCCGACGCAATTCAACACAACGTAAGGATTGAATAAATAAGCTGCAGGTATATAAATGACAGCTGTCGAACTAATATCACCCATGGAAGTCTGTGATTTCTCGTTAGTGTCATTGACAAAATGTGTCCTTTCTTCTTTTTCCTTAACGATCTATAAAAGAAAGTCATATAATGCATAACCTTTACTACATGAATGATGCACTTACTAGTTCCTGAATGTATAATTTTGCCGTCGCAGCAAGGAATAATGCCGTTGCAAGGTCGGTTAAAATAAACAGCACGCATAGTGCCCAATTTGATAAATGCATTTGCAACGATGCAAATATGGCCAGGCCGATAGGAGTCTCGTGGAAAACATCGCCACTGTAGGGGTCGATACCTTGATTACGCAGGTATACTCCTTCTGTTACTAAAACCAGAAACGAAGTAAGTATCATTGAAAATGATGAGAAATGCAGGACTAACCTCTTTTCCAGGAGTTTAATGCTGTTGATACTTCCACCCGTTCACTAATAATACTTTGATAATTGGAGCGCATAAGAAAGATGCGAATGGCACTGGCTAGAATTAAGTTATTGAAAATTCGTTTCTTCATTTTTATGTGAATTAAAAGCTGTTAAAAACCATGAATAAGGGTCGCGTCGATCAGACCCGACTAGAGTCGCGGACCGCGACTCTAGTTAACCGGAGTTTAAATGGTTTACAGCAGGTTTAAACCACGTGTAAACCAGTTACACTTAGCGCCGTGGAACTGCTTTCAAAGGGGCGAAATGTTCTCTATCGGTAAAGAAAAACCCGCCTGCAGGTTTCAAATACAACACAGTGTCGATGCAATGAATTATCGCCTTTTCGTTTTTAGTATCAGGGTCAACGTAAGTTGGGAAAGAAGACTGCGAATACCAAATAAAGTTGTTATACGTGGATGATTGAGATTACGACGCGGCATCCACGTTTACCCTGTTTTACCGATCACGGAGATTTCGCCCCTTTGAAAGTAGTTCCAATTTTTACAAAGGTGTAAAGGGGGTAGAGGGCGCTAGGGGCCCGTGCTTCCCTTTCAAACAATAGCGTAAAACATCTTTCTGCTTATCTCTGGTAATGCGATAAGACGGTCTGGTTTACAAATCCCAGATTTAGAGTACGATGGAGACGTTGTCCGTATAAAGTCGATAAAGTCCGAAGGCACGCTCGAGTAGACCGCATGTTTCCTTTTTAAATACGTACATATGTGCGGATCGATTTCTACTCTTTGGGATATAACTACTCGCACTGGTATGTCTCAATTATTGATTTCTCTCCGCCAGTGATATCACTAAGTACTTCTAATTGCATAATTCACTGCTTTACTTTGTACACAGATCTTGCATTTTATACAGGGTCGAAGGTACGGACAAATTTTCTCTGATCTCAACCAAGTTGTCGATATAGATCTTACTTCCATCGGAGAATTAGTCATTATTTAATCAATCATGACGGATATTCAGCTTTTTATCCGAAGACTCTACTACGATCCCTTCAGATGGTACGTTTATTTAAGTTTGCTGTAACGGTACAACTTTGACTTGGAGGATAGATTAATCTACTATATTTCATGTATTTCGTTTTCAACTTTACAGGTCGGTGGTTAAAAGTATCGGCCTTTTTGCTTTAGGGGTAAAAATTGCCCTGGAATGTAGGGGCATGGATCTGATGTCTCCTGTTACTTCTTAGATTGTAAGTCCTCTTCCCGATGTCGAAGTCTCGAGGATTTATTCTCACTGTCCTCTATGTGTTAGTAACATAACCTTTCAGCAATTTGTACATATTATTAATGGAAATGATAAAATATTAGATCCACAATTATTTTGTGATATCTATTCCTTTTCTTTCTTTACTATTGTATACAAATATTATCGATTAAGTTTAACTGAGACATCTTACGTGCTACAGATAACTAATAGTTCGAGATCATTCCATTGAATTCTGGATCAATTTTGATTTGGTATTTTGAACCTAACTAGCAGTTTTTCAGTACGTCATCCATTGTAACCACAGTAAAAAATTAAAAAACAACTATGTAGCTGAAATGTTTAAGCAGGCTCTAATATTCATGAAAGTATTGGTTATACCACAGGTCTCTAATTTGTTCCATTGAAAGAAACGCATGTTCATCACCGCTTGTAATTTTTAACGTTAAAATAAATTACAAGAGATGGTGATATTTTACACAATGTTGCAAATTATCCTCAAATTAAGAATTGTATTCTGTACATGTTCAATAATAATTGATTTCGTAATAATCCATTTATTCGTAAGTTGTATAACTCGTGTACAATTCTATTTGACTCTAATATAAACATTGGTAAAATACCGTTTAGAGATCTCAGGGTTAATTTTGCATCTTTAGTAAGAGTACTCGCTTCTTGCACTCATTTAATTTGATCTTATTCACTCGATTTTTTATATTCCGAGTGAAAATGTGAAAATTACGAAAGTATGAGGGGACCTTTTTTGGACCGATATTTCATTAGTGCTACAGTAATAAAGTAATGTTACGCGAATAAGAGGTTCTGATTGGCTGCAGGGAAACTTCCGTCGTACGTCTTCTGCAGCCAATCAGCTCTTCCTGATTGGAAGTTCTCGTTCATCGGCATAAAATAACGCAAATGCAACTTAGGTTAGGAATTTACGCGTTCATTGATTGGGTTTTTCTTTCTCTTCTCATGTATTAGTGTTTCTTCCTCGCATTTCGTCGTTCGAAACGAAATTTATTGTCGAGTAGTCTCACATGAAGTATCTCACATTTTCACTCTAGTGAAAATGACGAAATTAGGGAGTTATTCCCTTTTAGCATTTTCACCAGTTTAAGTTACAGAATCGACCCCTTGAACCGGTTGGCACTTGACGTTGTGCCGCGCAACCGACGAATAATCAAAAATGGATCTTTTCTATAGAATTCCATTTCAGATTTTGGAAGTACCTAATTTAAAATTAAAGAAACCGTCGTGGTTTGTCAAACCAAGTTCCATGGTGGTTTATTCGTTGGTTCTGTTCTCGTATTTTCTGGTGACAGGAGGTTAGGTTTCATCTACCTTTTTTGAAGTGGTTTTGCCACGTTTCTCATTCTTAACGTAGACACATGAACTTTCAGAAATTTCTCAAAAATTCGTATCTCGGATTTGTTTTAATTAAAGTAATTTCAGTGCTGTATTTTCCTTAGGAATAATATATGACGTTATCGTCGAACCACCCAGTGTTGGATCAACAACTGATGAACATGGGCATACACGTCCGGTAATATATATCTCTTGTTTGTAATGTGTGTTCGACTATTTTTTTAGTACCTATTATGACTTGACGTCATCTCACAGGTTGCGTTTATGCCCTACCGAGTCAATGGCCAGTACATAATGGAAGGTCTGGCATCCAGTTTCCTCTTTACGTTAGGTGGCATGGGTTTTGTTATTTTGGACCACACGCATAGCCCTTCGACGCCAAAGCTGAACAGGGTTTTACTGATATGCGTTGGATTCATCAGCATCATTGTGTCTTTTATTACCTGCTGGATCTTTATGCGGATGAAATTGCCGTGAGTAGAAAAAAAAAAAAAAACATTGAGATCGGAGAATAACCATTTGCAGTAAACTTTATGGAATTCTAATTCTTTCAGAGGATACCTTCAGTCGTGAAAGAAGTAATTTCACAATTCCCTCCTTTACTTGCTCCTACTAAAAGCAGGAAATATGATTTTTTCAATTAATTCATTATGCCACGAATCCAATGTATTGTCTTTATAATAAACTTTTATTAATTCTTTACAAGGAAAAAAATCTTAAAATCAAGAAATACTACTAGTTTTGGTAACAAATGTACAAATGAGGATATTTCTTCGTTTAACCTCTTGGACTGGGACAATGAGGTACGCATGTGGTGAGTCCGTTGTGTCCAAATACATATGCAAATCTGCCCCATCGATTAAACGTACTTTCTTAGTTCTAATCTTGGTCGATCATGATTTATCCTTTCATTTTTAAAGCCAAGCCTCGTGATCTTTATAACCGTATGCGGAAAGTTCTGTAATATGAAATGTTTAATGTTGAAACACTGATATAGTTGATCTTGAATATTCTATTTCCGGGAGTGGATAAACTTATTTGAATATGCAAGTTATACTTGGAAAAGTCGCTGCTTTTTTCTATGATGTGTTCAAATTCTGCAAAACTTAAAGCTCCATCGTCATCCAAGTCTGCTTCTTCGAGCAAATATTGAATAAGTCTTTGCATCTCAGTCTCTCCAAGTCGATTGGGGGAGGTTAATCTATCCACAATTTGCCGGAGATCACTTATACCCAACATGTCGTCACCATCAAAATCTGTTAATAAATAAAACAATAATGTAAAATAAACTCTTTCTCTTAGAGCCATTAGAGAAATGAGATTGTCAAATTTTAGTCTATTTCATCAATCTAGGCTAGGTCAATCAACTAAATCTGTATAATTCTGTTTCCTACAAATTTGACGCTAATATTACCAAATATTCTGAAAGCATGTTCGGCTTTAACAGCTTTCGGCGCGGCATCACTGAATACGGACATCATATCAAGGAAGTCTTCAAACGTGCAATCTCCATCCTCACTGGAACTGAACACCTTGCAGATGCGATCGCCAAATGGATTGACGTGAAGTTCAGGATATTGAAGTAGTTTTGACATCGGCAACTTAGCATTTCTATTGTGTCCTACTTTTTCTGGAGCGAGGGCTTTGAACTTCTGGTGAGCGCTAAAATTGAACGAATAATTCTATTCTTTCATTTCAATGATTCCTCTGTCAGCTGTAATGAGCTGAATTTCAACAAGGCATTCGTAATAGTTCACTTACTATAGAACTTCCTTTTTAGTGAAATATGTGAGATCCTGCAAAAGTAACGAAAACATTATTCAAGTATATAGTCTTTTAAGCTTTCAAAAGTTGACAAAACGCATTACAGATTCTCCAGAAAATTCTGACACATGTAAATACAATTCACCATTGACGTTCTCTAATCGACTCTGCGGAACAAAAGGTACAGATCAAACAAGATATGTATGAAAGTTAACAAAACCTAGTGACCAAGTGTTTCTTAATGATGAAAGTCTTGATTACCTGATAGTTCTGTAATTCGTCTTCCGTAAATTGACTCTTTCCTGCGCCCATTGTTAAAGAAAACAATATTGGAAAGAATAACGCGACTCGACCGTCCCCAGCCCTATAGGACCCTATCTTACCGATCCTATTGGATTTTGGGGTTGATTCTGTAACTCGAGTAGAGTGAAAATGCTAAAGATGAATATCTTCTGTGATTTCATAATTTTCACTAGGGTGAAAATGTAAGATACTTCACGTTAGAATACTCGACATTGACTACGTTTCCATCGTACTCGAAATTCCGGATTTATCGAGTCCACACTCAGTAAATCGGAATTTAAGTGTCGATTGAGATTCTCAGAATCGAATCTGCGAATTACTGCTATGGAAACGCGATTTACTGAATCCGGACCTGATAAATCCCGGATTTAGGAGTGCGTTGGAGACGTGGTTATTGAGGAAGAGCAAGCGATGCTCAACCTTAGACTATAAAAATCTAGACCTCGCATAGCAGTGGAAACGTGGACGTAAGAATAGTGGAAAGGGTAAACTCGGATCCACGTGAGCCGGCAACTCTTCCACACAGTTAAAGCCATTCTGTTTATTGAAAATGGGGAGTAGGAGGTTCCAATGCGAAGTCTAGATATCTATGGTCTAAGGCCTGTACACACGTTCGAAAGATTCAAATAAATTCAAATTCATTAGAGCTTTAGCCGATTTAACATGGATTACGTAGCCATTTTGACTCTGGCTTTAGTTGCCGGCAGTTTCGGCGGTTTCGCTCAAATTACATTCTGCATTTAGATATCTTCTCGAAAAGTGCCGATCAGATTTCGAATACGAGTGATTTGAAACTTGTTTAATCATGGAAATCGACGACACGGAAGACCAGTCAAGCAACAAGTATGCATCCTACTTAATTTTATTCTCTGTAAATAACTTATTTATTGTAAAATCCCTGATCCCATGTATTACCTAATGTCGAGTTGTAAATCTTTACAGAATTGTGAAAGTAGCAGAAAATGTATGGATGGTCATTCAGAATGGTGTAGAAGCTATCTTTTCTAATCTAAAAGAAGATGATGCTGAGAAAACTCTGTGCGAATTGTTGGAGTCGATTTTGCGGGGTTCGACAAATTTAATTAATGTCCTCGTACCACCTTGCGGTGCGGGTCCACGGTATGAGATTATACGGAGACAGTACACAGGTGAGATTTCGTTACTTTCGAATTTGTGTTCATAGGTAATGTATATTACATGTTATCGAGGTGATTATGAATCTAATATAAGTTTACGGTTACATTTTACAGCATTTACAACATGGTTGTTTGGAATGACATTCCATACTATTGGGGAACCACTTAGCGACAAAGTCCTTTCATGCGGTGTCAAAGTACAAGCATGTGTGCTGAATATATTGCATCGCCATTCCCGTTCGATGTTAAGTTCGATTACTTCCGAATATATAAAGATACTTGATGGTAAGATTGCATATTTTGAGCTTTGGTGATATTACATTTTCATCCTAATAGTTGTTTCAAAATGGGCTCTAAACTTGGAAACAAACATTTACAGAATTATTGGACTTCTATGAAAGTAATAGATATGGCGAAACGATTGTTATCAAGAAATTTATACCTGACGGAGACATCATTGATTGCATAGATCTTGCACCGTTTGTGGTTAATGTCAAATACTCTTCCTTGTCATGTACCCTAGTTTCCATTATGAAGGTATGTTTTTCTTTTCAAATTCGTTACTTAACACATTAAGGGATATGCCAATCGCTAGATGATAAATTGTCTATTTAAATCGTGAGTGTCTAATGATATAAATATTGAAAGAAAAATCTGAGAATATTGATATTTTTAAACCTTAACTTTTATATTTTAGATCATTTTACAGTCTGGAATACAACCTTGGAGAGAATCTTCTCTATGGATTAAAATGATAAAAGTTCTTCTAAATTCAGAACCAGCCGTTAAGATTTATGCATTAGAAATTGCATTGCAGTTTGCAAACATCGGAGATATCGATAACCAGGTAATTATAACAAATGCATTCATTTTAAGATTGAATTTAAATCGATAAGCATCGTACATAAAGTACTTAGTAAAATATATGATTAATCATTAATTCTGAAATTTTGTTTTAGGATTGGCACGTTCTCCTCGACAGCCTCGTTGAAATTATTAAATTTATTCCCGAATGGGAAAGACTTGGATTACTTGATAAAGCATCTTTACCTCGATTAACCAAAGTACTAATTGAATCGATAGAGGTTTTAGATGAACCTTTACCGATTATGACCCTTTGTTTCAATATCTTAGAGGAGTTTGCAGATTGTAACTCAACCGGTGGGTACTGAATAAGTTTCGTTAAACCTTTGTATTAAAAGTATCACATAAATGATATTAAATGTATTGTATAATTTTTTCACAGAATTACACTCCGTACAAGAGGCTGCGTGCTGCAAAATTGAGCAACATCTTTACAAACATCCAAGATCTTGTACGCCCGTGGAATTCGATCTCTTAAAACGTTACACGAGAAAGTGTTGGACAAATGCGAGCAAGCAAGTACCACTCCCACCGATATATTTAAAGAGTATTAATAACATAGCTGTGTCGTTTGTGCTTAACGACGTAAAAACATTGGCACGGCCAAACCAATTAAACCTCGTTTCTGAGTTAAGTGAATTATGGAGTATCTTGAACGAAGCTTTACTTAAAAACATACAATTTCAAGCATTCGATCAAGTCTGGGATATTCTCAGATCGTTCCATCTCCTCGATGCATGGCTCGCTGAGGAAAATGTGACGGCTCAATTGTTTGGCAGAGATTTCAATCGGGTCTTATCTCTATTGTTGGACTCATTGAGAGAGAGCGAAGCGAAGGGAAAAATCTTAGAGAGTATGGTTCATCTTTTGTCCCTTCGAGAAGCAGACAAGGAACAGGTGCAACTGGTCCTTTCGATGCCTTGGAATACAAGAGAAGCGAATTCACCAGAGATACGCCTCCGATACCCGGCTGGGATTTTTAACAATTTGGAGACGGCAACGAGAGTCAGCTTTCTCGAAGCGCTCTGCGAACTCGGCGAAGGAAAGTGGCGATTGAGGGTGATACGCGACTACATACTTTCCCGTGAAATGGAACTGGGCATTGCCGGGATCCTGTAAGTCTAATGCGTGATAAATATATCGAGTATTTCATCGTAGACAATTTATGCGGTGGAGGTGAAAAGTGATTACTAATAAGCCGGATCAAATTTTAGGAACAGTGTTTGGCTCTTGAACGACTCCGCTATCAGGCTCGATGACTTGTCGGAATATGTCCTGGAACCTGCTCTTGAATCGAGGAACGCGAAGTTCCATGAAGCCCTCGTCATGACTTTGGGTCGGCTGTTGTGCTTCCTTTCTGATAGTACCTCTAAAGCGAGGTATGCATTTTAATTAGGAAAAGAAAACCATAGTTCTCCTCGGTAACCATGGCTGATGCATGTTCTAGGAATTCTTGGTACACTACTAGAAGAACGATAGAATGTCACCGGTGCGACGGACTGTCGAAACCTGACCCAAGGAAGCTTCCCAGTGACCGGTTCGACGACTTCTTGCGGCCGTACCTGAGCTTGTTCGCCTCGGAAAGCGACGAAGTGCGATATTGCGTGTCGATGAGCTTGATTCGCTTCGTGAATCACTCACGGTGGTTAATTAGTCCGGAAGTGATTAGACTCTGGATGCCGTACCTTAAGGACCCGCGGAACGACATAAGGTCGAATCTACCCAGGACTCTCGGGTCGGTGATACGAAACGAAGTCGCCCTTGCGGGAGGAAATCCGAGCGGATGTTTCGACGAAGAGCCGGCGAGTCTCCAGGAACTCGCCGAGACTGTGGTTAACTACCTGGACGAGATTTTGGACCAAGTTATCGAGACGGGAGACTTCGCCGTGCACAAGACCCTCCTCGATACTGCCGAGGAAGTTGCACGGTTAGTTGAGTTTGTAAATCATTTGTCCATTGTTGTTACGTTTACTCGCTAACACCAGGTGTCGATGGTTCCAGGGTGCCGCTGATTTCAACGGAGAGAGACATGCTCGGCGTATTCTTCACGACGATGCTCAGTCCCAACGTAAACTCCGCCCTGGTCTCGCATGCCGTTAGGGCATACCACGAGGTAGCGAGGTTTCGTAAGGTCTCCCCAAAAGTCATGTACGTGAGATACAGGAACGACTTCGTCAAGGTACATACATCCGCCCTTAAGGGGATGTGAAAGTGGCATCCGAAAGCTCAATCGTTCGTAAAACTTTTTTCTACTAACTGGGTGTCTCAAATCGTTTCATACATTAAAACGTGAATATGGAGACTCTAAGGTAGGTCCTGAAACTTCCGAAATATCATTTTTTATAATCTGTTTTTAAAAACCCTACAAACAAATGTGAAAAGAATTGAAGTCTCATGAGTCTCAGGACCTTCCTTATAGTCTCCCTGTTCACGTTGTATAGTTTCAAGCTATTCGGTAAACCTATTTGAGAAAAAAGTTTTATAAACAAAGCCTCTTCGAGGCCACTTTCACATCACCTTAAACGTCCGTCTGGTAATACTTTGAAAAATCGACGACAGATGGCAGCAGCAAAGGTAGACAAAACGTCTTGCCTCCAAGTTTCATATCCCTCCCTTCGGTTGCTTCTTCTTCTTTTTTTTTTTTCTTCCTTTAACATCACTAGCATAAGAAATATGTAAACCTGAGCGATTATAATTCATTAACGGCACGTCCGATTTATCTAGCTGATGATGTCGATGGCGGTGAACAATTACATCGAATACTCCTGCAACGTGGCCACGTCGTTACATAGGGCCGCTATGAGCATTGGTTACCAGGACTCTAAGCACCTGCTGATGAAGGACGGACATCGCGCGGTGTGCTTCTTGGTACCGCTTGTCCTCGAAGTGCCCAAGGCCGTGGATCTCTTTCGAGATATGGCGGAGGTTCTCTCAACGGACGAGAAGGAAATGCTCACGGAATACTTCAAGGTTGGTCGACCGCCCTCCGTAGTCTTTTTCCCCGTTGAACGGACTTGGATCTTCCTAACTAGTAAAAGAATTCTTATTGCAGTACATCTGTCCCCACGTAATGCTGAACGAGTCCCCCGAGGTCGGGAGCAGGTGCCTCAAGTTGGTCTCGAGATTGACCAACCTTGGTTTGCCAGATCTAGCGAGGGATTCCTTCATGGTAAAGGCTTAACAGTTCTTCGCAAGGACCCCGGATGCGGATCTTAAAGACACTTCTTTCTCGGTAGGGAATATTCGACGAGTTACTCCTGTACATTTACAAGGACGTGGACAAGACGATAAGATGCCTGGAGGTCTTGGTGAATTTCGACGGAAAGTACGACGGGAAATTCGACCGGCACGAGTCCGTGGTAAGAGCTTGAACTAATACGCGCTTACGCGTTTAATTATTCGCAATCGATGACCGTTTCGCTTGGTCCCTCCAGGTCGCGTATCTGTGGCCGCGGCTACACGGGATCCTGGTGAACCTGGACATGCATCTGGGGGCTCGGTTTGACGAACATACCCAACGTTCCGCCCTGGCGTCGCTGGCGACCTTAATACGATTCATGGGCCCTAGATACGTAACGCCGCTGCGGTACAAGATCCTGGCAAGCCTCCGCACCTCCATCGGCTTCAAGAGGCCGGGGTTTCGGTTACTGGCCTGCGACGCGTGGGACGCCTTTTTACACAAGTAAGGAATACCGACGTTTACCACGTTTATTACGTTTACGCAATCATCACCGCAAGGTTTGTCTAAGGAACGTCTCCAAGGACCCAACGAGGGATTTCAATTCCACTACGTTGAAGAGCGATCGAACTTACAGTTTGCGTTAACAGATCCTGCGTATTCGGGTTTCAGCACCTCGATCAAGGACCTGGGCCCACTTCTACCGACCATTTGCGTGTCGGTGGCGCCACTCTTCGAGAACTATCCGCAGAAGACAGACGCAATGCTCGCCTTCCTCCTTCTAGAAAACGGCTCGACCCTAGTCGAGCACGTCGGGGAGCTGTTCTTCGTCGACGACCTTAAGGTTTCCCAGGAGATATCCAACGTCGTTAAGGCCCACATCTCGCAGACGAGGTAATTGACACCCGGTGACGATCTTTCTCTCCTACGAGGAACGGCGTGCGTTGGGTTATTGAGGACCATCGAAATTTCAGGCCGATGGGCGTCGAGGCGGAGTTGAAGCAGTGGCTAAGGAGAATCGCTCATGAAACCGAGGAAGTGCGCTTGAAGGCGTTGGTACGTTTACAAGGATTCCTCGCCGACCACCGGACCGAACTCAACGACCTCGTCCTCGAGGGAGCGAGCGTCCACCCGCTGATCGTCGAGGTGAGTCGACCCGTTCGCGCTTTTATTGAAAGAGCACTTTTCAAATGAAAGGAGAGCTACGATATGGGCAAGGTAACGTCCGGTAATGTCCTTTCAGCTACTCGATGCGCTTTTCTCTGGTTGCCGAGACAAACACGAGGCCATTCGATTGGCTAGCGGAGAGTGTCTTGGTGAACTCGGCGCGGTAGAGCCTGGTCTTCTACCTCGCAGAATTGCTTGCAGTGGTAAGTTGCTAATAGTTGTCTACAAGGTGGATCATCAAAGTGTTGAAACGATTGGACTCAAAAGCCATGGTAAAATGTTTCAATTCCGCTCCCTGGAGCTCTCGCTTCCTCGGGGACGCGGACTTCCTCCTCGGGCCTTGCAATTTGTTTATATTAATAATTAAATATATTCTCAAAAATCCATAGACGATACGAAATTCATTGCGGAGACAAACGAGGAATTCGCCTGTGCCTTGTTGGAAGAACTGGTACGGGCGTTTCAGGCCCAGAAGAGCACCCACGACGTAGACTGCGTTTCCCTTGCAATTCAGGTACGGCAGACCGAGTTTGTTTTTTAATCTTTTTACTCCACCAGAAGGCGGAATCGTTAAATGGATCGCTTGGTGTTTAAGGAAACTCTGTTAGCCTACGACATATCCCCTCAAGGGCGGAACTGCGAGCTGTGGAACAGCTTCTCGTCGACGGTCCAGCAGATGATCTTTCCGTTCCTGACGTCTCACTACGTCAACGCCGTCGGCGAGGCCGAAAGCCGAATTCCCCATCCTATTTACGGGTGAGGAGATAACATGTCCGTCAATGAATCATTCTGGAATCGGTGAAATCGGTGTTCATTATGACAAAATGACCCCGGGTGTTAATCGAAATATATTGAAATATTTGCAGACAGTATGATTGTGTGAACTTATGAGGGTGGATTGTATTCCGCCTCGGTTCGTAGGTGAGGTAGACGACGAGGAATGTGGTGAAACTAACGTTGTCGAAACTTCAAGCCGACATAACTCCAAAACTCCTTCACCGATTGTAATGATTTAGGTAAAGGGGGAAAGAAATGAACAAAGCGTTTGGTGTATGTTAAAATGTCCATCGGTCTTTGGTACGGTGACACTGACCGAGTGAAGAAAATTAAATGCCCACTGGCAAGATGTTTCGAGTATAATAGAGTGGTAGCGGCCATGAACTTGTCTAAGCTTTTTTTAATCTGCAAGCCTTTGCAACTCTGATTCTCTTTCTGGATCGAATGATCAACCAACAGGTTGGAAGAAAATTAAATGCCCACTGGCAAGATGTTTCGAGTATAATAGAGTGGTAGCGGCCATGAACTTGTCGGAGTTTTTTTTAATCTGCAAGCCTTTGCAACTCTGATTCTCTTTCTGGATCGAATGATCAACCAACAGGTCGGAAGCCGGCTCAACCTTCAACTCTTGGGCCTACAACTGGGTATGCGCCATGTCCTGCGCTATCGAGGACAAGAGACTCCGGACGGTACTGAACGCCTGCCGGCCGGCCTTCCGGAAGGACTCCAGGACATTGGCCTTCTGCGTCCCCCACGTAGTAGGTAAATGCCCTCGACCTGGTTGCTCGTGAGTTGGTGCACCGGTTGTAATCCTTTCCTGACTTGAACAGCTCACACGGTGACCCATGGCACGGCCGAGCAACATACGAAGCTGATCGAAGAGATCCTGGCGGTGCTCAAGACGCGAGAGGAGTCTCCGATGGACGAGAGGCTCTTCCGTTGGAAGCCTCTCCGACTGGACCTGGACGCGCAGCCGAAGGACACCAGGGTATCCGACGAGGCTAGGAGGATCCGCTGTTCTCAGGTAGGCTCTGGACTCTGCTCGAGTCCTCGGGAATGTCCCCGATAACCCACGAGTGCTTTGATGCCTTCACCAGGTCGTGTTCTCGACGTTGGAGCACCTGCAGAGGTGGATTCGCGAGCGCAGAGGACTTCGCACCGACGAGCAGTATACCAGGATGAAAGGTGAGTTGGGGACTATTGACCGACACATTTAGAGCAGACTCCACTTTCAGCCTTCTGTTCCGGACTCGACGAGCTCGTCCTGGCCGAGGGTTGCTACCGATCTCACGAGTACTACAGGGCGTTACGCTACTTGGAGGGACACATGTCGGCCAGCAAGAAGGGACTTTCCGAGCCGAGAGAGGGTGGATTGCTGGCGGTAAGTGCGAGATCGCCTTCCTTTCGTATCCGGACGAGTACGGGGGCTTTCGGTTTTCTTAAGGGGATGTGAAAGCGGCATCCGTGAGCTCAATTGTTCATAGAACTTTTCATAGAACTGGGTGTCTCAAATCGTTTCATACTTTAAAAGGTGAATATAGAGACCTTAAGGTAGGTTCTGAAACTCCCGAATTTCATTTTTTTTTTGTTAACTATTTTTAAAATACCTATAAACAAATTTGAAAAGAATTGAAATTTCATGAGTTTCAGGAGCTTCCTTATAGCCTCCCTATTCATGTTGCAAAGTTTCAAACTATTCAGTGAACCGAATTGAGAGAAAAGTTTTATAAACAAAACCTCTTCGACGCCACTTTCACGTCATCTTAAGGGCGGGTTTACGTCCCCACCGTCCCCCACGTTGCACACCACCACCCGGCAATCATTTCTGACGAAGCATAGATCCCTGGTAACCATTTTCGTAGAAAATCTACATGCAGATCGAGGAACCGGACGGCGTGTCCGGCATCCTGGCCACCCAGGGCTGCTGCCCGACGACGCAGCAACAGGTCTTGTCGCACGTGGTCAGCGGCCGGCTTCAGGTAGGCGTCGAGACATCACCTCGACGGACTCGGACTCTCCTTGTCATCGCTTTTGCTTTTTGGGTCTCACCAGGACGCCGCCACGTGCTACGAGAGACTCGCGTGGAACAGTAAGGACCCGAAGTACATTCAAGGAATGATACAGTGCTATATAGGCCTCGACCAGCCGTTTACGGCGATCAGCATCATCCGTGGGATCCTTGGCCACAGGTTAGTCTGCCCTACGTCTCCAAGACCCTGGATTGCCTGCCCGCCCGGTCGCTGCGTTATCGGATGCAATCGCGATGACCAATGGGAACCCTTTTTGCACCGATTCGTTCCGCTGCAGCGATCGGACAGGCATCCGAAGAGGAGGGTGCGCGAGGAGGGTACGAGACGCGTTAGCGAGTCGGATTGGAAATCAAGGGGATGTTCTTCCTAAGGCCGGAGCTGGAACCAGTGATCGTCGACGACGAGCCTCTGTGGAGGCTGGCCGATTTCAACCAGCTGGACGACTCGATGAAGGCATCCGTAGAGAGAAGCTTGCTGGACGAGCTGAAACGAGGAGCGCGACCCGATCTGCTGGCGGCAAGACGCAGGTTGCACTCCCTCCTCGGGACGACTTCCCAGCCCGGCGCCTACCAGCAGAGTTACTCCTGTGTCATGAAGTACGAGAGACCACGGTCGGGCCTCGGTCTCCGCTTATCCGAATCTCCACCTGCCCTAGGCTCCACGTGCTCAACGAGTTCGACAAGTCCGTCCATAAGATGACCAGCGACTCGGGGAACCTCCCCGGAAGCCTAGCAGCGGTGATCGAGGAATGGGAGAAGCGTGGTCGACTCGTCAGAGCTTCCCGGGGCGCCGAGTCCGTCTTGGGCATGCGCCGAGCCGCCCTCGACCTGGTCGTCCGACATCGGGAGGAGGCTGGCCTACCGAAGAACCCCGTCCTCGAGGAGGAGATCGGCAAGATCTGGCTCCAGAGCGCCAAAATGGCCAGAAAGTAGGTCTGCTTTCGGGGCTTGAGCTTTTTCCAGGGACGGGCGGGTGAGCCTCCCACCACCCCAATGTCGGCGTCGAACTCCCTTGGAAGGAACCTTCCACCTTCTGGAAGGAACTATGTCTCTTGCGTTCTTACGTGGACATTTCTTTTTTTAGGGCGGGATTCTACCAACAGGCTTACATGTACATACTGTCAGCAACTGATCGCTGTCCACCCCAGGAGCTGCACGTCGAACAAGCGCAGCTCTATTGGGAAATGGGTCGCCAGGAGGAGGCGTTCGTCACGCTTAACCGATGCTTCTCTAACTACTTTGAGCCCGTCTCAAGGTACAAACAGACGTCTCCTCGGGTCTGCACCAAGGAGCAGAAGCAATGCGCAAAGGTTGGTCATTTCTTCCCGCGGGTGTGCGTTCCCAGTTGCTGCTCTTTTACCCACTAGGAGTCTTTTAGGCCAAGCTCCTGTTTGCCAAGTACAACGATGAGACCCTCAATGTCGATACCGAGACCAGCATAGCTAATTACAAGGAAGCGGTCGATGTCTGGCCAGCTTGGGAGAAGAGCTTGCTGTGCTGCGCCAGGTATCACGAGTCCGTGGTCGACAGGATGACCGACGAGGAGAGGGACACCAAGGGATGGTGAGCGTTCACCGGTCCTTGCCGCTCGCAGTCTAAATCCTTCTCCTGATTTTTGGAAAAAATTTGTTAACAGCCCAAACCGGAACCAAAATGGCGTCGAGTTCCCATATTTCGATCAATATACAATTATCGAAGGCTCTGATATGAGAAACGAAAGGGTCGGGACAACTTTACGATAATTTAGAACACTCTGGTAATCGATAAACTCGCATTTGAACGGGATAAAGGCAAAAAAAGTGTTGTATGCGCTTCTATGCTAAAACGATGATAATACGAGGTCTCGGAGTGAAAATTTAATTGACCTGGAAATCACAGATGGCGCAGGGGGTCCCTCTGCAGTCAATTAAGGCCTCAGAAAGCATGAATCCAGAGGATTTCTGGAGTTTTAATTCGATTTCTTTATAATTATTGTACGAAAACGACAGGTCGAGTATGCCATTTGGTACAATACCCAATATAATTCGACCCAGCTGTCAATATAAAAACCAACGCCGGCAACGTAGGCATTTAGAAAAATTTTCTTTATCGACGTCGATCAAGTTCCTCGACGTGTTTCACTTCACCTTAACTCCTCTTGGATCAGGAGTGTCCCCAAGAACCTAATCGTTCCTTCTCGTGCAGGGACCTGCAGATGCACATGCTGAATTACTACGGGAAATCGCTGCAGTATGGATGCAAATATATCCATCAGTCAATGCCGAGGATGTTGACCATCTGGCTGGACTTTGCATCTCGCAGGCAGAGTTCCAGCGATTGCTTGTCGAAGATGACGAACATCATTGGTACGTTTCTAGAGAGAGATTTCTCATTTTATTGATGGTAGTATTTAAAAAACGGAGAAAAGGGTCGAGACTCGGTAATCCTATTTTCTCTCGACACGATCAGCTCGTCAATCTTCCATCTGCTCCACAGAAGTGTACCTGGACAGACTGCCGACGTTCATGTGGTTAACGGCGTTCAGCCAGCTCGTGTCCAGGATGTTCCACCCGGCCAGAATCGTCAGGACGGTCCTGAGCATGATCCTGGTGAAGCTTATCGTTGCTTATCCTCAACGTTGCTTATGGATGATGGCCTCGGTCTTGAACGTGAGTAAAGCCCGTTCCTTCCCGTCCTGTTAATGTCTCGCCTAAGTCGATTTCCAACCCCCTGCAGTCCTCGTACCCAGCACGGCGGAAGCGGTGTCAAGAGATACTTAGCCACGAGGTCCTCAAATCCTCGGAGATGACCAAACTGATCGGCGACTTCTACAAGCTTTGGGACCTGCTGATCGAGGTCTCCAACAAGAAAGTCAATCGCGTTAGTAGTCAGGAACAATCTAAGGAATACAGGCGAGCTCTTCCTCGACGGTTAACGCTCCTTCTTCCTTCAGCCCCACGGCAAGTCGTCGATAAAGGCCCTCTCGAAGAACCTACCGAGATTGCTGGCCTCGTCGGGCTTTGGACCCATCATGGTACCGACGACTAAGTTCCGACATCTGCATCTACCGTCGAAGGGGGACCGTCTAGAGAGTCATGATCCTTTCCCTACGTACGTATCGCCGTCCTCTTGGAAGCACCCGCTAGCTGATCGCAATAGGCTACCGGTTGTGGTCTTCTGTGAGTGCTTTGCAGCACCTATTTTGCGCCTGCAGTATCCGATAGGACACCTTAGCCAACACAAACTATTAACCCTTTGAACACGGAGCCATTTCGACATATGGGCGAAATTCGTCTGACCGGGCAGGCAATATTGGACCAAACGTCGGGCGCCTTTAGGCGCTCTTAGTAGCCAGAGGGTTATTATTCCTTTGTTCTGTATTCGAGTTTGTCTTCTTTATGGGTTGTAAGAGCATGAGTTGGCACCTCTCCATGTGGTTGTTTCTTTATGTGGTGACGCAGCGTTACTAAAACGTCTCCTGTATGCTTTGTTTCCGTGTGGGTCTTAATATGTTGTTACATTGTTTGTTCTCCTGGGTGTGGTTATTCTAATGTACTGATACTTCCTTTCAGGAGATGGGCCCAGATTTGTGGAATAGAAGACGAAGCGTTGATCATGTTCTCGCAACAGCAGCCCAAGAGGATAGGTCTGAAAGGGTCCGATGGGCTGACGTACTTGTTCATGTGCAAACCCAAAGACGATTTAAGGAAGGACTTCAGGTTCATGGAGTTTAACGACGTAGTCAACAAATACTTACAAAAGGATCCGGAGTCGAGGCAAAGAAGGCTCTACATACGCACTTTCGTGAGTCCCTTCTTTAGCGTGACGCATCGTACCTCGAGTTATTACATTGGATACACCAGAGTATACGCGGCATGTTAAGGTGAAGTGAAACACGTCGAGGAACTTGATAGACGTGGGTAAAGAAGGCTTTTCTAAATACCTACGTTGCGGACCTTCGTTTTTATATCGACAGCTGTGTTGAGTTATATCAAAAAAGTCTCCATAGAAGCCCAGAAGGATACGAACGTTCGATGCTGGACAAATAGTACGTTAGCCAGCCGATGGCGGCGCTGTAATCATCTCTCCATCTCTCTTAAGCTTATGGCGATATATAGCGATTGCCTTCTTTCTTTATCTTACACCCAATACTCGCCTATGTGCGTCTCCCTTCCTCCTGTATGTGAGATATCTCTTTTACCCCCTCTTCTGGTTTGTTAGCCAACTTTTGGAGCATCAAGCGCTAACATAGGTTCTGGGCTTCTATGGGACTTCTGAATTCTTTGGTTATACTCAGGTATTGTACTAAATGGCGTACTCTATCTGTGGTTTTTCTTCGTTCGACAGAGCGTCGCCCCGCTGAACGAAGAATGCGGCTTGGTAGAATGGATCCCGAACCTGGTGGGACTGAGACCTATCCTGATGGGGATGTACAAGAGTAAGGGCCTCTGCGTTCCCAAGGAGAAACTTCTGGAGATGCTGGGTCGTTCGTATCGGATCAAATAACTCTTCTCTCCCGATTCGCGAGGTCATCGGAAGGTAAAGCATAATCCTCCGTTCTAGGGCACAACGATCCTCTCGAGAAGAAGAAGAGCGCGTTCCTGGAGAAGTTGATCCCTAGTCACCCGCCGGTCCTCGGAGAGTGGTTCCGCTCGCATTTCCCGGACGCCTATTCGTGGTAAGACCTGTGTACGTGGACCGGAGACGAAAGCCAATTGCGAGGCGTACCCCTGGACAACTAGAAGGTACAAGTAGACCGGACATTAATCAACGCCCTTGGCGTTTCGTTTCTCGGATAGGTACGAAGCTCGGGCCGCGTTTATCAGGACGACAGCGGTGATGTCCATGGTGGGCTACATCCTGGGCCTGGGCGACCGCCACGGGGAGAACGTGCTCATAGACTCCAAGACCGGCGACTGCGTCCACGTGGACTTCAATTGCATCTTTAATAGGGTATTGATCTATATACCAGAGATGAACGGGGAGATATTTCACGCCATTCAAAGGCGCGAAATGTTCTCTATCGGTAAAGAAAAACCCGTCTGCAGGTTTCAAATACAGCACAGAATTGATAAAATGAAGTTCTCGCCTTTTCGTTTTTAGTATCAGGGTCTACGTAGGTTGGGAAAGAAGACTACGAATACTAAATAAAGTTGTTATGCGTGGATGATTGAGATTACGACGTGGCACCCACGTATACCCTGTTTTACCGATCACGAAGATTTCGCCCCTTTGAAAGTAGTACCAATTTTTACAGAGGTGTAAAGCGCGTAGAGGGCGCTAGGGGGCCGTGTCTAGCTTTAAAACAATGGCGTGAAACATCTCCCCGCTCATCAGTTAGTATGTAGATCAGTGAACTAATCATGGGATCTTTTTAGGGAGAGAGGCTGAGATGTCCGGAGCGAGTGCCCTTCAGGCTGACCCACAACATGGTGGAGGCCATGGGGCCGCTTAAGTACGACGGTCCCTTCAGAAAGTGCTGCCAGATCACGATGAGGGTCCTCCAGCAAGAGGCGAGCACGCTGATCAGCGTGCTGAGGCCCTTCGTCTACGACCCATTGGTGACGGGAAACGAGGACGAGACCACCAAAACCAGCGAACAGGCGAACGCACAGGTGAGTCGCCTTTCCTGGTAATGCCCGGGACCGGGTCGACGCCTCCCTTTACCGATTTAAAATACAAATCGCTCCCTTGGCGCAACACACAGGCCGTCCACGACCTCGAGAACATCGAGCGGCGGCTCCACGGCTTCGTTCGGATCTTCGGGAAGAAGGTGGACAACGTCACTCTCAATCTAAGCGTAGAGGGTCAAGTGAACCACTTGATCCAGGAAGCCGTTGGCATCGACAACCTCTGCCAGATGTACAGCGGATGGGGCCCGTTCCTGTGACCGAGTGTCCTCCAGGGAGCAACCGCAGATTGTCCGGATAGGCCGAACGGTATCATTGTCGAGCCTCCTTTTGTGATATTGTCTAGTGCCACCTTTTGTGACCTAGAACTTGGTGTCTTCCGAATCTGCCACGCGTGGAGTAGCATCTTCCTTTCCGATACGACGTGGAGGAATTTCAGACATCGGGAACGACTGTGTGTTACTTATAAAGCGAGTTTATTACGTAGGTGGACAAGTAGAATGTACCTTCGGCCCTGCTTGCTTACTTCACAAGTAGATGCCTCGAGAGAGAAGCGAAGCCCGTTCTCTCTGCACGTCGTCAGGTCTCGTTCCTCTGCTGTCCGGACTCAAGGACACTTGCGCTCCACCTGACTCTTCCCACTCTCCTCGTATTCCTGGCTGGAGATCCACATCTGTTGGAAGGTGCCGATCGAGGCCAGAATGGAACCTCCTATCCACGCCCCGAACCGCCTCTCCGCGCACCCGTTGGCACTGATCAACTTGAGGCGCATGCTCGACGGGATTCTCACCGAGAGGTCGCGATTTAGGCGCTCCGGGAAACCCTGGAAGGTAATCGAGAACTGTAGGACCTGGACCTCGAAGACGGATGTTCTCGCGCGTCTTACCTGGATGAAAGAGTTGCCTCCGGTGACCACCACGCTACCGTAGAGAGCGGGTCTTACGTCGACGTCGCACATGCCGACGCTGGTGGTTACGATGTGACCCACTCCGAGCATCGTGTTGCCGACCATTCCGCCCCGCATCTGCACCATGCTCGGGTCGAAAAGTGCCTCCGGCATCCGGAACCTCTCGCTGCCGAAATCCTTGGAAAAGGACGGTATCGATACACTTGTTCGCTCTACGAGGAACGACTGGATCGCCTTCGACAGGAATTCGAATACCGATATGAACGTCGTACCTGGTGGTAACCGGTGGGAAACTCGTACTGTACCGCGGGGATGGTCGAGACAATTTTCTCGTCGAACGGGGTCTCCGATATTTGTAGCACCGTCGCTTGGAAGTCTTGCACGACTTTTTTCACCATGTAATTGTGCCAGGACTTGGTCACCTCCGGTAAGCCCTTCTTCTTAACCCATCGAGGTTTGTCGTGGTCCTTCACGATTTCTTTGCTGCCGATCATGTACGAGGGCGATAAATCTATGTCGTTATCCTGACAACAGCGTAAATATGGTACGGGTATTATAAAAGATTAGATCCCAAGGAGTGGTTCTGTTACATGGATGACTGTCCAGAACTGTTCGCCTACTTGTAAAAACTGTCTACACTGCATGCTGATGTAATCTCCTCCGAGGGGCGACTTGACCACGGCCTGGGTGAGGACGAAGCCATCTTGCACTGGCACGGCGGATGTGTGAGTAGCTCCACTGTCAACGACGATACCAGTAGCTCTGCCGTTGGCGAAGGCAGCCAATACTGCGTTCTTTACGAGGAAGTAAGCTGGCACGTTATATTTTTCAAACATTAACTCGGTTAGTTTTTCTCGTTTACTTCGAATGTTCCAAGGACATTCCGAGAACAGCACTGGGTGGTACTCGGCATCCGACTGTATTACTTTTGAATACGTGTAATCTAGGACCTGAGGGTGTAACGAGTTATTAATCGTCGGTAGAACCTTCTTCTTTATTGAGCTTCGATCTTTACCTTTTCAAAGTGATCCCAGTCTTCGATCATTCCATCCTTCATGTAACTGACAACCTCCATGTTCTTTCGTGGAACGTGGAGGATCGTCGTGTCAATGTAGTACTTATTCCCACTTTGTGTAACGTTACTATCCGGTTTTTTGTCGTCTATGTCCATGGGTTCCGTTTTGGTTGCTATTCCATTGGCATCTTCGCCTATACCAACTACCGCTGGTATCTCAGCTTTAGGAGTATCTTCTTGAGCATAGCCAACTCGTAAAGAATGATGACCGAGATCAAAGACCAGTGCTCCGATTTCGTCACCTCCGTATAACATGCCTCCGGACATTGTTGCTAATTTACCTAACAAATGTATAATGTAATACAAAGACAACTATGCTACTAAAGAAAATTGGAACCAATTGAAACGATCCACAGTAGGAAAATAACATGCCAATCGTTTATCCTACTATGACACAAGTAAAGGAACTAACTGATAAAAAAGAAAGGCTCAATGATTCCTTTACAATAGTGAAACTTCAAGTCAAAGTCAACCTATTGAATCTTTTAATCACATTGTATTACTGTTTAGGTGTCAAAACTACGGCAACCTAACCTAACGGACAGTTTTTCTTTTCTATCTGTGAAAGCTTTGGGAGAAATATACACCGGGAAGTAGCTATTACCTTTCTCGTGGATTTTGTTAAATTTTAGTTGAATGAGGAAGAGATACGTTCAAACTTCATAGAGACGCTAACGAGAATCATAGACAACGGAGGTTAGGATTTCATATGAGCGTCTGCAAGTGTCGAAATACCGAAGAGGGACGACTTCATTACAACTCGAAACCGTTCAGACAAGTGCTGCCCTCCCGCGACAATTGCTCATACATTTCCACCTAACCTGTTGCGAGAAGAGGTTAAGGCCCGATTTCACTAAACTTGAGTTAATCGAAATTTAACTAGTTCATATGCGGTTTAAATCAGGCATAAACTAGTTAAACTTCAGTAAATTTGAGCCGTGGAACCGGGTCTTACTGGGCTTAGACTCGATAAATCCCGGATTTAGGGTACGGTGTAGATGTAATCATCAATGAGTTATAAAATCGCAGTTGCACTTTTTTAGCACCTTCACTAAGTTCAAGTTACAAAGTCGACTTCCTAGGATATACCGACATGCATACAGCTAATGAACGTTTACTGGTTGACTCCTAGACAACTTACGTTTAGCGATCTCGTGTAAGTATTTCGGAATCGTTTGATATCAATACCTTTGGTTATCTCTTAGGAACCGTTGTGTGTACTCTTATCAACTCTCGTCTGCTTTACAGATTCCGGGGTTCACCTTATGATTCCCAATAGAACCGAAAATTAGACTTGCTTCGAAACGATCGGGTGGAGTTAAAGTCTAGAGCAAGTGACGGATTCGTCAAAGAGGTATGTACCGCTTAATATAGACATCAATTTGGAAAAGTACGATCTTTGTTAACGATATAAAAGGATGTCCCTTTAAAAGCTGGGAATATCATCTGCTACTAAATCAGGTAACGATATGAACGAGTCTTCCGGGTTTGGTGAATTGCAACAGCTGGTCCAAGAGGAAGAGAGCGAGGAGCCATTGAGTCGAGGTGGCGAAGCGACGCCACCCTCTACACCAGCTCGCCCGAGTAAGCCATCTAAATCAGAGACACGGGATACCGGTGCATCGGTGAGTACGATCACTAATAGCCAAATAATGCAAATGCAAGTGTACTAACAAATGGTTAAGAACAGCATGCGCTCGCAACGACAGGTTGTTTGGGAGAACCCAGCTCGAACGTCACCGATAGTAAGCAAAGGCAGCTCGGGTCAGGGATCCACGACATCGGGTAGAGCAGCCAACCAATCGAGCCACGTCGGCAACCAGACTAGACTCGTGTATCTGAACGAGAAAGACAAACAACGGCAGCCCGGTCGGTCGGAGCCTCCCAAAGTGAGCAAATCGCATCGAGGTAATACCTTTGGCCCTTGATTCTTTTCCGCGCACGCACGACTTTCCGTTTTTAAGTTTGCCACCTTCGACACATTTGAGTTGGATCGTTAAGTAGCACACGTTTGATTTTGTGTTGGCCTGCGACAACAAGCTGTCGAGCCATGCAAACATCATTGCTTTCTGTCAGAGGTGCCCGACGTGCGACGCATGGAGCAGGCCCTGCTCCAACTCCTGGAAGACTTTCACAGTGGAAACCTGCGGGCCTTTGGTACGTAGAACTAAATGTGACTACGTTACGAGTGAAAGTGATTAAAAGAAAAATCGACCGGTTCCTCTGGTCCAGGCAAGGATTGCAGCATGGAGCAGATGACGGAGATCAGAGAGCAGCAGGAGAGACTCGCCCGATTGCACTTCGAGCTGGGCCAGCGGCAGGACGGCGTCTCCGGGGAGCAGGCCGGGTTGCGCCAATCCAGCGCCAACATGCGCCACCTTCTGCACCGGTTACAACAGCTCAGCGTCTGCATAGAAAAGCTGCACGCCAAGTGACGCCCTGCTGCGAGCACGCCATGCTTTTCAACCGATTTCCTGAGACCTCGTCACGGAGTGCGCCACCAATCAGTGGAGGATGACACCGTCCGCTAGGTCTCACGACAAACGTTCGTCGATTGACCGTGTCTTCCGAACCCGACTCCCGTTCGATCCCCAGGGAACGCTTGCACGAGGGGAATAGTCCACTCCGTCCGGAGGGTTAACTTTTATCGCGTGGCGACGATGGCCCTAGGGTTGGCTCCGGTCCGACTTTAACACTCGCTGACAGGTCTCTCGCGCATGACTTTTCGTGTCGTTCTCCGGAAACTAATCTACGGAGATGTGGAAACAATGTTTAAAGATATATTTGACATATAAACAATTTGAAAACATTCTTTCAGCGTTACGTACGTTGAAACAGGGCGCTCTTAACATCCTCGCCATTTTTCTCCAGTTCCTCGGACGAGTGGATTAACGTAAAGTTAATTTTAGAAGGCCGTAAAGGCCTCTAAAGCGAATCTAGGAAAGCCTACTTTAGCCAGCTCCGAGAAAATTCCGCCAAGCAATCTGCATCTCTATTAACCCTTTCAGCGCTAAGCCCTTTTGGCGTATGGGCGAATTTCATCAGGGCGTGCAAGCGATATTGGACCAAACGTCGGACGCACTTATGTGTCCATAGCGCTGAAAGGGTTAAGGTGACGCGAAAGTGGCGTCAAAGTCTCATTTATGAGACCTCGCTCCGAACTGGGTGTACCGAATAGTTCCAAACTCGACGACGTGAATATAGAGGTTATAAGGAAGGTCCTGACGCCCATAAAATTTAAATCTTTTAAAAATTCTTTATATTTTCCAGATTTTCTATAAAAAGAAATTAAATTTCGTGAGTGTGAGGATCTTCCTTGTAGCGATCATATTCATGTTGTAAAGTATGAAACGATTTTGTACACCCAGGTCAGGGAAAAGTTTAATGAATGATCGATCCCTCGTATGTCACTTCGACATCCCCTTAAGGTGATATGAAAGGGTCATTATATATATAAACGTGAAAACGTTTATAAAACTTTTCTTATATNTATATATTTATATTTATATATAACCCTTTCATATCACCTTAAGCGCATTTGAAGCCGTTTCGTGCAAGCTAGACGAAGAGTAGAGCCGCAGGAAGGTCAGGCAGCGAAACTCGTCGCCAGGGCACTAGCCGCTCGAGCTCGCACCCGGGCATCCGGGTCGCGCAACAGCTGCAGCATCTTCTGCGCGTCTTCGGGTCTAGGCGAGCCAGACAGTCCCACGAGGAGCGCGGCGGTGGCTCGCGCGACGGGATTCTCCGCCCTGGAGTAGCCCCTGACGGCCGCGTTCCTGAAAGCACAGGTGGAGTTCGACCGCGGGCGGCAATCTAGGCGGGGACAAACCCCCGGACTCACCTGAGCTCCTGCGCTCGATCGGGCAAATTGCTGCGCAGGCAACTAACCAATTCGCCGAGGAAGTCGCTCGGCCGGAAGTTGGCCTCCCCGCGGGGGAGCGTTTGCAAGAGGGCACGCAGCGGTGGACAGCTCAGGACGCCCGAGAGGTCGGCCAACGCGCACCTCGTCGCCTGGAAGCAGACGTCGATCGAGGGCGAGTCGATGGCGAGGAACGGAACGTGGTGGAACGTATGCTGGACTTACCCGGGCAACGTCGACGTCCGGGTCTTCTAGTTGGACGGCCAGCGAGGGCAGGCAGCTCAAGAAGTGGTCTTCGAGCGGGTCACCCGGGCCGAGGCCGCGAGCAGCTACACCCAGGGCGGCCAGAGCGGCCAGTTTCGTTTCGCGATACTCCTTGTCCAAGAAGGGCCTCAGGGCCAGGAGTACCCTCGGCGCCAAAGAGTGGGAACCCCGCATGGCCAGAAGTCGCATAAGGCCTCGCAGCGACTCCAGGGCGACCGGACTCCTCCAGGACGGCTCCTCCAAGCCCTCCAGCAGCGCCGTCAGGCAGTCTTCGTAGTACTCGTTCATCTGTAGGGGCGATTCCTCGGTGACCGATGGTGCTGCTTCCCGGGGAGTCAGGGCTTACCTGGCTGGCAGGGAGGCCGACGATGCCGGAGAGACCCGCGATGGCGAGCCCGCGGACAAGTGCCGCCGAGTCGGTGCGAGCCTCGTGTAAGCTGGTTACGACGGCGTCCACCCAGACGGCGGAACAGTCAGCGGGGATGAGCCCGGCTAGCAACTCGGAGTGCAGGGCGACGGCGACGGCGCGCTGCTCCGGGACGGCGCTCGCCCCGAGCCGGCCCAGGGCGCGCGCCAGCCGCGACGTCGACTCGTTGGAGCGGCCGCGGCCCTGGAGGCATCGAATCGCCGTCCGCACCGCCACCACCAGGTAGCGGTCCACGTGGTCCTCCTCGGTCATCCGGAGCGAGGCGAGGACCGCTGCGCCGGCGCCGGCCTCGGAGTCCGCGACAGTAACGACGCGGGACAGCAACGCGTGCACCTCCTCCCGGGGCGACGGCGACCCTCGGCCGAACGGCTCGGCGTGCAGCCACCCGGCCAAGTACGCCAGGAGCGTCGACAGGAGCTCCGGCAGGTCCCTCTCCACTAGGCTGGCGGCCAGCGGGGAGTGCAGCACTCGAGCCAGGGCGGTCACCGCGGCCATCGAGGTCGCGCAAACGCGCCGCGGGCTCGGGGAGTCTTCCGAGAAGAGCACTCCACTCTCCAGGCGCCTCGAGAGCGACGTCACCACCTGGACGGAAGGCTCGTATTACCAACCGGGGGGGAATTCCCGTAGCCGCATTGCCGCGCTCACCCGCAGCCCCGTCTCCTGTCGGGAACCGAGGGCATTCCAGGCCTCCTCCGTGGCTCGGTCGAAAGGCAGTGGCTGTGCCAATAGCACCTCGACGATCTTCTCCGGATGGTGCACCGCTAAGGTTCGCACCGCGTCGGCCAACCTGCGCCTACACTCCGCGTCCTCCAGGGTCCGCGCCCGCCGCAGCACGTCGTCTACGGGGAGAGACTCCCGTCTGTAAACTGGCCAGACTGCTCGGAACGTAAGGACAACCTACCTACGAGGAAGAGCTCGGTGCGCTGCACGTCGGCGCCGCGGATCTCGAAGAGGCACCCGAGGGCAACCCCGCCGGCCAGGGCTGCCGACTCGCCGCCCGCCAGGCCGTCGACGAGGCCCCTGACCAGAGCCATCACTTCTCCAGCGGCCACCCTGCGGCTGACCGTGCTTGCCAGGGTCTGCGGAAGGAAAACCAGCGGTCAGTCGTCGCGAGTCGCGCGCCTCTGGAGGGTCGCTCCCACCTCGACGCCCCGAAGAAGCTTCTTAGGATCGTCGCAGCCGAGCAAACGGTTCGCCTCTGCCAGCTCGTCGTCTTCGTGGACCGCGCGCTCAGGGTGCCCCGGGGCCGCTTGGGAACGATGTCGGGCGGCGACGCTCATCGCCAGGGCGACGCAGGTCACCACGCTTTGCCGCAGCGCTGGCTCCGGATCGGCGCTCCAGGACAGGACGCGCCCTAGGACTCGACCGGGCTCTAGTCTGCCGCCCGGGTAGGTGTACCTGAGGGAGTTGCGATAGCACCTGGGCAGAGAGGAACCGACAAGGATCAAGCCGGAACGAGGAGAGCTCGCGCGCCCTTGCTACCGGAGACTCACCCGAGGACGGTGCACAGGACGGACAGGACGGTCCTCCGCTCGGAGCAGGACGTGGAGCGCATCCAGGGCGCCGCGATGTCGAACAGCTCCGCTAGGCCGTCGGCGGAATCGGCGACCACTTCCGCGCAGACATCTCCTAGGCCCTCGTCTACGCGACGACCGTCCTCCCGCGACAGCAGGAGATCCACCTACCGGTCGGGGTGCAATCGTTAGTCGGGGCCACTCGAGGCGGATCAGGGTAGCATCCTACCTCTGGCGCCGCCGCGACGACCCTGTCCAGGACGGTGAGCAGGACGACCTCCCTCTCCTCTGCGGCCAGGGCGGGCTGGACGCGTCTGTCGATCGGTTAAGGACGAACCCCAGATAACAAACGTGCCTAATGCGTTATCGGACAACGCGTCTGCGATAATGCACCACTGTTGCTGATATAAAAAATGCACGGGTTGAAATCCTGAATCTACTCCCAGGTCGGACGGGCATTTCGCTCGATGGCGTGGAGGCGATATAGACATCAATGGCGCGTACAGAGGCGCATACACTGGCGGACATGATTGCCTCCCTTGCAGATACAGCATCGCCTGTGCAAGATGGGAGGGCATTGATGTCTCCCAGTGTACACTGTGGACATGAATGCCTCCCCTGCAGATACGGCATCGCCTGTGCAGGATGGGAGGGCATTGATGTCTCCCAGTGTACATCGCGGACATGAATGCCTCCCCTGCAGATGCGGCATCGCCTGCGCAGGATGGGAGGGCATTGATGTCTCCCAGTGTGCACTGCGGACATGATTGCCTTCCAATTGAATAACAACGGCAACATGTTCCACGGGGAAGGCATTCATGTCCGCCAGGGTACATGGGGTACTTTTGGTGGCAGCGTTTTGCTACCTGGGACAGCTATCACGGTGGCCGGTTTGGGTCGGACTAAGAAAGGATACGCCAATGCGGCGACCGCCCGGAGAATCGCCGGGTAGAGTCGCAACGGTCGGTGGCCGACCGGTGTCTGCAGCAGAGTCATCGCCGTGGCTAGTGCCGCGTTCCGCTGAGCCGGAAGCATGCCGGACGCGACAGCCGCGCGAGTCACGGCGGCGACGCGCTCCAGAGCCAGGAGGCCGGCCTCGCGGGTAGCGACCTCTCGGCAGTCTCCCAGTCGGCGGATCACCCAGGGCGCCACGTGGCCCTTCAGCTCCGCAGCCATGCGCTCAGGGTCGGCGCGGGTCAGGACCTCCGCGTAGGCCCGCAGGAGGCCCGCGCGCGCCGCCTCCGCGCAGGCAGCGGCGCGCGAGTCGCGCACCAGGCCCAGGAGACGCGCCGGGGGTCGACGCGCGTCCTCGGCCGCGCACGCATCTCGCATCAACGCCAGCATCGCGTCCGGGTGTCGCCGAGCGCACACGCCGACGGCTCGCGCTCGCTCTTCGGCGAGGGGCCCCTCTGCGACGGGCGCCCGGACGAGGTCCACCAGGAGAGCGCGGTCATCCGCGCGGTCCGCCACGGCCGCAAAAAGCGGCGCCATACCGCGGCCAGCCGCGCGATGCACCAGCTCCCCTGCAAGGCCGCGTGCGAATTCTGAGCCCTCCAGGTTGGCGGTGTCCTCCAGCAGTTCCACGGACCGCGTCTCCCAGTCGGCGTACTTCGCCAACGACCGCTGCCAGAGTGCCGTCGCTAGACGGCCCGCGAGGAGCGGCGCCGCCGCCCGGAGGAAGAGTACCACGGCCGGCCGACCGCTCTCCTCGACTGCCAGCTCCAGGCAGCGGGCCAGCACGCGGAACCGCTCCGGATCCGCGACTCGGTCGATCTTTGAGGCCAGCGGGACGAGCGCCCGCAGGATCGGCGCCACCTGGGGGAAAGGCGGGTTCGGTGGGTGTGGACGGTCGGACGCGCGGACGACTTACGGGAGCGGTGCGGGTCTGGTCCAGCAGGGCGTGCAGCAGGGCGGGCCACAGCCACGTCTCGGCTCCGTCCAGGGTGGTGGCCAGCAGGTGTAACGCCTCGCAGCAGGCCTCGGACTCCTCCGCGTGCGGCTCGCTATGCGCCACCTGCGGACGAGAAGTGGACCGAAACAGAGCGCGTCTGGAGCACGGACCGGGAGAAAGGGCGACGTACCATGTAGCGGACGAAGACGGACCGCTGCGCCGGCAGCAGCGGGACCGCGGGTCGGGCGGCCAGCGCCACGATGACGCCCACCACCTGCTTCGGGCTGGCTTCGCTCAGGGATTCCTCCACGGCTAGAGCGATCCGCCGCAACGCCGCGTCCTCCTGGAGAGAGAGGAACTAGTGAGGAGGAGGTGCCGCGCGGAGGACCGGATCCGTTTACCTCGGCGGGAAGGGTGTTCACCAGGTGCCGGAGGATCACCAAGGCTCGCGCGCGCTGCGCGGACGCCGGCACGCGCAACTGCTGCAGAATACTGCGGGCAGAGGGCGGACGTTACGACGGGGCCACTTGGCTTGGGAAGGGGCGGAGGGCTGGACTGACCGGTCGAGGCCTTCCTCGGGGTAGAGCAGCACCAGGGCGCGCGCGCAGCGCAGGGCCTCGTAGTGGACGAGCAGCGCCTCGCGAGGAGCCTCGAAGGGCGTCGGGCTGACCAGCTCCGACAACGTCCGGTGCACGGACTCCAGGAGCGGCCGCAGGCTCTCCTTCTCGGCCGAGGTCGCCCTAGTCAACAGCGCTGCCAGGGCCCTGGGGACGGGAAGCTTCGAGTAGACGAGTCCTCGGGTATTTCCATCCTCGAGTCGCTTACCTGCTGGCCGAGAGCCGCGTTGCGGGTCGCCGGCAGCACCCCAGGAGGACCGGAACCAGGCGGGCGGCGCGCAGTCCGTCGGGGTCCGCACCCGCGATGGCCAGCACCGGGCAGACGGCGCTTAGCGCGGCGTCGACCAGTCGGGAGTCCCGCGTCGGCCGCAGCCAGTACCGGGCCAGCTGCTCGAAGCAGGCCGTTGCGTCGTCCCGGAACGGGTCCGGGTTCGTCCCACTCTCGGCCACGGCTTCGGCCAGCTTCCCCAGCGCTATGGACCCCAAACGATTTGGAGTCGAGTTCGAATGCTAGCGTCGGAGCGCTCGCTCGCGTTACCTACCGAAGCAGAAGGCGTACTTGAGCTCGTCCTCCCCTAGGTGCTCCATCATCGGCAGCGCTATGGCGAGGGTCACCTTTACGAATGGTATCATGTCGACAGGGTTTGTGGCCGCCAGCATTCCTATGGCGCGAATCGTCGCGCGATGCGGAATAATCCCTGGCTCGAACCTGGACGGAATTACTCTCCGTTTGAATCCAATTTCGTTAACATTTCTCTTGCGCGGTTTATCCTCTACTCACTTGGTCACCAATGCGCCCATGGCCTCGGTGCAGCGATCCTTGCCTAGAGCTACCAACGATTCTATGGCTTCTTCTTCCACGTCCGATGTGAATTCCTCCACTGACATTTGAGCGATCGAAGAGGCAAGGTCCGAGTCCAAGCTAGCTGCGTGTTGTCGACACGTCTCTGCCGATACTTTGAGCAACGCAACCAAGTGCGATCGAGTTAACTTTAGGAGAGAAAAGATCTACATGTTACGCACCTGTTTATTTCAAAGGAAAAGAAACTTCTTTCGTCGAAAGTACCTTGCGGTGGAGCTCTCTGAAATAGACGATGGTTCGAACAACTGCTGTGGGATCTTTCTTGGATATCTTGCGTATCGATGAGGCTACCGATGCCGCAACCTGCGCATCCTTATCGTCTATAGCGTCCAAAAGTGCCCCGATAACACCTGAAAGTATTTACTGTCTCATCCTATGTACCTCGTCCATTATTCTTTCGCTAACTTTCTGTATCCCCCTTGTCAAAGAGAATCCGTCCATAACACTAGGAGGCACAACCAACCTGGCAATTCGGAGCACTCGACGGCCGAATCGATGACCGAGTTGACGTCTTCTTTCATCTCGAACGGCTAAGATTCTCCGTATTCCTACAATTAATGGGTACATTCAACGTAGAAGCTTTTACGGAGAGATAACAAATTATCGAGTTTGTGATTATCGTAAACTTTGGTCACTACGCCTTAAGCGCATGGACACTCGAGAAGCGATGACGTCGAGAAACCTGTCGAGTAACGTCACCGGAGGGGGATACCGTGTTCCTTATCCTCGCCAAAGCTGAACCGCCGTCGTAAATTGTTAAATTTGGCTAAATACCGGATATCGGATACCGGCTATCGCCAAATATCCCATACTCGGATATTGGGAAATTCCCTCGGTGCGAAGCAATCACTTTGATGACGCTTTTTCTATATGTCATCGTTCAACGATGTAGTGAGGTAAGACACCGATGAACATAACCTCGAAGGACCATTTGCCGCAAGTGGAACAAATATGGTATTGGTATTTATTCCATTACTACATTTCCACCGACATCTAAATGCCGGATTTATGAGTACGAAGGACCTCTTAATGCGATACTTCAACGGTGGAAACGATTACAGGATTTATAAATGTTTTAGTATATGCGAGGTGGAAACGGTACTAAATGCCGGACTTATTAATTCAATATTTATGTATTCGGCTTTGAGTACGCCTTCACTACTTAATTTATTCAGTATTAAATAAAACAAGGGAGTCGATTCTGTATCTTAGACGAGAGTGCTCACTTTTCATACTGTCATCTCACGTGAGTTTTACCCGATGTATTCTCCGGGTGAAAACGTGAAAACCCTAGACCGAAAGAAGTAAATCTGAAATCTCCTGCGAGATTGGTCGAGTAGTCTCACGCGATATATGTCACATTTTAACCATAATGAAAGTTACAGATTCACGAGAGGTGCCCAATTTAGTATTTTCCCTAGGTTCGAGTTACAGAATCGACCCCCAGGTGGTGGAGACGTACTTGAAGTCGGATGTATCTAATCCGGTATTGAATAAATACGTTCCTAATGCTATATTGAGCAGACTAACCGATTATCAATACCGAACGGGGTGATTATTAGGCTTGATATGTGCGGTATAAACACAGTTAGGCCTAATTCAAATCGGAAGCGACAAGCTAACCAAAGAGCGAAACGAATTTTCTGCCCTCTTCCGGCGTTTAGGTGTATTCCAACAGTATTATCACTTGCCGCTCTCGGTCTAAATCAGGCTTTAGGATTGCAAGTTTTGTCGCGTTTTCAATAGGTTTCGCTGCACTCTGCTGCAATCGAAACGTCGAAAGGGACTAGAAACCCCGAACGGATCCATTCTACAAACTAAGCTGTTCCATTTTCGTGTTGTTAATTGGTGACAGCACCAACATGCGTTTCGTTAGCCTGAAACTCGCGGCAACGCGTAGCTGTTCGTAGTGGCGATTCTTTCGATAATTCGTTACTTGTTTCGTACTGTCTTTTCTCTCACTTTTTTTTTCCAGGTTGAGAGTTAGTAACCGTTAATTGGTACCTCTTTCCTTTCGAGAGGGAAGACACGAAACGCTTCGCGATGGTGAGTTCTCAAGGCACGAGCTTTACCGTCTTTTGACTTGCACGCAAGTGTTGAGTTTCTAGGTTATATGTCGCCCGACTCTCGCTTGAAGGATATATATATGTATATTTTTTTTTCTGGCTTTCTTTCAAACTAATCGGCGGTAATTACATTTTCAGTTGTTTCAAAACGCCGTATTTATTTTATGAAGCCACTATCGGTCCAGGTTGCCTGTATGACTAGAATGTTTGTGGTACTATATGCGTGTTTCTTTTCGCATCAACTTAGAAATTATCTTGGCATTAGGGAATCGTTCAACGTTATGACATTACATGTGATTATACGCCCACAGTTCCGACTCAAAATTATAATATTCTGTCTTTTAGTCGGTGGCTGAATTTCTGAAGGGTTTGCCTTCGCACAATGAGAACAACTTTGCAAATTTTCACACGGACAATGGCAATCGAACGTGCGTTAAAAGACCCTCCGTCTACCTCCCTACTAAGGATTATCCCTCTGAACAGAGTAAATTTGCTTTTCTTCCTATACCGATACAAAGTTGGGTTCTATAGGTAAAAATATTTCATCTTTGTTTTTTTCAGTTATCGTCACTGAAAAGACTACCATACTTCTAAGGTACCTTCATCAACAATGGGACAAAAAGGTATAGTATTTTATTAAGTACATTATTTTATGCACATTACCTTATAAATTATCCTATTCAACGCATTGCTTCATACTTTGAACCATTTCCATATTTTACGAACTTCTTAATAACTAACGATGCATTAATTCATCAGAGCAATATTAATACAATCTTGTTATTATTTTGAAATTAGATTAATATATAGGAATCTATTCGTTTCAGAATGCAGAGAGGAAACGAGAACTTCTCTCGGTTAATGGTGACTCGCAAGATGATGGAACTGGAACCCGCAGTAAAAGGCCACGTTTGGACTTGAACAATACCCTTTGAAATAATGAAGAACGTGCATATACCCGATATTTGTCATCCACTGATGATATAAATTAGGCTTTTCCTCATCCACAAGGCCGAGGGATTCGTGCCCGTGTGCATCAAAGTTTCAGTTTATCTGGCTAAAGTTGGTCACTCGAGCTAACGTTCTTGTTGCATAAAGACTCTTATGATGAACCAATTATGGCCTTACACGTGCGATTAAGTTTATTTTTTTTATTAAAGAAAGCGTAACATTAATAGTCAGTCAACGATAAGTCAATTTGCACTGGCAGTCATTGAGTTTGTCTTTGCATGATTTCTTCATTGGAACTGACTCTCTTTTACAAGTGTTTGCTTTTAAATTTATTCTTCCATAAGCTGTTTATGTGAATTGTAAGTATTACAGACACTCGCAGAAACATGATTTCTAGATACCTTTTTTTTTTCTCCAGAACTTCAGTTATTCAAAAATTCATCTGCCTGTAATACTTTCCTGCTATCGAATCAAAGAACAGTATTATCTTTAATTACGGAGAAATGGAATGAAACGTACAACTAAATTTTCCAAACTTTATTATTTTATTTTTAATCGGAGCAATACCTGGATGGTTTAAAGTATCGGAAGTACCTTTAACTTGTCAATGGAACAGTTTTATTCATGTTATTCACTTTCTTGGAAAAATGTTGCAGATATTTTACTTACGACAATGACACTGGGCTTACTTTGATACCGTTAATATTTTTATTCTGTAAGGAGGAATAATAGGATTCTTTAATATAGATATACATTGAAACTGCATACAGAGTGTAAGTATAATTTTATATGTCATAATTACTTTTCAACGTTTCCAAGTAGCAGATACAAATAAATCTTCAAAGCTTCTTTTCCAAGATGCAGCTCATTCGCGCAATCTTTCTTTAGACAAGAAAGCGATTCTCTTGTGGCATTCCAAGTAGTTTAATTTTCAACAAACCGTTGACCATATAAACAGCTTTTTCCATTGTAATTCGTTAACACTTTTCCTCGGCTTCTGCAACATGGTTTTGTTAAGATTTTTCTAATTGTCCCGTTTTGTATTTGAATAGCAAGATAAGAGGAAAGAATTTGTCAGAGACACGTACAGACAAAAAATGAATAACTAATATCTACGTGCCGAATTATGTGTATATGTATATATATATTTAAAGAAAGAAAAAAAGAACAGTGTATTTTTCTTACATATTCCCATTATATTTTTCAATGTTTTTTTTTTCAAAGGAGATAGTGAGTATTACAGCCAATTTCAACGGATCTTCTGAGCATCTGCTGAATTCTGCCCACACTTGCGTTTATATCAGCCTTAAAAATGTCATTCTTACCTTCAAAATGAACCGTAGAGAGTCATTGCGATTTATACCAGATGAGTTGGGAGATTGCTTACGGGCAGAGTCGCACGATCGCATCCTGTAGAGGCTAAGGAAAAAATTACAAGTTTTGTTGTACAACGAGCTGTCCATGAGTCGTTTGTTAATGTGCGCGCCTAAATGCTTTCTCTGGTGAGATGGCAGCACCGTGCAATACCCGTAGACTGCGGTTGCTCATCTTCTCTCTCTGATACTCATTGGCAGGGTTGGGTAAGTATAATGTGGCGACACTACTGGGAACACATTAGAACCATTGGAATAGCGCCGCTAATAATTCGTAATTCGGCATCGATAGCTACCGAAGATAACCTCAAAAGTACCACGGTACACTGAAGTCCGTATTACGACAAAAGCGAGCCTCTCTCTTCCTTAAGAAACGTACTTGTTATTCGTTACTTGTATTGGTCGGGATCTATTGTTGACATCAACTGGTCCTAACTAGTCTCAACGAGAATGGCAGACGATTTCGATGGAGATGAGTAAGGCTAAAAATAAATTATTATATTACATTTTGACTGTTTTTCCCTCCGTGATTTGCATTATCATATAATTCATACACTGGAGTGAAAGAGAAGTAACTTACTAGTAGTGTTTGACTTTAATTTAGGTTAGTCGATGATTTTGACGACGTGGATGACGACGATAATATAGAAGTCGAGCCACCTGAAGAGGATGCTGAGAATTTTGAAATTCTACCTGCTGGAGAAACGTCTACTGGAGTACAGAAAACCAAAAGAATCACTACACATTACATGACAAAGTACGGAGTTTGTAAATTTGTTTTCTTAAACTTTTCTATAAGCGATATTTCATGTTATTCAAGGTTCGAAAGTAATAATCAGAATAAGATATGTCATTGATTATTTTAGGTATGAAAGAGCAAGAGTGCTTGGTACGAGAGCACTTCAGATCTCAATGTGTGCTCCAGTAATGGTAGAGCTGGAAGGCGAGACCGATCCGCTACAGATCGCTATGAAGGAACTCAAACAACGGAAGATCCCCATAATCATTCGACGGTACTTACCGGATAACAGTTACGAAGACTGGTGTATCAATGAGTTAATAATTATAGATCGATAGGTTCATACTCATTCTCGATTAAAAAAGCTCATTTATTTTATGATTTCCCTAAGATAACTTTGTATCGCAGTTTGAGAACTTCATTTTTAACAATGCCTCTGTTAGGCAGATTATTTGAGAAATCTATGTAGAAAAGTAAGCAAACAAATAGTATACATAATGCATACGAAATTAAATAATTATTCATATCGAAGGAAACAATTATTTAATCGATACATTCCTTAAAGTACGCGAGGTAATTTTTCCTCCAGATTTTGTAAGTAATGGATTACCACTCCAGCAGACTTCTCCATTGCCTCCTACCGCAAGATCAACCTTAAAATTCAAGTTGTAGGTAAAATGTTGATAAATCTTAATAACCACTTCTATATAGTGCTTTACCTGCAGTTTTTCCCAAACTTTCTTCTTTGGATTTAACACATCATCTGGAGTGCCTTCTTCGTAACCCTCAATATGCACTCTTTCGCCGGGAATGCTGTCGCTTGGTGGAGAGAGAACTTCTACTTGTCTCGTAGGCTCGTCTCTGATCAAATTAGAAACGTAAGAGACCTTGTTAACCTACTACGATAAAATGTATGAAAATTAAACTTACACGGATGCACAGAGAATCATTCCATATGACTGGATACCACGAAGAGTGGCAGGTTTAAGATTAGCAAGGACTACGACCAGTCGGTTCTTCATTTCATCCAATGGTACAAAGTTTGCTAATCCACTAACTATCGTCCTTGGGCCATTTTCTTCTCCTAAATCTATTTTCTCTATATATAGAGAATCTGCATCAGGATGCTTATTGACATCTACTACCTTTCCTATTCTAATGTCCAGCCTTGATGGTGTTATTTCTTCTATAGGCTCTACAAAATGTGACGTAATTAACAAGATTCCTTGGACAATAGAGAAGATTAAACGTAAACAGTTGAATTACTTTGTTTTTGTAGTGGAGGGTAAGCTTTTGAAGCAAGAGATTTAAGATCAGGATTAGTTTCAAATTCCTTTCGAATAGGATCCAACAATCTATTAACATAGATTTCCACAGCATTTTTCAAATCTCCTGGATGAATTTCTTGTTTCGCAAAAGCACTCTCCAAATCTTCATATTTACTGAATCGAATATCACCACCTGAAATACCAAAGAAACCGTCGCTCTGATTTGGAGTCACACCATAACGGTATGATTCAGATGTCTTATGTCTAAAAAAAATGTAATGGAAATAATTAAATTATAATTCATGGGAAATTAATTAAATAGCGCAATTAAGCATACCAAATTCTTCTTTTCTTGAAACATGGTATTCTTCATTTTCATCTAATAACGGGAAGATGACATGTTTTGAAAATGCCAAAACACCATTATCAGTTATATTGCCAGGCTCACAGAATGCTTTCTTCAGTTTCTTTTTAACTGCAGCTGCATTGTCTAACAGATCGATCTTGGAGTCATCCTCAGAGGATGACATCTTTGCTCCTGTCAGGCCTGGAACTGGAAAAAGAAAATTTCATTCCAACCGATATCAATAGGATCGTAAATTAATTATAATACCCACTCATAGGATTCATGAGGTGAATTCTTTTTTCATAGCCAAGCATGGGAAGGTACTTCTCGGTGAAAGTAAATATTTTTCTCTGATCCACCCCGCCAAACTGTGCATCGACGTGGAGGTACTCCTCGTCGAGAGCCTGCAAGCCAGGGTAAAGAAGACCCGAGAGGAGTGCATTTGATACCTGCTTCACCACCTCTGCTCCAGCCTTTTTTGCATCATGCTCGGTTACTAGCGAGCTTAATCGATAAACATCTAAAGTATATTCCCTAAGAAAATACCAAACATTACGACTGTTCTTTCTGCTTAAGTATAAATATCGTTGCACATTAAATAGTTTTCTAGTAGAGCAAAGAAATGATTACTTTGATAGTTGGTACTCAGTCCCTTTGATAAACTTCAGTTTATCTAAAGGTACGTTAATAGACTTCAACATTGATTTAATGACAGCTTCGTAATATTTTGTGCGTAACTCGAGTAAATTCCATGGAGCTTTCATATTATCTAAATAAGCATGGAGGTCTGCGAAAAGGATGGTTACTGCTGCGCCGGCTCTCAAGAAATCAGCTATCTTCGACATGGGTAAAAAATATCCAATGTGGGGTCGGCCAGTCGTCGCAGTGCCCCAATAAAGCTTCAAGTCCCGCTGCTTCAGGATGTTTCGTAATTTGTCATCGCCCAGCCATTCGGCTAAGTTCCTTGTAATCAGGTTATACTTCTCGGTCCACTTTAATTCGCCCATGTTTTATGGGATGCCGTTTACAATGTAATGCCTGCGTGGATCCAGAAACTGAAAGGATTAATAATTCCATAATGGGTAAAATTGACAGACATTAAATCAACTTCTAAGGAAACTGTGTGGAAAATGAAGGGATACATTACAAAAGCGTTATCAATTGTTTAAATTTGCCAGTTTTTCCAAAGTGGCATAACTTAGGTTAACCAGCTGTTAGCAGCCAAAGAAAATCTACGGTTTTTGTCCTTGTTAGTAATCAATAAACGCGTCAATGGTATTTCTGTTTTTTTCTTTTTTTTTCAGAAAATAATCTTTTTAGAAATGGTAAGAAATAATTACATTCCGACATTTCCCTGCGTTTGCAAGCACTTACTCGGTTCTTAAGCGTGCACGTGGTATTAATCGACAGTACACGACGTTTCTACACTGTTTCTACACTCTGCCACACACTTCGAGCAAAGAAAAGGTTAGAGATGAGAATAACCACGGTCTTTACTACGTAACTATTGGAAGGTGCTGCCCTCTAGCGGATGCATCAGAAGACGCGACGTTGTTATATGCAGTCGATATGTCGAATCAAGTGAAAATACTAAAAGCGAGGCACGGCCCAGGGTTAGGTAATTCCCCATTTCTCGAGGTTTTTCCACTGAAATATATAATCAACAGGAAAGCTTGCCACCTTCCCATTTTCACTCGGAAGATACAGATTTGGGTGAATAAATTCACGTGAGAAGATTAGCTAGGAATGAGCTCTCTTTTCAGAGATGCAGAATACGGGTATGGCTTCACCGCATTAAGTAACTGGTTTCAATCAGAGATGGCGGTACGTCCTTCGTTCCATTGTTGAAACGACCTGGGGAATACCACAAATACTGCAATAATAACCCTCGCGTCGCAAGAAGTTCCACATCTGTCCTGTCCAAACCGTGGCTATTCTCATAATCGTGTGACTTTGATTATCACGTGTTGGTTTTCAATGAAAACTAACGATAATCGTCGGTACTTCCTAGTGTAATAATCCGTAATGAAAATAACCAGGGCAACCGCGAGAAAGAAGCCTCTATGACAAGTATAATCTTCTTTACTCCGTTACCAACAGTGTTTTACATTACACCCGGAACAATGTATAGTCTCTATATCATAATATATATTAGTAATAATCGTAATGGCAATAATAATCTGTAATAGGCGAGTCGATAGTAAGTAGCTTTAGGTACGCGTCACCTTTTTTTCTTGTTTTTCCCGAGTACAATGATTCAAATCCTCTTGCGGCCTCGCCTCGCCTCGCCAATTCTGCAAATTAACAACAGCTTTGGCTCGGCATTTAATCGACATTGTCAATACTCCGCCGGAATAGGAGAGAACTTGGTGGTTCGTAAGGATTAAAAGAAATTCCCTACAACGGAGTAAGAGCACCCATGGATCGTAAATGGTATCGAGCGACATGTGCCATGGAAACGACATTTCCAATTGTTCGATTCAAAAGAGCCCTTTTTAACATAGAGAGTATACAAAGAAAATGTCCTTTGTCGAAATAAATCGCTTTACCCCTCCAGGGACCACTTAAGATAATATGAAAGGGTTATTCTATACATATAAATCGTCAAAATATTGATAAAACCTTTCTCCAAACTGGGTGCACGAAATAATTTCAAACTTTAGCACGTGATTATGGAGGCCCTAAGAAAGAACGCGATGCTCGTGACATTTCATTTTTCTACAGAAAAAAAATGTTTTTTTTTTGGTTTTTATCCGAGACAGATACAACATTTTTTTCGACAAATGAAATTTCGCGAATAGTCTCGTGATGAAGTTTCAAATTATTTAGTGCATCCAGTTTGGAGAAAAGTTTTATCAATGTTTTGATTTTTTCCTTATGTATATATGACACTTTCATATCACTATAATTCTTTCGATTGTTTGGTTTTGTGTATTACGAGAAGCTAGATAGTTTTGCAATGGGAAACGTTTCGTGATAGGTCAGGGTTGACGTTGAAAATGATTTTCTTTAACTTTATCTTGGTCTTCGTTGAATCGTTCTCGTTCTCCGGGACTTCTAATTGATTCTCGATCTCGGTTATAAATAATTCCTCTAAGAAGGCGGAACAGTTATTGAACTACCTGTAGGAGATTTGTCCTTTCGAAGGCTTGTATCCGGTGCCACTGGTTGGCCTTTTCTCATTCAAAAGATTCAGCCTCGTTAAAGCCATAGATTGCGGAAACGTCTTATGGAAGAACGCTAGGTACTATCATTCTACCGAAATCGAGCCGATCGTTTGACTGTCCCCGTAAAATCCCCAAGAATACGCGCAAACGTATCGTCCATCTTCCTTTCACTAAAGATAATATACATAATTGGCAATAAGGAAAGATTGTGATCGAACCTGGCCGCTAATCGGTGATCTAATCAATTCCCTAAGATAGGACCAATCGAAAGCCGACCATCGCGATCCAAATAAGTTAAGGAAAGCCCCACTCTAATTGAAAAATACCTAATCAAATCAATTGATACGAATAGGTCTCCTTAAATGGCGTATCCTCCAAGGAACGAAACAACACGTTCGTCTCTAAATTTGCTCTTATCATCAAAGGAGGACAGAACGTACCGAATAGCCTGGTAAAAGTTATTCCAAACCGAAGGAACTTGCAAATTAATTGAACGAGTGGAGTCAACAGGGCAATGACGGTGATAACGAATAGATAGGAAGATGGGGTGTCGAATCTAAGGGACTTTTAAATCAACCAAATGAGTGGAGTCAACAGTGCGATGCCGGTGATAACGAAGAGATAGGTGATGGGGCGTCAAACAGGTATCGGACAGGAGGGAGCGTTCTTCCATGACATGGTTCAACTAATAGCAAAGCCACGGACCGCTTCGCTCTTCCTAGGAGGGGTTTCAACAGTGATATGCATACGAGAGGCCCACGAGAAGCCAAAAGACCCGATCGGAAGTATGGCCGATCCTGTCGACGGCGTTCCTGCCGGGTCGCTTGCGTTTCGGCTTGGATTTCGTCCTCCTCTTTCTCGAGAAGACCGCATTGGTCGCGTTGGTGGGTGACTCGACGTTGCAGTAGCTGACATCGCAGCAGCTTATGCAGATCTGGAACGAAATAACCGAATTTATTTGCCGAGCCCATCGCCGGCTCTGGGAGGGACCTCGAAATTCCGCTATTTCGCACCTTTTGGGTGTCGACGGGAACGCAACCCACCGAGGCTGGGCCGCACTCCTCGCTGCTGGCGCACCTCTTGCTGACCTGCAAAAGGAGATGCTATCCTGAGCTCTTGGAACGGTCAGATCGGCAGGGAGTTCTCTTATCGAAGCCCTTTCGATCGAGTGGTCGACTGACCGGCGCCGCCACGATTTATGGCCTCTGTCCAACCCCTTATCCGGTTCTAGCCAATTTTGCCCAAAAAACCGGGAAAACTCGGTCCTTCCGACGGCTCGGCGGATAGTTACGATCCAGGGAATGCAACGAGCCGCGGAACACCCTCGCGACGGGATTCCTCTCTCCAGAGATGAGCAGGGAAGATGTGTTCCCGTCATCGTCGAAATTGAGGCACGGCTCCCTAGCGTCGTGGAACAGCTTTCAACGGGGCGAAATGTTCTCCATCGGTAAAGAAAGAACCCGTCTGCAGATTTCAACTACAGCACAGTATCGATAGAATGAAGTTATCGCCTTTTCGTCTTTAGTGTCAGGGTCGACGTAGGTTGGGATAGATGACCACGAATACCAAATAAAGTTGTTATGCGTGGATGATTGAGATTTGGATGCGGCACCCACGTATACCCTGTTTGACCGATCACGAAGGTTTCGTCCCTTTGAAAGTAGTTGCAATTTTTATAGAGGTGTAAAGGACGTAGAGGGCGCCAGGAGGCCGTGCCAAGCTTTCAAACAATGCCGCGAAATATCTCCCCGTTGATCTTTCTGCTCTTGCAGATACGTCGGACGTATGTCCAGGGTAAAAACCGTGACGGTGCTCGGAGTCGAGCCGATCCAATCGATGGGGTCCGGTCCCTGGGTTACGGAGAAGTAAATTTCCTTGCCAAGACGCTATTTCCGCGACTGTCCAAGATGTGCAGAGATCGGCAGAAGTCCCTACCGGCTGCCGAACAGGGTGTGTCTATGGCCCATTCGTTGCACATCTGTACAAGGAAGAGCCCCGGTCAATCCGATGCGAGGTGCACTTTAAATAACGAGTCGGGCTCAGTGTCGTTGGATCTCCCTCCCGATAGCCCTGGGACGGGAGACCCTGACCAACTGGCGCGTTCTCGAGAAGATTTTTAACGGGCTCATCGATACCTGGTTATCGCTCACGTTGACGCACGTGTAGCACGTTAGACCTGGATAAAAGAGAAGTACTCGGTCGGATAAGTCGGATCGAGGATTACCGCCGTTGTAGTTCTTCGTAACTATCTCCATGAGCCCCAAATGAACGAATTAGGCATTCTGAACCTCTCCTCCGCATGCGGATACCCACGATATATCTCTTCATCGTCCGGACCGGCAGCCTTCAAGCCGTTCCTCTGTTTGACGACGTCCTCTTTTGGGTTCCCGGACGCCAGGCTTCTGCCGCAGGTCGTTTCCGCAGCCAGGAGCAGCCCGACCATAACCCAAGTGATCATTCCTCACATCCCTGCGAACGGTCGAAAGGCTACGTCAGTCCACGCGTGCATCTCGAAAAATATAGGAACCTTAACCCTTTCATTGCGGCCGCTCCGCCAGACAATCGCTACTGAACGCGACACCACGCCGAAAGGGTGCACATTGCGCTTCGGCGGTCTTCGGTGTACAAACTTACGTCCTCCACCTGAACAACGCCTCCTTGACTGCCTTTAACAAATTCGCGTGATCATTCCTCACATCCCTGCGAACGGTCGAAAGGCTACGTCAGTCCACGCGTGCATCTCGAAAAATATAGGAACCTTAACCCTTTCATTGCGGCCGCTCCGCCAGACAATCGCTACTGAACGCGACACCACGCCGAAAGGGTGCACATTGCGCTTCGGCGGTCTTCGGTGTACAAACTAACGTCCTCCACCTGAACAACTCCTTCTTGACTGCCTTTAACACATTCGCGACCGGCAAATTTTTTCCCTTTCAAATACTGAGTACCGGCGAAAATAATGAAATCCTGAAACTGGTTGCCGCAAACTTGTGTCGTGTATCGTCATGGACGTGGTTCACGTCAGCGGCAATCAGGAATAGGATTTAAAATGACGTGAATTCACGTAAGCGGCAACCAGGAATAGAACTTGAAAAGACTTGAATTCACGTCAGCGGTCGCGAATGTGTTAAGGTAGAAATGTATGAGAACACCGATAGAAACGAAATGTCTGGACCTCTCCGAACGAATTTGGGCGCTAAATGCTCACGTACATTATAGTCCGCAGCGCATCGCAATATTCCTTCTGTAACATGCGATGGTCCATATGAAACCTATGAAATCGATCCCGCGCGGATTTTGCGAAACGCAATGCGCTGCGATGCGTCCCGGCATAATGTATGCGAGCCTTAAGGTGATGTGAAAGTGGCGGCGAAGAGGTTTTGTTTATAAAACATTTGTCCCAACTCGATTTACCGAATAGCTGGAAACTTTACACCGCGAATAGGGAGACTATAAGGAAGGTCCTGAGACTCATGAAATTTCAATTCTTTTCAAATTTCTTTACAGGTATTTTGAAAATAGTTTGTAAAAAATGAAATTTCGCGAGTTTCAGGACCTATCTTAGGGTCTATATATTCAGATTTTAAAGTATTAAACGATTCGTCATTTCGTAGAAAAGTTTTATGAGCGATTCAGCTTTCGGATGCTACCTTCACAACCCCTTAAGGGAGGGACTCGAAGGTGGCAGCAGCTAGCCGGTGCAATAGGCATTCCCTTAAACGCCACGTCCCTGGCTACGGAGTAAAAAGCCTTCTCTCGGCATATTTCCGTCCAAGGAGGTGGGGAAGCGAGCCGCAAATGCGCGGTGGACTCGAATCTCCCCCGTTAGGACCTGCGAGGAGTACTTGGCGCCCGCGCTCTACAAGGGGGCGCTCGGCTCCGCTCAATGGGATACGCGAGTCGCGGTGGAAGACCGAGTGGCGGGCCGTTGTTTCAAAATCGATGGAAAAAGAGGGAACCCACCCCTCCAGCGGGGGGAGGTAGTAAAAGGACGAGCGGGTGTCTCCGTTTCGTCGGCGCTCTCTTTATTTCGCTCTCGAGTCGCGAAAGAGTGTTCGCTCGCGTACCTCTCCCTCTCTGGTCTCGTCGGCTCTCCTGGCGATTGTCTCGGGGAATAAAGAAGAACCAACCAGCCACCGAGGGGGACTTTCCGCGGATAAAAGTGCCCGGACCTCTAACGACGCGCGGAAAACGTCCCGAGACTTTTCCTGCCGACGACGCGCGTCAAGAGGACGCCGAAGACTCGGTTCGCGATAAGCCGTGGCCCGGTGGCCCTTGGGTCCTTATCCTACAATAGCAATCGCTTTTATCGATACAGCCGAGGAAGTAAACGAGGAAGCAGCCAGGCCAAACTCACTTCCAGGGGGAGTCAACGCGCAGCTTAGCCCAGGTCGAGATAAGGAAGCGATACTCTGAGCGATCCTGGAGGGGCGGCATCCGTTTTGGCAATGCACCGAAGAGAGGAGGAGCGGAAGTGAAGGAGGAAAGGGCGAGAAAGCTCTGGATAGCTCTGGAGAGAGAGCCATTTTTCCCAGTGGCTCGGTGAAGAAAAAAAGGAGAAGCGCTAGTCGGGCTGGGTTTAAATAACGCCCCGGGCTTCGCGAAAAATGAGGGTGGACGAGGCCAGAGGACGGGGGCCAGGGGCTAGGGGCCCTCCGGGGCAGAAGGATCGCACTCGTTTGAGGATTAGGAATTTTTCATCGGGATATGGATCGACACCCCTTTCGCGAATTACCACTCGTGGAGAGAGGACCAAGGTGGCGATATTCTTTCTGTCCTACTCCCCACCTGGGATCGATCAGGCCTTTTTTTTTCTACTTTTCCCTTTTCGCTTCCAGGGTGTTTCCGGCCCGAATTTCAAAGTGTATCGGGACTCTCGCGACCCCGATCCATTTAGCTGTTTTCCTATCTGGGTCTCCCAGTTGAATGTTCAAGTTTTTCCACTTTTTAATGGAAAGTTCCTTCTTCTGGCGCACGCCTTTGCCAATTCGTACGAGCCCGAGGGGGACGATCTGTAACTTCATCCGAATGTCCCACGTTCCTTCGTAAGGGCGTAATTTCGGTAAATGTAACGAGGACGTGGAATTATCTCGTGCCTGTTCAAACTGCACATTCGATATTGAATTACCGTGGGAACGAGAACGCGTTAAGTTCTTTTTTTTTGTCGCCTATACGAAGCAATTTATATCGATTCCGTGAGATATATTCATTCCTCGGCGCGCTCTTCCTTCTATTTACTTTTTTTTCCTTCCCTTGGAATATTTCACGTCAAACCGCGGACAGAGAAGAAGAATCGACGGTTTCTTTAGAAAATGGTACATCTTACATTAAAACAAAAAGATTTAATTAACAATGCTCATAAGGTGATACGAAAGGGTCATTCTATATATTGAAACGTCAAAACATTTATTTTTTTTCTCCAAACTCGGTTCACCGAATCATTAGAAACTTCAGCACGTGATTATGAAGGCCCCAAGGAAGAACGCGATGCCGGTGAAATTTCATTTTTCAACAAAATCTTGTTTTATTTAGCGTAGACTAGAGCGGAGATCACATTTTCTCGGGAAAAATGAAGTTTCACGAGCATCGCGTTCTTCCTTAGGGCCTTCATAATTACGTGTTGAACTTTCAAATGATTCGGTGCACCCAGTTTGGAGACGTTTTATGTATATAGAATGACCCTTTCATAAAAGTAAAAGATGTGAAAAAAAAATAAATATAAAAATGTGTCCTCGCCATCACGCACTTTTTCCGAAAGTTGGAGTTGAAAGTTCGAGCCGCAGGACCGCGTCGCGGATAAGCGTCCTTTTCCCGGGGAAGGGTCTTTTTCCAGCGTTTTTCGAATTATTGGAGGCTATCGATCGGCGACTTCTCGCACCTTGAAAGTGGGGAGAGAAGCTGAGCTGTACCATCGCACATCGCGAGGTGACTGCGCCGGCCCAAAACCTATTTGCCTACGATTTGCCTCTCGGCTTCTCCAGCACCTCGGAGCGGGCTCGGGGAAGAAAAAGGAAGACCGTCGAAAAGAGATTAAAGCGACCCGAAAAGCTCTCCCGGAGACGCGGCGATTTCTCTGGGATTATTTATGAGAGAAGAGCCCTGAAAGAATGGTTTACTTTTCGAGGGTAGATCGGGAAGAGTTTCTTGCAGCGGGAGACACATCGAAAGGGGTCCAACTATCGGAAGAGAAGGACCCGATAGACGAAACAGCGTACTGCATCCGGTGATTAATTCGAGGAAAACGGGAAACACGAAGAATCGGCAAGAGTAATGGCATCTCTCCTAGCGAGAAATATAGCCCGTGATAGGAGCTGGAAAGGAACCCGAGGTTTCGAACGTTCAAACGAAAGGAAGCTTTTCCCTTGAGAGGATCGTACATCCCGAGGTTCAGAATTTCATTATTTTCCCCGGAACTCAGTATTTGAAACGGAGCAAATTTGCCAGTCGCGAATGTGTCAAGGTGATATGAAAGAGTGAGCCTACATATTAAGAATAATGAGTTCACGAGATTTCGACGGTTCTACGTCGACCTCTTCATCATTACTTTATTGAAACGTCATATGGAACGTTTCAGTTCGTATAATTCTTAATGTAGACCGCAAAAGCCTTCAGCATAAATATAAATGTCGATTAAATTTCCCAGCGCCTTTCATATCATCTTAATATGACGAGAACATTGTAGATAAAGAACCGCCAGAGGTATTTAATGGGAGGGATGCCGCATGTCGTGGGTGATAAAAAACTGTTCCGAGGTTCCGCGATAACGAGAACGGAATCCGCCGAAGAGAACCCAAGGATACTATCACAAACCCGTCGGATTATCCATTAAAAAAGTGACAAAGAGAGTGTAACGTTCTCGCGAGCTCGGCGGGAACATCGGGTAGGTGTGAACGAAATCCCGTTTAATTAACTCGAAATTAGGTTAACGGGCTCGGAGCCGACGTCCTCGTCATCAGCGTCGCCGTCATCGACGGGGTGCAACGCGGCTCGATATCGGGAAAATAATAAAAAAACATCTTCCTTCCACCCTACGACCGAGGACCTGACTTTTTACGGGCCAGTGCCGAGATACCGGGACCAGGACCATACCATACATTTTGTCGTGGATTTTCCAGGAGCTAGGGGGAGGCCGGAAGAGCCTCGTCCGATTTAGATGGCTCGATACTCTTCATGGAGAAATCGCTCGCCAAGAGTGCGACTAGAACCGCGACCGAATGAAATAATAGCCCGGTAAAAATTTTGGGGATTGTTGTGCGTCCGCTTTTCCTCCACTCGAAGAGTGGGACGAAGAACGTCTTCGATACCACGACCAGGGTTGGGTAATTTCAGGGTTTTCGAGGTTTTTCACGCATATTACGTAAATCAAGTAGTTTACAGTAGAAACCGTATCAAATATGGCGGACAAGACAGACGTAGGGCATGCGGTAACCGCTAGGTCATAACATCCATCTTGTCCATTTGTTTCATTCCATAATGTACTTTTTGCTCTTCCACCTTTATACATTTTGATACACATATTGATTACGAATCTTACGACTTCAAACAGCCGTTATCAGCCGTTATAAACAAACGTCAAATGCACATATATTTTATAGGATTTATTTAACTCAATAGTGTGTCGGTAATAACCAGAGCAGTTGAAGCGATATTAGAGGGGAAAAAAAATAAGATCGATTAAGGGAAAACCGATAAAGACGCGGTCCTATCTCTCTCCCGCCTCGCGTGGCATTTTCTTAACACTAGAACTACCAGCGGATTTTTTTTTCGTATAGGATGGGCCATTTGAAACCAGTCATTTTGACTGGTCTTGGTAGTTCTAGTGTTAAAGAAACGCGACCTCAAATTGGATCATCTTCGACTCCGTTCATCGAGGTCCATTGGTGCATTTGGATGCGGGGGAGGTCCTTTAAACTCAACCAAGGCCCAGGGCATTTCTCTCGGGGTAGATAAAAGTCTGGTAGAGAGATGGCTTCCGAAAGTCAGACTCGGAGCTCCCTGAAAATAGCCTTATTCGATTTGGGGGCTCGATACCTCCTTACCGAGAAGTACGGCTACCTTGCCCGTAGAATGGGATTGAATTAAATGATGTCCCTGGCAAGTAAAGCGAGGCTTTCGCTACCCTAAATCCTCGGCAGGTCGAATTAGCGAGTATCTACCGTCCCCGTTAAAAGCTCTCGTTCCCCTCAATAGAAATTTCTGCTGGGACTGCATTCTGCTCTGTTATCGATTAAACAAAATGGATTTTAGTTATGAGAACAAGAACAATCCTGGAATTTCGCCTATGACAACTGCATATAGCCCCTTAAGCTCACGGAAGCCTCCGGTAGGAACTTTGGAATTAACCCCTTCGGTCTAATGGCTCGAGGGTCCCCAGGAGGAGCGATGCACTTCTGCTCCCAGCCGCGAAGGAATGAAATTCTACGTACATCGTCCAGGAAGGAAGTCCCCCGTTTCACGGTAAGAATAGGAATTATTAGGGCGCGTCCGTTCCGACGCGCCGTTCCTCGTTTCGTCACGGACGTAAACCCGCCTTCTTGATGCATTGCCCCATATCTCAAAACGACGCCGCGAGTTGGCGCTTCGATCCGGCCTGCTCTCCGTCGTCCTCAGGCAATATCCTATCAGTAACGTTATCACGAGACGAGTAGCAGGACCCCATGAAACCGTTTAAAGCCGCCATCTCGCACCCCCGCGTCGCGACGTCGATCGCGGCGAGGTAGAAGGCGCGGCCCTCCCTTTTCCACCTCCCCGTGGGAGTCGTTGGGGAGGGAAGAGGAACACCGAGTACCAGACAAGAGGTTAGGTTTTATTCCGTCCAGCCGCAGACAGCCGTGCCGAAGTCGTACGCCTCCTGGCGTTTGATCGTCCTCCCTTTTTCACGGGGACGCACCGCGGGAGAGACACGATGTACCCTGGTGGACATGAATGCCATCCCACCACGTATTGGCGGCGTCATACCCGCAGGGAAGGCATCCATGTCCAGCAGTGTACTCATCTTGGGTTGTCGCGTTGCTCCAAATTAACCTCCTTTCGTCACGAGCGCCGACTTTAGTCAGTAAGAAATTCTGCCACATCTGCAGAGTATCTTTTTATTGCATTCACCCATATTGGATTAACCATCCTAGAAGTGCATTTTGAACGTACGTAACATAGTTTGGACATCGAGACGAGACGAGAAGGCCAGCTATATTGGGATGACTTTTAATTTCTAAAAAGTTTAAAGCTAGACTCTTGGTTGGAAATGTAATAATGATACGACAGAACAGTTGTTGTTTAACACTTAGAAGAGTGTATGTAGTAAAGGCAGTCAAGGAGGCGTTGTTCAGGTGGAAGACGTAAGTTCGAACACCGAAGACTACCGAAGCGCAATGTGCACCCTTTCGGCACGGTGTCGCGTTCAGTTGCGGAATGAAAGGGTTAAGCAGCAGCGTTTGTTGCCGAGGTCCATTTCTTTGCTACTTAGATGGAAGGTCGTTCGAGTACTACTTTCGGATCTCGTTATCCGATGATTCGGCGGACGCTATCTCGGTACCACGTCGGTACCACGTCGGTGAATGACGGAATGCACCCTTAGCGAGTGAACCCTTGGAAACCACGAGGCTCGCCACTTGGCACGCTCCCGGTCGCGTGCCGTGCGACGTGCTCAAGGAGGGGCATCTTTTTGTCTTCCGCGGCTTGGCCCGGGCCTGTTGGACCCGTTAACGAGGCGTTTCCCGACCGATTACGGACCCTTTTCCCGTCGCGTCTCGTCCGCGCGAAGACAACCGCTGATACACCCTTCTCGAGGTTGCCCCTTATCCAGCCGCCGCTCACGGCACGTTTAATTGGACGGGCAAAACGGGGCCGCGAACCCTTCTTAGAGTTATAAGGAGGTTAATTTTCAAAGGAACGTCCGTTATCGCACTTTCCTTCTCGCGAGTCCCGCTCGAGGACGTTTGATCTTCCTGGCCGAACGCCACCGAGAGACGAAGGCCTCGTTAACGGGGTACCCCTTCCGGATGGTGGACTCCATCCTATACCCTCTGTTCCCAGTCATCGTTTCTATGGGAGCTCCGAAGCGATACGGGGAATTCTATATTTATCATGGCAGAGAAAATCATTTCTACAGCGCCGATGTATAGAAAGTCATCGTTCCCAGTCATTGCTTCTACGGGAGCTCCGAAGCCATATGGGGAATTGGGTATTTACCGCGGAGAAAATCATTTCGACAGCGCTGATGTATACAAAGTCATCGTTCCCAGTCATGGTTTCTACGGGAGCTCCGAGCGATACGGGGAATTCTATATTTACCATGGCAGAGAAAATCATTTCTACAGCGTCGATGTATACAAAGTCATTGTTTCTACGGTAGCTCCGGAGCGATACGGGGATTTCGATATTTACCGCAGAGAAAATCATTTCGACAGCGCCGATGTATACAAAGGGTGGGAAAGAGGCCGAGGGGGCGAAGGATCCGCGAGGGGGTGATTTAACGCAGCCAATCCCGGCGGCTCGTACGTTGGCTTTTCTAATTTGAGCGTTTGATGTCGGATCGTCTTTTGTCTCTTACGCTTCCGCGAAGAAATAAAGAGCAGTTACCCGGTCCTCCCTCCGCGCCCCTTCGGGTTCGCTCCTTTCCGTCCATTGTCTGCAAGCCGCGATTCGGTCGTCGTTCGCGACCTATTCCCTCCCGGCCGTGCTCACCTCGCCGTTGTCCCCCAGGAACCGCAACCGCCGCCGGATCCGGATTCAACGTAGTACCCAAATTAATGTTTCGGATTCCGAGTCATTGGCGAGAGGCTACTTTTCCAAAAACTTCTCCATGGCCCTCTAACCGAAGCATTCGGCCAAGTGGCCAAAGTGCCGTTTACTCAATTAGGAATTCCGACCATATACGGTAATACGAGTCTCGTTATCGGGCACCCCTTTTCCACCTGAGATTCGACTAATGGCCCTAATCTTCTAAGGATTTCATCTAACTTGATTTAATGGTATTGCTGCATCCTCGAGGTACCTTGATAATGTGGCATGCGACCGGTGTTAATCACGCGACGGGTTGACATTTCACCCCGGAAGTGTCAATTATTCGCCACCCTGAGTATAATGCTTCTACATGTACAACGCATTCGATGTTTGAAGCATTAACATGTAACAGGTAATCCAGATGTAATTGGAGAATGTACCCCTAAAAAATTTGAGATGTAATTAGACAATGTGTATCCCCCCAAAAATATCCACCCACGTTCCGTCATTACCGCGGAATCGTTAGGTACACGGTTCTCCGCTTAGAATTTCAAATACCATCCCTCGACGAAAGATAGTCGAGTAAACAGAGACCACCAGTTTCCTTTTAACCCTTTCAGCGCTGGACATATAAGTGCATTTGGTCGAATATGGCTCGTGCGCCCTGACGAAATTCGCCCATACGCAAAAAGGGTTTACCTTAACACTTTGCCGGCCGCTCATTTTTACCCAATAGTTGCAATATAATTATTATTAAAATAGGCATTAAGATACCTGTTACGCCATTTTAATTGCATAGTCATATATTTTTAAATTATTATCATATAAATTATTATATAGATTGACCGTTCCTGACAGGGATGGAGGTCAGGTTCAAAATCAAGTCCTGACCAATCATACGTCAAAGAACCCTCTTCGTCACTTTCAGAGTCACTAATTATCGGTCTCCCCTCATTTTACAATGCATCGGCATATATTTCTTCATTGTAGAACACATTGAAAGGCAATTTATAACTTGTAATAGATCTAACAATAAGCTTTCGCTATTCTAAAGCAGCGACGAAAGAGAATCTCAAACTAACCGAACCGCGTCCGCATAAAATATTAAAAAAAAAAAAACGATCTGGTAAATTAGGAGGGGAAAACAGTAGAAACTGTTTGTTATTTCTTGCTCTGACTGAATATATCTACCTGTGTAATCAGCGCAATGAGGCATTACCGCTGGGGAAAAGAAGTCACGCGTACGTGAGGGTGGCCGGCAATGTGCTAAAGGGTAAATCGCGGTACCAGGGTACCAGCTCCTGCATGTCCTCGCATCACTTACTTGTGATATCCGGCCGTCTGTTCGGAGGTGTTCATTTGTCCTGAGGTCGGGGTACCCGATCGTTAACCGTTCCTTTCTCCTTCCTTCGGCCTCCCTTCTCGGAGCGCTCTCCCTCGGTCAGCTGCGAGCGAGTCGCGAGCATCCTCTCTCCTCCGAGGGCCCCTTCATAAGGGACCGCGGTTCTTGATCATCCTCGAAGTCTCCTCTCCTCGCGGAGGAGCGAGTCCAAAGGTCCTAGACCGACCTTAGATCCCGCGGGAGCTCCATTACCGAGATCTGGCGTCCCCCGGAGCGGAAGAACGACTGGACCGGTCCCGACCAACCAGCGTGGACCCTTCCGATGGCCTTTCCGATAGATCGAGCCTCCGTCTCGAGTAGGGGTACCACCACCTCCCCGAACTAGACCTTTGCGTCCTAACGACTCTAGAGAGCCACGCACCTTCTGGCTTCGACTTCTTTCGTTACCAACACCCACGGGATTACCTAATCGATCGATCGCGATCGTTCCAGGGATTTTCCTTCGCTATTTCCGGCCCGACCGGAGCTGCCAATCTTCGCAACAGGAAGCTCACCTACACCGGAACTACTCCCCTACTAGCACAGAATAATGTCAAAATATTTCTTTGCAATCTTAGATAAATATCACAAGCTAAAGATCTTTTAAGATGTGGGTTGCATTTCAAGACATCTAAAGTACTCGTTGAAAATCTCAATGACATATTCAGTTTTAATCATTTGTAAGCATGTAATAAAAATCCATTTTTTACTTCGCGATTATTATTGGGCACTTCGTTGGTATGAAAAAAAAAAAAAAAAAAATAATAACGACAAATCCTACAATATTTCCCTTCCGCTATTTCATTATGGGACCAAGTGTGATCTTTATTTGAAATATTTTCAAAACGTTTATAATATATTCGGCAGGTTATAGTATTTAAAAAGTACCTATATTAAAATGAAACACGTGAGGCTGGTATTATACAAGCATTATAAAAATAATACTCCAAAGTAAATGCCTTGGAAATATTTCAAATGTCCGTTAAATATTAATAAAATTTAGGATATTCGTTAAATATATAGATAGCACAGGAGAGATATTTCGTGTTACTAAGGTCTTCACGGAGGAAAGGCAGTTATCCTCGAAATTCTTCAGGAATTTCTGACCGACCGGAGTAGGGAGGTCCGTCGGTCTCTCGTTTTCGGAGGATTGAATTTCGCGACGTTGGTTCTTTTCGTCCAAAACTGATATCGATCGGGTAACCTCTACCAGGCCTCTTATTTTAGTAGCGAGAAGCGGCGTGGAGAACATACGCATCGAGAACCCTTAACTCGTCGAGAACGCGTAAAGAGACGCACTCCAGCGTCTCCTGGATCATCCCCGAGGAAGAAGAAGAAACGAGTCGCCTAGCGAGAAGAGCCAGGACTTCCGTACCTCGGAGAACGCTTTCCACCGCGGTGCCGGGAAGACTGAACCAATTTCGACCATCCAGCGTGGACCCTTCCACTGCCCTTCCGGTGGATCGAGCCGCGTCCCTCGCCCCGCGACCGATGTAGGCGAAGTGGGGGCTAACCTTCACCCCTCACCCCTCGTGGGGGGTTCGTTACGAGAAAAGAGAGCGTTTCCCGCGAAAAAGCCCAGCAATTTCGGCCAGTAGACGTGGACCCTCCCGATCTCGCCCGGTTTTAAGGTACAACCCGACCTGGCGAGGAAGCGCACCCCTTAGCGGTTTGCCGCCAAGTCGAGGTGCCGCTCGTGAGCTCGGTGCGGTCGATAGAGTATCCGCCCGAGGTAAAACGCGCCCTCCAGGGGTACCGGGGAATGGTTCCTCGGAGAGAAGGCCTCCGGGTGCCCGAGGATGGGGGACCCGGAGGTCCTTCCTCGAGACGGGGGCGAGCAGAGGTTACGGCGTCTGCCAAGGCTCGAGTGCGCCTGACGAGCTCGGCGAGAGGTAGAAGCGGCCGCGGCGCCACTCTCGTCGGGCGACCGAGACCCGCGACACCCTTCGGTGGGAGAGGGGACCTCCTCGAGACGCGGCGAGAGACCCTCGCGGGCGAGAGGTGGGCTCCGGCGCGCTCCGCGGGGACACCTGCGGCCTGGGAGGCTCGGGCACGACTGAGCGCCGAGGCCCGGGAGGAAAGCCGCGAACGTCCCCGAATTTACCCGGAGAGATCCGAGTCGACCCGAAGGGCTCGCGGGAGGAGCCTCGATCCTTTCGAGAGAGGAGAGTCCTGGATCGGAAGTCCAGATCGAAGGATGGAAGGACCGGCGCCGAGTGCTCGACTGAGGAGCGTCTCCAAGAGGGGTACCTCCAAGAGATGTAGGAAGGAAACGCTTCCAGGGCTCGGGGGCAGTTCCTAGACTTCTTCTTCTTAGAGAACCCCTCAGGGGTACACCCCTCGGCGACGCTTCGGAACCGAGGAGGGGCTAGAGAGCCCGCGGCCGGGAAGCGGCGACCTTCCGCCCCGGGAAGACGAACACCGGTCGGGCAAAAATGGCGGATCGATCGCCGAGTCCGGCCGGGGTCGCGGAGGGCTCCTAGGTAGGTCAAAGGTAGGTCCTTCTTTCCCGGATCCCTCGGACGGGGGTGGGATCCGGACACGGCGCTGCAAGGGCCACTCGGGCCTCCCCCGGACTCTCTTCATTGGATTTGCTTCGAGCCTTCTCAAGGAGCTCGTTGAATGCGGACGTCCGACGTCCGCATTCAACGAATGGAACGTCGATCGAGATCGAGATCGAGATCGATCGAGCGCTTCGTCGAGTCCCCGAGAGGCGCACGCCACGTCGGCCCCGAGAGGGGTCCAAGGGTCTCCGGAGTGAGGAACACTTCTTAGACGACTTTGGCGAATCGGAGATTCCCCTAGAGTTGGCCGGCTCTCGCCGCTACGCGTTGGCTAATCCCCGGAGAAACAGTTGGCGGAGTGTCTTCCCTTGTTCGGTGGTTCCACCGAGCCGAGAGGAGGTCGACCGAATCGGCTCGAGCGCCCGCCAGAGGGCCGATCGATTCCAAGTGGGGCCGAGCTGGTCCGAAATCTCGAATCGGGCTCGTCTTTGTATGAAATATAGATGGTGATATGAAAGGGTCGTTTTATATATATNATTTACATATATATAAAGCGTCAAAATATTTATATAACTTTTCTCCAAACTGGGTGCACCGCATCATTTGAAACGTTAACACGTGGTCATGGACGCCCTAAAGAAGAACGCGATGCTCGTGAAATTTGATTTTTCGAAAAAATGTTTTTCTTTGGTTCTTGTAGGAATTTTTAAAGGCCCAGACCAGAAGCAAAATGGCGTCGAGCTCTCATATTTCGATCGATATCCAGTTATAGAAGGCTCTAATACGAGAAACGACAGGGTCAGGACAATTGTACGGCGATTTAAAACACTCTGGTAATCGAGAAACCGGCATCTGAACGGAATAAAGAGCAAAAAAGTGTCTTATGCGCTGTTATGTTAATACGAAGTCTCGGAGTGAAAATTTAGTTGACACGGAAATCACAGATGGCGCAGAGGGTCCCTCTGCAGTCAATTAGGCCCTCAGAAACCATGAATCCAGAGGATTACTGGAGTTTAACTTAGATTTCTTTATAATTATTGTACGAAAAAAACAGGTGGAGTATGCCATTTGGTACAATACCCAATATAACTCGACAGGGCTCTGGATATAAAAACGAACGTCGGCAACGTAGCTATTTAGAAGGATCTTTTCTACCGACGTCGATCAAGTTCCTCGAGGTGCTCCACTTCACCTTAAGCGAAGCGAGTCCGAGTTGAATGGAGGGTTCATTCATAGGACCTCCACGCGACCGGCGTCTCGTACTCGTACTCGGCCTCCGCGGGCTGGAGCTTGCGGACCCTGTTGCGGGGTCGTTCTTAATGAGAATCGGACACAATACCCTCACCGAGGATCCATTGTGCTCGTCTCGTCGAATCGCTCGTCCACTGCTGACGAATCGACCGAGAGTACCTGCCGGGTCAACGAAGAAAGAAGCCACACGTGGAAGCGTTTTTTCGCGCGAAATTGCACACCTCCTGGAGGACTAATTTGATCCGGTGGGTTTAGTTCCTTTTAGCACTATAACTACCCGCGGATTTTTTTTGTATAGGATGGGCCATTTGAAACCAGTCATTTTGACTGGTCTTGGTACTTCTAGTGTTAAGGGCTCGACTGGAGACGAAGGTTCAACGAAGGGTCCACAGTGTCTTTCTCGTTGCTGGATCGTATAAGAGCTTATCGCTGACATGCGTTGCCCGTTAGCTGCTTATAGGAAAATAGCTATCTCGGGAATTATTCGATTAGAACGAGTTTCTATCGCTATGGGTTTACGATCGTGGTCTCGAGGCGATTACGGCTCGGAAAAGTGTCTGAATCAGAAGGTAATGTTAGAGTAAAACGTTATTCGACTCCCCCCGGGTAACGTCCCAATTTGTCGGCAACTGTTCTCGCACTTTCAAAGTATCGGCGATATGGATAATCGATGGAAACGTCGAAACGCGCTATCTACCGGCGACTTGTATTAACTTAACCCGCGCATGCTGGTTTATCAATCGAGAGTAAGCATTGGCCGCACTCTTACCGATGTCGGCTTCGGTAATTTACTCGACCGTCAAGACATCCACGGTTGGTAAGATGCACCTCAAAATTCCCATCGTCGACCCACTACACAGAATCCGGGTTGTCGGTAAGTCGGTTCCCGCGTTCCGTCTTAACGACCAGGTTCTTAGTTTGGCGAAAGATTTGCGTAGATGGCGCCGTTCATCGCCCCCCATTTCGCCGTCAAGGCATCCACGGTCGGTAAGATGTACCTCAAAATTCCCATCGTCGACCCACTACACAGAATCCGGGTTGTCGGTAAGTCGGTTCCCGCGTTCCGTCTTAACGACCAGGTTCTTAGTTTGGCGAAAGATTTGCGTAGATGGCGCCGTTAATCGCCCCCCCACTCCGTCGGTCCAATTACGCCGCAAAGCCGTCGCAAACTTTTCCACGCTCAATAACGCCGACGGATCGACTCTCTTGTGTGTCTCTTCATCGTCCACTTTGGGCCAGGCCAAACGGCTGGGCGGTTCCATTAACACGATCCATAAATCGATAGAGGGTTTCGCCGTGGACGAAAATTTCCCGCGAAAGAGTGCGGGGTATCTCCGTTCTTATCGCTACGCATTACCCTCGTGAGGGATGCCGGTGGAAAGCAT